TGGGACACCCCAGACAAGCCCTCGGTGTGATACTCCCCGAGTCAAACAATCCCCTTTTAGAGTGAGACTTGAAATGCAGCTGATTGAGAAGGTTATTGCACAAGCAACACACTTTTAGGAAACTAGTAATTCCTCAATCATAAACACACCACCACTGTTCGTAGCATCACTTTGCCAGGATATCACTGCAAGTAATACTGTGTTCCAAGTCCAGCGTGTAGGATTAGCTCTGATACATGTCAAGTTACCACAAAGAAATCTCATAAATCACCCACACCATTAACCTGTCATCCTATTGCACTTAATATCAAGGTATAAGCCAGTTCCTCCCTTCAGGTTCATCCCCTCCCAAGTTCAACCTTCCATACCACGTCTTTTGGACACAGGCCTGGTGGAGTCTGGTGAGGTGACCAAGAGGTCTCTCCCTCCAGTGCCCCAGACCACCTGGGTGCACAGGTCAACCTCACCGCTGCCCATGGGCATCTTCCCTTTCTGCGTGATGTTTCCACACACGCTGCCTTTCAGTGCTTGTGCTGTCTCTGGCTAGTGCGTGTTTTTCCCGGGCGAAGCGAGCACAGAGCTGCAGTTTGGTTAGTGCACTGAAGTCGCTGCAAAGGGAGAGTGCTGCCCAGCCGCCAGCCTCTGTGCTAGCCCCTTCCGTGTGATGTTCACTTACATGAGGTGTTCGAAGGCTTGTGGTGGCTCTGGCTACTGCGTGTTCCTGGTGGACCCTGATTCCCACCTCCTGGGGATAGAGAAGGTAGCCAATTAGAAATCCCAGTTGCCAGTAGTGGATAATTAACAGCAAAACTGTGCTTTCAGATCAAATCACCGAGGTTTCTGTTGTGGCCATGGTTCAGTTTATCTTATGTTTCAATTCTTACTGTAAGAGCCTGTACTGTTGAAATCAGACAGAAACAGCAGGACGATGTAGGTATACGTGCTTGTCATGTTTCCAGGCTACAAAACTGTCTTGTGGAGTGAAGTGTCATGGAAAAGTGTGTCATGAACAACTTACAGGCGCCTGGTGTGAAACGGTAGCTAAGAAGAGAAGTAATTAATGGAGGCAGAGGATTATCACATGGCATGTTACTCCTGTGTGAAGTGCAGATTGCTGTTTGGAATAGAGCCTGTATTTAAGTGGGTCAACACTCTCAGATGGATTTTCACAATTTTGCAAGCACACAAGGACGGGAGTGAGGAGCAAAGCCAGTGTGAAGGTAGGGCTCAGTTTATTCAGGAAAAAATATGTAGGTGATTTGACCACTGTTGAAGGTAGGAGGGAAAAAATGAGATATTACCAGTAAAGATTTTCTAATTTGATGGGAAAAAGGAGCAACAATGATGTCAATCTAAATTAGTTCAGAACAGACCTTTTTTTTTTTTTTTTTTAACTTGGTGTGGGTTATTAACCTTACCTGCAGTTATAAGGCCATACAGTTATAGTGCTGGAATATAATCTAGTTTAATCTAGGCATTCTCCATGCTGCATACTAACAGCAGCCATAATTAACTATCATATTTCCTCAGATCATTACTGCGTGCCGCTTGCGACTGTAGACATATTTTCTTTCACTAATAAAAACCTCCCACGTTTTTGTTGTTCAGACAGATCACAGTTACTGAATTTTGTATAGTATCTGTTTGCATTTGCCATGTTCTTTTTAAACATGGAAGATGAAATCAAAGTTTCATCTTCTTATTCCTTAAAAGATCTTTTTGAGATTCTTAGGCTTTTATTAATAAAAGTGATGCGTGAATTTGCTTCTGTCTTTATCCCAAACCTCATCTTTCTTCTTTTTTCTGCTTCTATTAATATACTAGTAAATCTTCTGGGTCCCTCTGCAATATTTCCAATAAGAGAAATCAGGCCTTCTTTGCGTTTCCTGCCACTGGAACCATTTTACTCTGTATTACTTTTTCCCCAATCACTTCAGATCTAATTGAAAAGTCTCTTTCTTCCCTTGTCTCCTAACTTCTGCTATTGCTCTCTGTATCTGTGTTTTCTTTAGGTGTGAAGTTTTGTGGAGAAAAAATATATATAAAAATGTGCTATGTACAGTTGAGCACAGGGATCGGTGGAGAAGGATGTATCAGTGTTTTCTGTTCCTGTGCCAATACTGCTCTCCCTGTGAGGGAGCTGGGGAGGCTTTGTGTTTCTGCTTTGACGATCTTTCTCATATTTTTAATAGCTGATGCCAACTTCAGTTTCTCCATGTAATGATGACTCTGGACATCACTGAGTGAGAGCACCTTGATTGTCAACAAAATGCCACTGATGGGTCTTAAAGAAAATGCAAGTCATACCATTTCCAGACTGGCAACCTGGCCTCCTTTTTTTTTTTTTTTTTTTTTTTACAGAAGTAGTTTTGGTGGTGCTCGGTCAGTCCCAGCTGTATGCATTGTGCATTGTTGCATGAATGACATCAGGCAATATTTTTTCCTTTACACAGCTGCTTGCCATCTGTTGCTGAGTGAAAAGCGAACAAGTTTTAAATGGGACCTGAATGCTGGGGCTGCTGAATTCATTTCAGCAGTGCTTCAGACTGAAGCACGAGAATTGTATTTGTGTAATTACAAGTTGTTCTGACAACCTGTCCTTTGCAGCTGCCAGAGTTGAACTGCTCATGGTTACTTGAAAAAATGATTACCTGAAAAATGATTTGAATGCAGTCATGCTGTCAGGGCGTTCCATTAAATGCTGATGTCCTCTCAGGCTAAACATCACATTCACCATGTGTCCAGCATGACTCAGAGCATGTTTTAAGGTGAAGTAATTTCTTGATGTAAGACCTTCCTCCTTGACCTGTAATGCTGAAGTCAGACTACCTGCCATCCACCATGGACGAGTACCCCTTTGGGTAGGAAAATGTGGCCTTCCCATGGGAGGGCATGTGGTAAGTGACTCCTCAATACACGAGATTTCCAGGTAAGATTTTTTTCTGAGTTCCCTCAGTCAGACAGACAAGTTGTGTCATGTGCTTTGGTTACTTTAATCATCTGCTGGCACCTGTTGGAGATAAACATAACTTTTATGCCCTGCTGCTTTTGATAGGTAGGTGGAATGCTGCTCTGAACCTGCCTGCATTGCTCTCCAAAAAGCTATTTCAAATCAGTCAGATGAATGTTATTATTTTATAGCTGCCCATGTATCCTGCTGGCTGGTAATACTTGTAAACAACTAGATTGTAATGCCATAGGCTGACTGCTTTTAGTGGTAGGTCTTGCTGTAAGTCCCAAGACCTTGAAGTCTCTGAAAGCAGTGGAGTCTCAGTGATTTATACAAGCCAAGCATCCCTAAAGAGGATTCATTTAATGGATGTGGTTTTGAGAAATATGTTGCTACGTCCCTTTTGCTTGCCTGGTATCATTTACATGGGAAAGCCCTGCTGTGTTTTGTTGAAGAAGCATCTGTCAGGAATTGCCTGTTTCTTTTTCCAGGTCACCTGCTTTTATGGAGCGTGTTCTGTCTTGGCTGCAGTGAGTATTATTCAGCCTTCAGCCAGATTTCCAAGGCAAATGTAAGTGAGAACAATGTCTCTCTGATCTTGTTTCTCTGTCCTGTTCATGGATGTGTACTGCCTATAATTGCTTACAATCATTCCTGCTTTCTTAACATCAGGAGCAGAGGCCACCATTATTATTTCATACCTAAGTCAAAAGCGTATGGACTAAGGATTTTATAAAACAGTTTTAAACTTAAGGACCTTCAAAAGATGTGATAAAAATATTGCCTTGTAGTTGTTCTTGCTCTACCAAAAAGAAGTATTTGAGTAGGTTGAAAAGACTTTCTTATTGATCAAAGGAATGAGCAGACGTTTAAAACCGTGTTTTAAAAGGTGAGTCACAGAAGCAAACAAATGAGAAAATAGCTTTGCTTTTCCTCTAACTTTCTTCTTGTACAAAACAGCCAGTAACTGATGAAATCTGAAAAATCCTGGTATAGTCAGAGTATTAGACAGACTGCAACTCTGTCTAATAAACAAGAGTTGTCCTGAAGTCTATGGATATCTAGCAGCTTCAGCCTGGGCAATGTCTGGCCCACTGGTATCAAGCAAGGGGGCAGCAGGAATGTCACAGCTCCTGTGACCCCACTGCCTCCGGCTGTGGTGCCCACATCACCCCAAAGGGACACCCTACCAAGACAGGTCTGTGTCAGCAATGTAGAAGGGACAGTTCAGAAGGAGCCAGTGTCAGTCAGTACTTGCTCTCTTTCAGTTAGAGCACACCAATAGCCCATGTGTCGACATTAAAAACCATGATTTGATAAGTAAAGTAACCTGGTGTTTCCCAAAGACAGGTGAATTCTCTCTGATGTTGCATCTGCTCACATTGCAGCTGGTTTGGCAAAGACATACACTGCAAGTATGTACTGTAAAAGTACAAAATGAAAAGACACAAAGCTCATATCGCTGCAGAAGTCACACAGCCATTCCTCCTCTCACACACAGGCACTCCTTTTTACTGCTTTTACTTCCCAGTTCTTTTTCTACCATTGGGAGAACAGATCATATGTGGATATTAAAAAGTATGAAGTATGTCAAGCTGAATGTTGTACCCTGGAAACAAGCTCAGGGCATGTTATTGACCTACATGAGTTGGGAAGGCATTAAGGAGAAGTAGGAAAGAGGATGAGAAGCAGGAATACCTTGCTGGCAGGTATGTAACTCTTCGACATCTTCTACTGCAGGGAAGGGAAAGAAAGGAGTGAGGCTGAAAATTAACGTGTTAGGTTCTAGAGATAAGCGAGGAAGAGGTAAATGCTGGGGAATTAAAATAGTGTGACAGGAGAGAAAGCAGAAGGAACTGCTCCGAAGAGAGGCAGCGAGACATGTTTCAAAGGAAACTGGGTGCAGGTGTGTTGCAGTTCAGTTTGGTGGTGTGTGGGCTCCTGTGCTGTGTCTGGTGGGGCTGGAGGGGAGGAAGCAATGCCCCGGGCTGTACCAGGGAACATTCTTACTGGGATGACTGGCAGATCGAGTTCACAAACATGGAAGACATGCTCTGCCACGTGGATTTTATTGACTGAGAGTTAGTGAGGGATTCCACACGCCACCATGGCCTGCAACAATCCCCTCCCAACCTCCTAAAGTGAAATTAATTCTGAAGAAACAAAGCATGTCTCAATGGTGTGAGAAAGCCTTCATTTTTTACTTACTGCTCAGGTGTCATGACTCCAGGTTTTTACCATGGCTCAAAAGGTCTTTCACCTACATTGAATCCTAATGGTGGCAGTCAGTGGTACATTCCAGTTCCCCCTTCAAATATCTGTTCTGATGGCTTCGCAATCTTGGCATTTGAACTCTCACCAAGCAGGCAGAAAGGATGACAGCTGAAATCAGCAGGAGATCAAACATCCATCTATCTCTTTCGCTAAGCTTTTCTGGACCACACTGTCTCTTTGCCACTTTCCCTCCAGCGAAGGGATGCCATTTCATCAGTAAAATTGGACCACCTCTTCAGGCAAGCCACAAACTTTTGGCACAGGGTAAAAGGCATTGTGCCCCTCGGGATTTTTCTGTGCAGTCCCTTCTTGCAGCAGTTCCTCTCACCTTTGCATTATCTGGGTTCTTCTAATATGCTTACATGTAGGTTTTGCTTTTCTACCCTCTGGCACCATATAGCTCTGTTCTCTCTTCCTTGGGATAGAAGTAACACTATCTTACTGGTAAGGAAAATGGTGCCTCTAGAGATATTTTTAGTTGCTCAGGTATCTTAACAAAGAAGGAGCCCATTTAACATTTGCAAAAAAAAAAAAATAGGATGTTTTATACAAAACTGGGAGATTGAATGGGAAGGGAAACAGAAGAAGGGGAGAGCATACAGGCAGTGGCTTTTTTTCCGTTTTTTGTTTTTTGTTTTAGTTTTTTCCAGTTCTTCAAGATCTATATAAATGTGAACACTGAAAGTCACCACTGTCCCTTTTGTTTCTGGAAAAACTGTGCATTTGATATCCATCCAAGATGGATAAATGGAGGGAAATGGGACATAAGTGCCAGGGGCTCACTGTTCTGTTGCTTGCTGGGCAACAGCAGTAGCTGGTTACAGTAAGTTTGATGCTTTGGGCCTAAGAATTTTATTGTATATTTGCTGCAAGTGATGGGATCTCGAAGGTGATCCACTGTACATGGAGTTGCCTGAGGTTGATCAGTTCAGAAATGGCTTTGTAGGTCTGTGTATCTGAGTGTAAAACTGCCATCAGTCTGGTAGTATCCTCACCATAACACAGATTTTGTTTTCAAGTAACTTTGGAAGCTTTTGTATTGGGATTTTGTTGTTCTGGTAGCATCGCAGACTTCATGAAGTAATGCCTAAGCTGGCTTGGAAGTCTGCTGCTCAACCCACTCACGAATCAGCTGGTGAGCAATGGCCTGTTTGGGAGGGAACCAGGGTAAAAGACTGCCATTGTCTCGCTTTGAAGATCCGGGCTCTCTCTTGAGACCCTCCACGATTTCCTCCAGGCCAAACCAACGGGCTTCCTCTAGTTCCAGGCTGTTCATACTGATCTGGAAAGAATTGAGAGTATCAATTCCTTAAATCAGATTTAAATGTGGGCAGTGGTACTTGGCTTGCTCTTGCACTCACAAAGATCCTATGCTAGAATGCCCAGAGTGCTTTATCTGTGCCTGAATTAAGTGCTGATGCTGCCAATACAGGAGAGGACATTACTATCCACCAGTGCTTTGTCATCTTGGTTTCCACAGGGAAGCCACAGCTCGGGTAGCCAATTCCATCACAGTACTGGCCTGCAAAGTACCAGTGGCTGAGCACAGTAATTAACATGGCAGAATCTGCATGCCCTGTGGCAAATATGATATTATTACTAGAGAGGACCTCCTCTGCAAAGTTCAGAGGGAAAAATATAGGGATGTTGCGCTCCGGACTTGTATATATACAGCAACCTGTGCAAAATCTGGCAAACTGCACCAGAAGGTATGATTATTTCAAGGTTTGTTCTTCACTTGTAGAGAAAGCTGATGGAAAACTGCATTTAGAGAGGATCTGATGCTCTCCAAACTAAAGTCTGTGGACTGAAAGAGATTTTGTTATGTAAGGCAGGCAGTGAAATGCCTCAGGGGAACCTGAATCTGCTCACCTCAGCCTGCTGTACTCTCACCATGGCGTGACAAGCTATCATTAAGCAGCTGCTGGGAAAGGGCCAGTGCTGAGAAGCTGAGTACCGGAGCGAGTCCACCTCCAGGCCCACCTCTTCTGCCACCTCTCTCCGGACTGTCTCCTCCACGTTTTCACCTAGAAGCAAGCAAAGTTAGGTAAGGACGGCCTGGCCTCAGGGCAGCAAACCGTGGCAAAGAAAATACAGGCACGCCGATTTCTGATGTGTTCCAGCCCTGACTGCTCACACACAAGCAGGAGCTCTGACTGTGCTGACCTGGGAACACTTGTCAGCAGGATGCTCAATTAAATTCATCAACAATGCTTACTTCCCTTAAATACAGGTGTCAGGGACATTTTTAGCTTTGTCTATATACAGCTGGTGTACAGAACAGTGTCGCCTCTCTTCATCATATCCCTTTTTAAGCCATTATCCCTCCTGTAACAAGAGGTCTGTAGGTTTTCTTTTTCCTGAGCCAGACTGGACTAGGCACAAAATGGACTAAAAAAGTATCCGGGGTTCTAGCTGCGGAGTCTTATACTTGTATTTACCATCAGAGACCAGAGCAACTGATACCCGTAATTCCCTATTCTTTTTAATTCTGTCTGAACGCCACACCAATCTATTTAGAGCCAGTAGGTTTTTTCCCTGCTATCACCTATGTTTCCATCCTCCTCTGTGAACAGCCGTTCGCTTGGTGTCCCGTTCTTCTGCCCCCGTGCCCTGCACGTCCGAGGCCACCACGCTGAATCAGAGACCACCTTACCCAGGTCACAGAAGCCTGACAGAGCGCTGTACATCCCCTGGGGAAATGAGGGCTGTCGTGCGAGGAGGCACCGGCTCCCATCAGACACCAGGGTGATAACCACTGCAGACATCTAGAGAAACGCACCGAAAAGCAAAGCAAGGAGTTCAGACCAAATGAGTAAGTGCAAATTGTTGCTTTTCCTAGCTGGTTGGGGGACACTGAGTGAACGCTAAAGGAAAAGTACCCAGCTACATACAAAGCAATCCTGCTGCCTTTTACAGGTTGCCTTCCACGAGACCCAGCAGCACTGGCTTGCCACTGCACAGACCCGGTGTTGCTTACATTTGTTGCTGTGCTGGGGTTGAGTGTTGGGGTTTTTGGTAGCAGGGGAGGGGGCTACAGCGGTGGCCCCTGGGAGAAGCTGCTCGAAGCTTCCCCAGCTCCCAAGTCAGACCCGCCTCTGGCCAGGGCTGAGCCAATTAGTGACGGTGGCTGTGCCTCTGCAGTAACGTATTTAAGAAGGGAAACTTGAGAGGGGGCTGGGACTGGTGAGGGGGAGGTATAAGGACACCTATGTGAACACCAAGGTGCACCAGAGCAGAGACCCCCTGTATCCCGTGCTGAGAGGGCAGGGCCACCCCCCCCCCCACCACCCACGGAGGTCACCGGTGGAGCAGAGCCCGACCTGAAGCCTGTGGAGGAGCCCACAGCAGGACAGGCGGCTGCGCTTAAAAGAAGCCGGGACTCTGAGGGGAGAAACGGCCCCCACGGTTGTGGTTCGGCGCTGGGAGGGCTGGAACACGCGGGGGGGGGACCCACAGCAGGGCAGCTCGGGAACGGCTGCGGCCCGTGGGGGGGACTCGCTGCGGGGAAGGTTCACGGAGAACTGCCTGCAGCCAGAGGGGAGCCCCGTGGAGCAGGGGAGGGGTGTGTGGTGTTCACCCCCCATCCCGAGGGGGAGGGAGCGGCGAGCTGGCTGTAACCCCCATCCCCTGCCCCTGCGGTGCTGGGGGAGGAGGGGGAGAGATGGGGAGCAGAGCTGAGCCCGGGGAGAAGGGAGGGGTGGGAGAATTGTTTTTGGATGTGGTTGGCACTTGTCACTGTCCCACTTTAAGTATTGGTTTTGTTAGTGTTTGAAATAAAGTGATGTTCTTTTTTTTGACCCTAACAGGTCTGTCTTTTGCCCGTGACTGTAATGGTGAGCCACCCCTCCCTGTCCTTATCTCAATTCCTGAGCCTTTTGCTTCATGTTCTCCTTCCCATTCCTGAGGGGGAAGGGTGCACGGTGCTCAGTTGCCCTCTGGGCTCACACCAGGACAGGTGCTTACCTGTGGATAGTAAATTATCCCGCTGGCATGGCAGACACGCTTGCTGCCAGCCACATTTTTCTGAGTGGGCTGCCCAGTTTTGCTACAGTACTGGTGGGAATCGTGCCACCGAAGAAGGGACTGAGCCTGCAAACACCAAGAGAGAAACACAGATCTTATTTATACCTGGGGCAAAGAAAAGATTCAGAGCAGTCTCCCTGAGTGAGACTTTGCTGTCTTCTCCCCAGCATGCAGTCATGTGGATAAACTCTGATTATGTTTGGAAGCCTTAGAAAGGTAAATGAATTACAGACACTGCTTTGAAAAACAGCAGATTCTGCCATCAGTGTTTCATGCTTCTTGCTTTAGCATCCAAATTTGAGCATGTTCAAGGGAGATGGGGAAGAGTTATTCTTTATTGGGATATAATGGGAAACAAACTATTCTAAGGAGTCTCTAACCCTGAATACCTTCTTGAAAAATAGCCCAAGCACCACAAATGTTATAGAGCGGGAAAAGAAACATGAGCTGTTTCTACTTATGGGTCAGAACAGCTGATTTTCACACACAGATCTTTTCTTAGGGCTTCCTAACATAGGGCACCTGCAGAGCAACAGCTTATAAGTGAGTAGTTTTTAAAGAGCAGCTCTGAGAGAAGACCTGTAAGTTTGTTTTTGAAATTCAGTTTGACTAGAAGATTACAGAAAACTAGTGCCTGATAGTTGTCAAGCTGAGGACAAAGTGGGATTCCTGTGACTACCGATAAAATCAGTATGTTTCACACTGGACATACAGCAGGTCGATGGTAAATGGCTAATTACTGCGGTTGTTTATAAGCCACTTGTCTATTTCTGTTGCAGCTTGCTTTTGGGAGCACAGCTTTGGGAAAACTGCTGTAATTTATAGTGTGTTTGTACCTAGGTCACTGAAAGTGTACAGTAGGTACTTCCACAATATGTATTCAATCATAAAACAATATGGGAGACAAGGAGAAGGGTCGATGTTAGAAATCGCAACTTCTTAAAGAAAAAAATCCTGTACAATACCGAAGCCAGCACAGGAGAATCTTTCCCATCCACTACGAATAGAGCCTTTCGTAAGTCAGTAAATGATCCCTTGAGTTCAGACTCAATGACTGATTTCTCCAAGGCTCCTGTTGAAAGAAAAAAACAACAACAAAATCTTTGATCCCGGAAATTGCAGTTATTATCCCAACTTTACGCCCTTCATTGTTCCGGTATAAAATCTCTGAAAGTTCCCCTGGATGTGACATCACATCGGTGGTAACACTCCCGAATGCTAAGTGACCTGCTAACAGCCCACTTTTACTAACACACACACACAGGAACAGCCGTGCTGTCCTGTGGCTCTGACCCACCACGCTCACAACAGCTCCTACAGAAACTCCACCGAGCCCTCTTTGGCAGTAAATGGCCACTACACTGCCAGTTTGTTTGTTTACTGCCAGTAAGTGGCAGTAAACCCAGCCAGGACTAGGGATCTTCACCTCGGTGCATTAAATGTAATGCTGACACAGATGGAAGAGGAGAATCATCCCAACCTAAATCCAGGGCGAAGTGTGGTATGTGCTCGTCTGAGCAACCGATCAGCACCGACTTCTCCATCCACTGTTCAGCCTCTTTGAACTTCTCCAGGATCCTTTTAATCTCTAAACAGCAGGGGAAAGGGAAAAAAAAAAAGAGCTGTGATGAAAGCAAATTCATAAAACCACGATGCTGTCTCAGGATCTTCAAGGCACACACAACCTCAGCTCAAGGTGGGGTGCTCATGTGAGAGAGGGGACCAGACGAGTGGTCCCACCCGGATGGAGACTGAAAGTCTGGCTTTCCTCCTAGCTGTTGGGTTTTGACCATGGCAAATGTTTTCACACTCGGGGAGCAGCTGTCCATTCTGTTTCTGTCCTACACCAGCCAATACTTTTTTCTCAAAGAAAACTTCTCCTGCATTACGCCAAATAACCTTTGTCAGTTAGACCTTGCTTGTTTTCCTGCCAGCCTTTTCTCTTCAAAAAGCACAGTCTCAAATGTTTAAAACTGATCATCTCAAAACAGATTGGGTATACGCTGGTACCATATAAGTGTGGAGAGCATGAACTCGTGTCGGCATGCTAAGGTTTTAACCCTAAATTGTCTTTGGTTGTTAACAAACAGCGTGCTGCATATAGCAGGATGTTCCTGCACAGCTTGATTGATTTTCAACCCCCCATGTAAGGGGTTGCTTATTGCAAATGACTGTCTCATTTCAGCTGTGTGATCCAGGTGTTTCTTTCCGGACACCTGCTTACCTGCTGCACTGAGCTGTGGGACCAAATATTTCTTCCCAACTTTCTGCAGGAAGGGGGAGAAATTGTGAAAGAGGTAGAAAGTTCCTGAGGTCTGGGCTTGTCTACAAAGGCCATCATCTTCCTTTAGCTCATATAAGTATCTGCAGTGAGAAAATAATTGAGAAGATGAATTCAAGGTCATGTTGAGATTACCTGTGTTACGCTTATTTGGAAGCATTTATTTTGCGCAGAGCAGGGGGGCTGAATGGACAATACTGATTTCATACATGCCACACGCTTCTAGGGTTTTTGACAGCTGAGTCTACTCCTTGGTGGGCTGTAGCCTCTAGTGAAGGTGCCGTGTGGCAGAAAATATTGCAATTTTGACTACCGCACAAGTAGCCTCAAGTCTTGGACATCCACCAAGATCAATAACCCAGCCTCTTAATCCAAGAGGTCTGCTTTGTAGACATGGACATTTGTGTTCAGGAAACCTTGATCCTCCCCCTCTTATCCCCCCAATCTGGAGGGCTCCAAGTCCTGTTTGGCAAGGCTACTGAGCACTCCAGATGTGGAATCTGCTTCCCACCAGGCTACATGCATTACTGCAGGGTATGTTCTACCTGTCACACCGATGTGAGGGGTAAAGACCAAGCTGAAGTGTTAGGGCCCAGCTGGCCAGGGCTTGAGTTAGTAAAAGCAGTCATTGGGAAAAAAAGTGTCAGGATGTGCTTCTTTCAGCCTGTCTGCAGTAGTATTTAAAATGAGGTGAGCAGCACCGCTTCAGGTCTATGGCTTGTATTCTAAGAGATCTTTAGCTGGGACAGCAAGCATAGGCATGCGTTAATAGAGCTCCAGCCTGCAAGAACCAGTTCTTATCAGGGAGGAAGGCAGTGGAGAGATTTTGACTGTTACCATTTACAGAGCTCACATTGCATTACTGTATTATTGCTGAACTGTTAAAAGATTAACCCCCGGTTTAGATTTAGGTGGGGGTGCTTGCGACAGTTGACACAAGAGTGTCAAACTTTGGCCTTCCCACTGTACACAAGAATCGGATGAGAACTTACCTCATTTTTTTAACGTAGGTGGAGTGTAACCTGCAGACGGGAGAGGAGGCTCTTCTATACAGTGCTTGATAAATCGCAGCCATAACCAACACCTACAGGTAGCTGTCTGCCTAAAAAGAGAAGCATAAAATATAGTGCAGCGGCCCTACAAAGTTAAGTTTGATTTAAAAGGTGCAATAACCCAGTGCTACCAGAAATCTCCCTCTCACAGAGTCTGCAGAATGCTGGCATCTGCTTTCTAAAATTATCACTTTGGTCTTTGTCTCTAGTCACACATCAAACCCAGTTTCAGACAATTTTTAAGACTATTTAAAGACACCTCAGTTTGTTTCCATCTGCGGGTGTTCACAGGACATACAGAAATTGCTGTAAGACTAGATTAAATGTTCCTGTCCTAAACTCCTGTATCTCCAGGGAAAAGTGCAGAGAAGGTGGCTGCTCTCTTGTTTGTTTTCTACGCAGTTGTAGTGGCCTCGATCCAACTGAAAATCCTAGTGCAGCACACAGTAGATCTGTGGGAAAGGCACTGATGCCAGAAGAGAATGAAAGACAAAATATCAGCTGCAGAAGAGAATTCCCTGAGTTAGAGGAGAGACAGCAGTTGCAGCTGAATTGGATCATCTCCAGCTATGAATGTTTCTTGTGCCAAAGGATCCTACCACATTTTCAGCTCAGGCAGTGACAGACTGCAGTTTGAACTCAGTTTCGGGATGTCAGAAAAGAGCCACAAACGCTACCCCTCTCTAGCGTTCATCAGAAACATCAATGAACGATAATCCTTAACGATTGCTTCAAATACGTCACTTTTCAACCGAAGAACTCAAAGCCCTTTAATGAGGAAGTTACGTTTGCTTCGATTTACGGACACATAAGCCGTGCCAAAGAAGAGCCTGAGAGTCCTTCCTTCCTTTCGGTAAAGGTCAGCTCCGAGCCGGAGCGGTGCCCGAGCAGAAGCTCCTATCTGTACGTGGAGGCTTCTGACATCTCTGCCCCAGGTCCCCCTTCCCCACTGTCTCAGCGGAGGGTGGTCTTCACCGGGATGATCCCTGGGGAGCCAAAGCTGGTGGGGAAGCCGCCGGGGGAGAGGATCGGCGTCCCAGCTCCGTGCGTGGGAACTCGCACCAGGCGAGGACGGCGACCTCCACAGAGGCCGTGTCTCTGAAACGTTTTTTTTGGGGGGGGGACGACGGGGATTGTGTGTCCTGTCACTTCTTCTCCACCCCGGCCGCCTCGGTGTAGCCTGGCGTGTGAAAGTCTCCAGCACGGCCAGCCAGCACCGAATCGAGGAGTTCACAAACGGCTCCGCACTTTGCTCTGGAATGAGCAGCTGGCTGGGGATAAGAGGAATAGCTCGTACCTGGAACGATGAAATGCAGTGTATGCAGGCGTTTAACCCCTTCCTTCCTAGGAACCACAACGCCAGATTGCGGTGTCGGACCACTGACAACTCAGGGACAGGAAAAACTTGATCTCGGAGGGGCCAGCCCAAACTCCCCTGGGCTTAGGTCTGTCCTGCCCCCCCCCACGTTTTCCCCACTCACAGGGCTCTGTGCAGGAGGAGGGCTGTCTCCAGCAGCAGGGATCAGCCACGGCAGTCCCACGCAGGCCTGGGTTAGCAGCCCTGCTCCTGCAGCAACCGGCGGGGCAGCTCTTCCCTCACTGGGGGTACTGGGAAATGTAGTTCTGCGCAGGCTGCTCGCAAGCCCTATAAAAAGCTAGATGGCTGACTTGATTTTGCTTAACTTCTGGAGTTAGCGAGGCTCTTTCCCCTTTCCACCTCCCTCTCCCCCCACCCCCCCGCTTCATTTGATCAGAAATCCTCATGCTGTATTTTGCCAAACAGAAGTTATTATTATGAGAACAATGCTACTGCAGTAATTTGAGCTGTTCTCAGCAGAGGCGTTTGTTCCTGCTAGTTTCTTTCTCCCTTTTGCTTTTTTTTCTTCCAAGCGTCTGGTTTTTGTATCCGTAACATAAGAGCATTTTTTAAAGTTAAGGACCATATGTCCTCAAACAGGAAAATATGCCAAGAGCTGTAGATATCTAAAGGACGGGGCTGTTTAGTGTTCAAGCACCCAAACTTGCAGTTGAATTTGTAAGTGAATAGCTCCGATCAGAAAGCACGCTTTGCCAAGACAGATGTCAGAATAATGACAAATTATTTTCATGCCTTTACAACTGAACAAACAGATTCCTCTGAAGTACTGAAAACATTATTCTGGGCTGGAACCTACCTGCCTATATTTAGCACAAAGAGAATTTTATAAACATACGAAAGTAAATGTTTTCAGGGCAGCCTTTTGCTTTTTGGTCATGAATTGAGACATTCTAATCGAGATTCCACATCACATGATTTGAGAATGTAGCTTGTAAAAGCAATAAATAGAATAGGCAGGGAAATAGCACTCTTGTTACCAGCATTACTTGCAAGTTTAGGCTTAATTGCTTGACTGCTATTTGTGTGCTTCCTGAAACAAAGCAAACCCAATCTTATTAATCCACTAGGCTAACTGGATTAATGGACAAAACATCTTCCCTTAATAAGATAAAGGAGTGGAATATAATCTCTAAGGGAAGTATCCACCCTGCTGTTAAAAGAAACTAATAGATGTACTGACCCTGACTGCCCCCAGAAATGGATCTTGCAAGAAGAGCTGGCTTTAGAGGGAAGCAGTTGGGGGAGCTACTTTGGACCTCAAATCCTGGGACAGCCTCTCAGCCTTCTCCTGCCCAAAGCAGTTGGTCATTTGGTAAATCCACCCTGTCCACGTGAAGGATTAAAAGTCAGAGCACTGTGCTGCAGTATGAAGGCTCCTTTGAAGGCAGTGCAGTGCTGTAGCCTCTCATTTGTATACACAGCTGAAAAAAATCATGGATTAGCCCAACTGCATACACCTGGCCACCGCGCTGTGTAAAGATATGCAGAGAAAATGAGCTTAGAGTCACTTCTATGATGGATCTGACCTGTGGGAAGCCGTGCAGTCTATAAGAGATTCCTTGTGCCTTCTCTGAGGATCTATACACCTGCCTGTGACTGCACATTCCCCTATTAAATATTTCTGCAGCACATAAACAGGTGAGACGATTTTGAAAACAACAGAGGCTTTCTTGTCACTTATTCACGTTAGTGTTTAATTTAAGGAGCACAAATATCAGTTGTCGCTTTGGCACTGAGTTGCTTCTTTGTAAGTCTTTTTGAGCTGGGCTCCGAGTTGTGTGAATTGCATCTATAAACTGTTATTTGACCCCTGCAGATACCATACTCCATGCGAGACGCAATCATGTGAGCGAAGTGAAGGCCTGGCTGTACAAATGTATCTCTGACAGCTTCCTGTAGTTTACTAATTTGAGCTCTGGCAGGCCACCAGAGGAAGTGAATCTCTGACTCTCCTGATGCAAGAAGAGCAAACAAAAGAAGCAGGCAAGGAGGACACAAGCAGTGAGAACAAATACTTGTCACCTCTTACATGGACAAGATTTCATATTTCTGGTCCTGTGTTGCTAAGTTTTGTTTTTTTTTTTTTTTTTAGATTTGGGTTTGTAAAATGCTCACGTTGATATTAGCAGTTGGTAAAAGATTTTTCAAGCCAAAGAAGTGGCTGGAAAATGTAATTCTAGGCTAATAATGGTTATACTAGTAATCTGGCTTTTTTTTGCTGTTCTGTTTTGTGTCTTTCCAACTGCCCCAATAAGCAGAAACAAGCATTAGAATTGCTTACAGCTGGCCCTTGCAAAAACAACTGTTAATCGCTTTAAATATATAAAACTAGCAAACTCACATTGAAAACTTATGGTCAAGCCACAAGAAACCTCATTTCTTTCTTAGGAGGATCCCAAGGAAAGACAAACCACTTTAAAGTTAAGGAGCAGTCTTTCCCTCTATCATTACATTTTAGATGCAAACTAACCAAATCTGGCTTTTCTCTAAAGTTAGACTTATAGTGTGTATTATATATATGATGGACTCCTGCAGTTTCTCATGCTCAGGATGGGAACCTTGAAAGAAAAAACTCTGATTTGATACTGCTGGTTACATTCTGTGCTCCAGGCACAGGTACAGAGGAGATACTTTAACAGCTGAAAGACATTTTAGCAGGATTTGCTCGTTTCAGCTTATTGGGGTAGCATGTGCAGTCTTTTTCTTTTCCCTCCCTACTGCTGTTAGTTAGTGAAGCTCCTCAAACCGTGGCAGTGATTTGCTGCACTGCACAAAACAACTGAGGATAGAGGACCCAGCCTGTCGAGTCGGGGCAAGGACATCATTTTGGGAGCAGATCAGCACTGCTTGACGAACACGTGTGAAACCAGATCAAGCCTCACCTCTTTACCAAGGGTAAAGCCTAAGTTGCTCATATACTTTAAAAAGCTCAGCAGTACTGTGAACTAGCTCAGTATGATATAAAGATGACTCACGCTGCATGCAGGTCATGGCCCGTGGTCTCTACAAGGATACTGAAGAACTGAAAAAGGTTGAAAGAGGACGACTGTGATCAACGACTTGGAGTCTTTGGTGGGCTCTGATGCTTCAGCCTGTTTCAGGGACAGGTACTAACTGTTTGCTGTCTCATCCTGTGCAGGAACCTGGTTAATGAAATCTAACTAGCTGGAGCCACATTCCCAGTGGACAAACGGAGGTGGTTTTCCATGCCCTGGCTACGGGATGATGCAACTGCCAGGTAAAGGACGTTGTGGCTGCAAAACAGTTCTAGCTCAAGAGAGGAGGAATACTTAACAGAGAACTCAGCTGAGGATTACTAAATATATGGACCACATCAGCCTGAGGAAATCCTTCAGTTAAAAGCGTTTGGAAGGTGGGACAATATTCTGGGCAGCATGGGCTAAATGAAGCTTTGGTGTAAGCCACTGTAGTTGTGTTCTTATGGAGCCTCTGGCCCTTCATTCTTGTTTCAGATGGACCTTTCTTTTAGTATCCTTCAGCTTAGGTCCTATGGAGTGCTTCTGCAGGATTGTTCAAAGAAGGTAGCATGCTGTTAGGCTTGTACTTGCTACAAAGGAGACGGCGTTTCTGCAAAAAAACACAGAGGGCTCTGCAAATCCTAAAGGAAGTCTGAAAGCCACTTTTTTCTGCTCTGGCACTCTCTCAGGAAGCGCTCCTGTTGCACTTTGAGATAGTAAATGCTTCTTAGCGAGGTGCTGACACAGTGACTTGCTCCACTAAGGCCTGCTTGAAGCTGCCCAGCCCCATCAGCATTGGACAGCAGGTGATGATGCACAAGTCCAGCACAGAGCAGTTTGCAACTGGAAGGTCAGTCATTACGCCAGAGTTGAGGAAGGCAGGAGAAAATGAGCAAGTACTCTCTACCTAACTGGCACAAAGCACTGATAAGGGGCAGAAACAGATTCACGGAGCAAGATGATGCCGTGGCTGTTGGAAACAGCTCTTGATTTCACTGCTTGGTAGATGACAAAATCCTGGGCTCTTTTTAGCAGAAATTTGTCTTCAGCCCTGTGCTGCCCAATACAAGCGAGCCCACTGCTCAACATGCTAATAAACTTGTTGTTGTTCTCCATTGTCTACCTTACTTTCTAGAAATATCTGAATAGTGCAAAAGATTATGAGAAAACAGTGAATCCCGCTAGAAAGAATCAGAATGCCTCTACAATGTGTGAGGTTTTGCCAAATCTCTAGAAGCTGCTCTTACAACTCTGGCTAGATATTATGGACTCTTTGGATAACAGGGCTTTAACTAGATGCCTCAGCTAGAAGCTTGGATATCGTTCCAGTGTTTCCTGCTAGTTGTAGGAGTTGTATTTCTGTTGGAAGACGACCAAAACGAGAGGAAAGGAAGGCTTATTTTTTGACGGATAGTTCCACAAAAAAACTGGCTTTCTTCCTGCTCTGGCGCAGCAGCGCTCACAGTACCGGTGATCTAGTCAGCTGTGTGGACACATCTGTGTCCACATCTGGATGAGAAATGACTAAATTCACTTAATGTTGTTTATTTCTCGTATGTCATATCTCACAGTCTTCCCCAAAACGGGTCATAACACCCGATGTTGTGCTGTTTGAAGACGTTGCTGAGGGAGTTGAAGCTGAGGGAACAGTTTAGGTATAGGGAAGAAATCGTAGTTAGGGATCATGCTGCAACCTCCATTTACCTCTTACAAATGAGGTGGGTTTAAGCCAGCTGAAAGTAACCCTGCTAAAGAATGTGCGTTAGAAAGGGATTTTGACCCATTGTGTCTTTCACAACAATTTGAGAGTGCTGGCAAAGTTTTACAGTTAGGGGTGGCCAAAATGCCTGTCTTAAAGGAAGGAAGATCACAGGCTGGTTAGGCTAGTAAGGAGATGATTCTTTATTTGAAGCCCGCATCTAAAAAAGAAAGAAAAAATTGCTTATGAATGTCCCCGATCCTAACTTAGTTGCTGGAACGACAATGAAAAAATACCCAGTTAATCTGTTAATTTCTAGAAAACAGTCGCCATCAGTCTGTCACGGCAAGACACATCCAAGCAGGTCAGCGTTGCTCTGTGAGGGGCGAGAGGCGATGTGCTCTGTGATACGGCTTTTGATGCCGCCTTGGGGGGTGCCTCTGCGGCGGGCCAAGTTTAGGTGAAGGAGGGAAGGCTGCTTCAGAAACGGCGCTTTGGCACAGGTACTGTCAGCCCAGAAGCATCTCATTCTCCCATCCAAAGCTGGGCTTTGCGGGAGAAGACTAGGGCCACCAGTAAGGACTGGGGTGATGGTGCAGAAAGCGTGCTGTGACCCCGGCTGGAGAGCAGAGGGGGGGGGGGCAGCAAAGGTGGCTGAGAATCAGAATTATCAGTAGAAATTAAAGCAGTAGTCGGAGAAAAAAAAAAGCGAGCTGGGCGAGCAGAGGAGGAGAGCCGGCGCGCCAGAGCACCGGGGCCCGTTCCACTGAAGGGCGCACCCACCCACGATGTGCCAAAAACGCCTCTTTTTCCCCTCAAATCCTTCTCCCAGTTTTTACTGTCCTGGAGGAGCGTCCCACCTTAACCTAATTTCTTTCCCCCTTCTGTGCTTAATTAAAGGAAAACAAAAAAAATAATAAAAAAAAATCCCTACCCGCTTGGCCGGTGGCGGTGCCCTCCCATGGGGGGGGGAAACGGGACCCCCGGGGCCCACGTGGAGCGGCGGCGGCGCATGCGCAGTGGCTCGCCCGCCGCTGTGACCGAGCTCACGTAGCGCGGCGGCCGCCCGCCCCGCCCCCGCCTCGCGCCGGACGGGACCGGGCGGGGGGGGCGGGTGGGCGTGGCCTTGGGCGCCTATAAAAGGTCTCCGCGGGGCCGGCCGCGCGCCGTCGGTCACGCCAGCGGGCTGCGAGCGGTGGCCGTTACCGGCGCCGTCCCCCTCAGCCGCCGCCCCGCCTCTTCGCTCAGGTGAGGCCCGGCCGTTCCCCCCCACCCACCCCCCCTCAAGCCCTACGCCCCGCTTCCCTTGGCGGCGGTGGGTGGGAGCGGGTGGGTCGGGGGAGGCGTCGTGAGGGGAGCGGCGGGGTCCGGGGCGGGGGGGGCGGGGGCGATACGTGGCAAAATGCTCCGCCGCTAGCCCTTCCCGGCCCGCGGCCGGTGTCCCGGCCCTTACGTAACGGGAGCCGGCAGCCTCCGGAGGGGGGCGGGAGGGCGCCGCCGCGCCGGCACTCAGGGCCGCGGCGGCCCGCCCGGCTTCCCCGCCGCTGGTAGACTAAACACCTCCTCCTCCTCCTCCTCCTCCTCCCGGGAGCTGCCGTCGTGCAGCTTGTTCCCAGCGCCCGGCGTTTAAACGGGGCTGCCAGCGGCTCGCAGGCATCCCCCCGCCCCGAACCTCGGCCCGTCCCGCCTTTCCCCCCGCCGGGGGGTGCGCGGCGCAGGTGGGCTCCAGCCCGGCTTTGTGGCACCTCCGCGCCTGCTCGGTATCTCCCCGGGCTGCTGCTGAGCCTGAATTGAAAAGGAGCTACGTGCAGCTGCTGGCCTGCTTGTTTGTGCTGCCTGAGGAGCTGGATGGAGAGCGCTTGGGCGCCGAAACGATTTCGGGCTCGGATGGATGAAAAGTTACTTGGTAGAAGCACCGACGGGGCTGCGCTGGTTGTCACACGCTGTGTTTGTAACTGCGGGCGCTGGGTGTAGTAATTACATCGTGAGGAATACGGCTTATCTTGATTTCCCTCTCCTTCTACTACTTTGGATTGGATTCAGCCAATTGCGTTATGGGAAATTCTACATCTAACTTGGTAGTAAGCTGTAGCCTTGAGTAGGTATCTTGACAGCTTCTAACCTAGCTAGAAGGAAAAACTTCACCAGGAAGTCTTGAGGGTGCTGTTGAACAAAGAGAAAATAAAAATGTCATGTGTGCTTAGAGTAAATCTTCTAGTTTGCCTGAAAAGCTGAATGTTCTTAGTGGAAAGATATTTTATGGTTACAGAGAGAAGTTATCAAAAGGATTGCCCAGTATTCAGTTTCACACTTTTTTTATTTTCACCTGAATTCAGTAAGAGGAGTTGCAGAGACGCTCGAGTACTTAAGTGTTCACCTACTTTGGATACATAAAGATTCAGTGCTCAAGGTTTTAGTAAATAAAAGATATCGGTTACAACAATAAATGTTAAATGCAGCTTCTTACAATGCCAAAGGCTATGCAGCTAAGCATGCAGACGGTATTGTGGCAGAACTGGAAAGTAAAGGTTATGACTTCCCAGTTCGTTTGGGAAGATGAGGCCTGCTTTTGGGGTCAGAGGTGTTCTGTGTCGTGCTGTTCTGCACCCGTTACTACTTGTGGATCATTGTTGGATACATATGAATTCTTGAACCATACTACAAAGCATTTGATTTGACCTAGAGTACTTTGCACTGCTTCATAATTAAGTGCTGACAGAACCAGTGCTGATACTTTTTTTTTTTAATCGACCTGCCCCCCAACCGTCTCCTGGGACTCAAAAGTAACAGGAATATGCCTGAATATACTCCTCCTGCTATGCTGAGGAGTGTTAATTCTGCCATTTCAGTGGTGGTTGTGGCATAGATAGGCATATCTCTTCTAGCTGATAATTAATTTAGAAGCTGAGGAAGCAGTGCCATTTCATGAATGAGTGTCCAGTGGCAGTGCTGTTCTAAGCAGTTCCCGATCTGTGCTTTTCACACGGGCTGGTATAGGTGGTAGATCAGAAATGAGTTTGTGGGGAAGAAGTCACTACCTTGCCTCACAGCAGAAAACAGCTGATGTGGATTAGTTCCCTTTGCTAATTCGCTGTGTAGCCCTACACATCATGGGTCATCTACTGGCACAGCTGAGGTGGTGGCGCAGAGACAGGAGCTGCTGCAGAAGCTTTGGTTGAACTCCAGGGTGAATGTATGCTTTAAGAGTTACGCATCCAGCCAGGAGGGAGAGCGGCTTCCTGACCTGTGGAGATTTAAAGAGTGTTGCATAGTGAATGGTTTTAAAATCCAGCATTTAAAGCTGTGATTTTGAGGTGTGCACATAGATTGGAAAATAGCCCATGCAGTTTGGAAAACATAAATGACAGATAATGGGTAACGCTGTGGAAGGAATGAGGGTAAACAGAAGTTTATAGGAGGAGAAGTCTGCCTCTATGTTGATACAGATAAGGACGCTTTTATTTTAAAGAAAGTAGTCCGAAAGAATATACTTGGAAGAAAGCCCCAAACAACCTTACATGACCAGTTGTATCTCTTTAACTGAGGAAAGACTGAAAATGAAATCTGTGCTGTAACAGCATCTTTGCTGTCACTTGTGCTGTGTGTTTCTAGGCAGCGTTCTTGCAATAGTTTGAGAATTACTTGCTGTTCCCCTTGAGAGGAGCAGGCTTTCTGCTACTGCAGAACCACTGCTGGGCTACAGCTTCAGCCTAAAAGAGCTCTGGTTTTCAGCTGTTGATCGTTGGGATTGTCCGGCTTTCTTTATAATCACTCTTAATATGTGGAGACATTCTGTGTATCTCCTATAGGTATTCTGTTAATCCTTGAGTAGAAGGGTAAATAGGATAGCCTCCTACTTGTTGTGTCTAATACGATAAGTGCTCCGCTCCATTGCCAGTGTTCTTTTGTCTTGGATTAGAAAGTTAAAACAAGTGGGCACTGAGAGGGCTGTGTCCGTTCAGTTTTAGTCTGGAAGAAGCCAGGGAAAAACTTGCTTCAGTTCCCCAGGTACAAATCTGTGTACAAATACGCCTGTTCTATTGTCAGACTCATGAATGTTGTCTGCAAGTTGACAGTAACTGATACTTAAAACATGTTACCTACTTGACTCTAAAATTGATTCCCATCTCTTACTAGATTATTATATTGCTTATATATATAAGATCACTTATTACAACTTTGTCATTAGAAAGAAACCTAAAACATGCCATGTTCTTTTGTTAGCAGCAGTTCTAGAAAATCTTTATTCTCTCACTGCTTGGATCTTAATTTTAAAGCAGCCTTTAAATATGCCATGCTAGAGAACTTAGGGACTGGATTCTGATGTTTCTATCGTTTCAGACTATTAAGCAATGATGGCATCTGAATATTCCTGGTACCTTGCACTTTGGGAAAGTTCTTTCGAGTATTTCCAGTCACATTGTGTCATGAAACTACAACTTGAGTTGTCCTTGAGACAGGAGAGGATTAGTGCAGTGACCAGCTATCGTTTGTGGTGCTCTCCTCTTCCCCTAAACTCAGCTCAGTTTATTACTTTTTTTTTTTTTTTTATGATTATTATTATTGCAGAGAGTGGTACACAGTAAAGGTTGTGAGAGTGGACCAGTATTTAAATCAAAAGTTGAGGATCTTGGTGATACAGTTTTGACTCATGGTCTTGCAGCAGACTTAATTTTGAGTAGGTCACTTATTTTTTACCTAAATAAAGAAGCTGGTTTTGCAGTTAAGTTAGAGCTATTCCAGAATAATTCCATGTTGAAGTATACCATCGGTTTCCATTTTCTATCTTATTTTCCAGATCCTGGTAAGCTCCCAGGAGCTTGGAATTGATAGTGAGGAGACTTGCATAATAAGAGTTTTCAGTTAAATGCTTCGGTCTTCGGTCACCAATTAGCATGACCTTGATTGTTGTGAGGTTATATCACTGTAGTTTGTCTTCACTTTTCATTCTGCTTGCATGGATGCTATGTGCATGTGCACTCCCCTGTGACTTCTGCATGTTGTTTCTACTTGTAGAGTAGAGCCGAACTCTTTAAAAGTCCTAAAAAAACCCCTGCCTCTAAGTTTCATCTGTTGAAATGTCATGTGTTGCGTATCCCTACTGTTTGGGGAATCCTGTGCTTCGCTTGGCAGTATCATTCGTCTAGTCACTGCTTTGTTTTATTTGTATCTACATGTTCTTTGCTATTTTTTCCCATTCATTTTTTTTCTGCTCTGCCATGTTTTACTGTTTCAAAGCTTAGCAAATGTACTTCTTAACGGAAAGTCGGGAAGCTCCTATGTTAAAGCTGTCAGCTGGACTCCCACTTCTGTGTGTGGGGGTAGTGGATTCCCTCCTCTCTGAGATACTCAGCTGCCATCTTTGTGTTTGCCTGGGGGACATGGCTGAGGAGGAAAGTCAGACTGACAGGAATAATGTAGAGAGGATTTTCATCTTGTTTTACTTCATGTCACTGACAGGAAGAAATTAAGCCTACTTATTTGGCAGCTTGTGTTTCTAAGAGGTTTTCAGCATCTATCTTAACTGAGCTTTATTTTCTTTGATTTGGGAACCTATAGCTGGTCCTTCTGCAACAGTTTTGAAAGCTGTGCTAGTTAGCAACCGCCATTAGGGCAGTGAAAGCCTGGCTGGCCACTGCCTTGGGCTCCATTTCTAACTCTGAATTCTGTCTGGGAGGGAAGTAATCTTGGGTGGCTGAAAGCTGTTATGGGAGTCTGAGTCCTTGCAAATGACAGAAAATCTGGAGACTGTAAAAGGAAAGAAAAATTAAGTTGGAAGTGACCTCTGGATGTCATCTAGCCTAACCTCCTGTTTGAAGCTGGGTGAGCATGGAGGTATCCTGGGTTTGAGTGAGTGGTGGGGTAGCAGGAGAAGGGGCTACAGCGGTGGACCCTCTGAGAAGTTTCTCAAAACTCCCCTGGCTCCAAGTCAGACCCACCTCTGCACCAAGGCTGAGCCAATTAGCGACAGTGGCTGTGCCTCTGTGATAACATATTTAAGAAGGGGAACTTGGGAGGAGGAGTTGGAGTTGTGGGGAAGAGTTGTGACATCTGTGTGAACACTGAGGTCAGCTGAAGAACGAAGGAGGAAGAGGGGGGAGAGGTGTGCCAGATCAGAGACCCCTCTGTATCCTGTGGTGAGATGGCAGGGCTGACCCCCACTCCACCCATGGAGGTCCACGGTGAAGCAGATGCCAACATGTGGTCTGTGGGGGGCCCCATGCCTGTCTCGGGTGACTGTTCCCAAAGGAGGCTGGGATCCTGTGGGGAGAAGCAGCCCCTGCTGTTGTCGTTCGGCGCTGGGAGGATTGCAGCATGCGGGGGAGTCCCACGCCGGAGCAGCTCGAGAAGGGCTGCAGCCATGGGAGGGACTCAAGTCAGAGAAGTTGTGGAGGACAGTTTGCTGTTAGAGAGGGACCATGCTGGAGCAGGTGCTAGAAGTTCTCCCTCCTCCCCTCTCCCCTCCCTCAAGATGGCAAAAGCGGCAGCACTGACTGCACCCTCTATCCCCTGCCCCCGCGCTGCTGCAGGGAGGAGGGAAAGATACCAGGAGCAGAGCTGAGCCTGGGGAGAAGGTGTTCTCAAGCTGTGGCAATGCTTCCCACTGTCCTACTCTGTTAAGCGTTGGTGTTGTTAGTGTCTGTAATAAATTTATGTTCTTTTTTTAATTCTCCTAAGAGTCTGCCTTTTGCCTGTGGCTATAATGGGTGAGTCATCCCTCCCTGTCTTTATCTCAATTCCTGAGCCTTTTTGGCTTCATTTTCCCCTTCCCAGTGCTGGGGGGAAAGGGAGGAGTGAGCGGCTGCATGGTGCTCAGTTGCCCTCTGAGCTCAAACCATGACATGAGGTTAGGTTAGGCTGCATGCAGGGTTGTCCCGTTTAGTTTTGAAATTCTTCCAGGAACGGGAAATCCAGTTTCTCTAGGCAACATCTTCTAGTGCTTAAGTGCTGTCACTGTGAGAAACTTATTCTTTGTACCTACTTAGAATTTCCCTTGTTGCAATCTGTGACCATTGTGGCTCACTCATTCTCCTGGGTGCCTGTGAAGGTGTGAGGAGGGAATAGGGTTGCAACTGTGTTTGGAGTCAGCCTGGTATTGGAGCAGGCTGTAAAGGCAGGTGGAGACAAGGAAAAACTGTTTCCAAAGCATGCTACTTAAACAGGCTTTAAGGCATCATTCTGTCATGCAAGGTGGAAGACTGTCACCAAGACCCATAGGTGGAGAGGAGACATTGTTTTCATCACCTTTTGGATGTGTTTTTATTTTCTTTGTGCTTTAGAAAAGTTTCATGCTGATAAATAGTAAAAAGTAAACTTTCTGAAGCTTTCCTTGTGTCTCACTGAGTGCAGTAAACAAAATAGCTGAATGAATTCTGAGTGCTGATAATGTTGGCAAATATTTATCATGTAGTAGAACTGTTTGTGCTTTGTAATTGATTCACAGATGTATTAGCTTGAGTGCTGAATGAGCAGGAGGCACTTGGCTTTCTGCAGAGCAAAGTATGAATCGAGCAGTGTTTTTAATAAGAGTGCAGGTACACATCAGTGTCATTGTGCATGTGGATACAGCTTCTTTTAAGTAAAGAGCGAAAGGAAATTTGCCAGCAAGAAGACTTGATTTCCAGATGTGACTCATTAACATACAGCAGTTACTCAACTGGAGCTCTTCGTAAGACTGACATTAGTCATAGAAGAGGTAGGTATGGTTGTATAGCCCTTACCAGGATCCCAGGTTTATGCTGGAAACTAGGTGTTACAGACTGGCTGGAGGATGGTATATTTGTTCATTGTGTTTAGGGCTGGAGTTTCACAAATGTATTAAACCTGTGCAGCCACCAGAAACAACATTTTTGCCTTTGCTGTCTTTGGCTGCCAGTTCCTGTGTCCAAATTGCCCTCTTGTACTAGCATGGATGTTACATAGCTATATAGTGAACTGTATCAGAATTGAACTTTGGGTGAAATGAGCTTTTGGGGGAAAATTGTTAGTCTGATTTAGCTTGTTGCCTGGATGCCTGTGGAGGGGATGATCGAGCAAGGAGGAGGTGAGGAATGCTGCTGTGAACAGCTGGACTGGTTTAGAGCATTGGAGAGGCTGAGGTGCCTGACTTGCCTGGGGAAAAAGCAGGACTCCAGGCTTCCCTCTCCAAATTTTTACTCTACAGCTTACTTTCTGCTGGTGAAAGTGTCAGAACGTTTCAGGCCTTCAATTGTGGTCACGCATATTTCAGATGATTTATAAGAGTTGGAGGTTGTGCTGATTTTCTAGGCTTGTACAAGTTTCCTGTTGTTCCTGTCAGTGCCAGTGAAACTGTGCTTGTCCTGCCCAAGAGGCAGTCCACAGAGTCAGTAAACCTAAACCTGAGAACTGCTCTTTCTGCAGTGCTAGAGGTGGAAAGGAAGGGAGGGAACTGCTTCCTGACCCTTCAGGTGCAATAAGAGGAGAGATCCTGCACTCAGGAGTTAGGGGAGTGTTTCCCGTTAATACCTTTACCTGTGGGTGAGATGGCTTTTCCTTGGGTGTGACTTGTGCACTTTCCTGATTTTGTTCACACTTTCCTAGTGTGAATGGCATACCTGGTTTTATGTTTGCTATCAGTACTGTCAACTTGATCAAAAGCATATTGCTTGCCTCCCTAAACAGACCGAACCACTTTGTAGCTGGACTTGCTTTGTGACGTTGTTTGGGTTTTAAATTTTTTTTCTTTTTTCCTACATTAGTTGTCTTGCTGTTGGAAGAGTTGTAAACCAGTTTCTGTTAGCATATGCAATTGTTTTAATTTTTCTGAGTAGACATAGTGCATGAGAGTTTAAACTTCCGTGTTTGGAAAAAAATACATCTTGTGACTTCCAAGACAGCATAATTACTTTTAAAGTATGCAGTAGCAGGGAAATCCTAGGCTGTTAAAAGGGTTCAGGAGCTTGAAAGGCTGCTGAGAGCTTGGCAGCTGTTTGTGGGAGAAAGCCTTGCCTGTGAGCCTGCTATGGACTTATCCAGGGACTAACCAGCCGACAGAGAAGCCTCTTGTACCAGGGGTTTGGAGGCTGGCTTTGTGATGATGGCTGCTGAAGAGCAGGAGCATGCAAGTAACACTCTGTGGGCTGGTTGTGCAGGGTTTGCAATTCGACCTGTTCCCCTAGCATCTTTCTAACTGATCAAAGGAAACATTTTATTTTTTTTCCCATTTGGTGGATGAACATGATAATATGTATTTTAACTTGGTATTATACTTTTTTTCAGTGTTTGATCTTGTGTTTTTTGGTGCTTTTTGTGAAGCTGCTCTATCTACAGTGTGTCTTAGGTGTCAAAAAGATGAAGAGTGCTTGTAAAGACTGTCTCCAAGCCAATCTTTCCTTTCTTAACACACAAGACAAAAGTAAAAGAAAGTCTGCAGTCCTCTTGTGGGAGCTGCTCAAGCTTAACAATATTCTGCTACCTCAGGAACTAGTGGCAGCCCCAAGAGAATAAGCTGTCTCCTTTGAAGGTAGATTCAACTCTCTGGCGAATAGGGATTTTTTTTTTACCTACTTTATTGTTTCTTTCATAGGTACGTGGTGAGATAACAGCTATTGAACTATGGCATTCAACAAGATTTGGTATACCCTGGCCCTTGGACTTCTGCTGCCTTTTTCTTACGCCCATACGGACTTTTTCACTTCGATTGGTGAGACATGCTTTGGTGTATATGCTGCATAGCCAAAAGGATTTCTTGATGGCTCTCAAAACTGATTCTGTGATGATGTGTTAATGGCATTCAAGGCTGTAATTGGTACAGAACTGAATCCACTTACTAGTTCTTACAACCTTACTGACTCCTTCCTTTTGGGAGAAACGTGCTTTCAGTTAAGTCAGTCCAGTTAGTCCGATGACCCAGGCAAGGCTTTGTATTCATTATATATTCCTATAGATACTGGATTTTCAATAAAATTTTGGTATGGACTGTTGCACATATGTAGAAGCAAGCGAAACAGCTGTTGAAGGGTACGTAATGATACCAGTATGTCAGCGTACTCTCTCTTGAGTTCTGACAGCCTGTGACACAGCTGCAGATGTGGACTGCATGGCTTCACAATGAACCAGTTCAGCTGCCTGCTTGCAGGAAACAAAGCAATTATTAATTAATAACAGAGTCTGGTAAGGGACCCGTTGAAGTCATGCAAGTAATTTTATAAAATGCTGGATTAGTATTGTATATCAAACGTGAAGTCTCTGTATATTTCTGTAGCTTTGTCTTTATTTGCTCTACATTATGTATGCTTGGATGAAAGATTACTCTGTTGCAACCTATTTCCTCTTCCAAATGAATCCTAAATTAGTTCTAATAATAAATATGTGATACTATGTTAATTTCCATGGGAACAAGCTTGGTCCAGCATGAGATTTTCTTAAAATAAAAAAAAAAAAAAAAAGGCAAGAAGCCTTCCTGAACTACTCCTTCAGGATTATTTAAGCAAATGCAGAAGGACTTTGGGAAAGAAAGAGCTGAAGGGGAGGGGAAGAATGCCACTAACTCAGATTTTTTGTTTCTCCTTGTCTAACCGAACTCATTTGTTTTCTAGGTCATATGACAGACTTAATTAATACAGAAAAAGATCTGGTGGTGTCACTGAAAGATTACATCAAGGCAGAAGAAAGCAAGCTGGAACAGATCAAAAAGTGAGCAGCTTGTTGCATAATGCTAATAGTTAATAATTTGAGTCCACCCTTATGTAAAAAGTGCTTCCCAAGGCTGATTAAATTTGTGGAATTTTTCCTCTGAGGCTAAGCTTAAACTGGCAGTTTTTGTCCTAAATTATTATCTTTGAGCCATTGGTTTGCTTTATGCAGCTTTCTAATGATGAATTCTAATCAACCAGCTCTGTATGATACCTTCACTTTAGGATTCCTGCTTGCACATAATTCCCAAGGGGATATAGTTCTTTGAATGACAGTTTGCTTAGTGGAAACTAAACCCCAAGAAGTCTCCAAATGAGTGTTACAAGGACTGCAGTGATACACTAGAAATAAAAGCACTAAAAAGTGTTGGTGTGGCCGTGTCACTTCTGAGTGGTGAACCAAAGAACACTAATAATCCACTACAAGAGCAGAGTATCTTTCTATGTGCTACATTTAGATTTAAAAGTAAAATAAAGCAAAACAAAATGTATTCACTGCTTTTAAAAATAATGAGAGACTTGACCGTGGCCATTACTGTCTTGTTTGGCTCTGTAGGTGTGGGGATCAGAGCACAATATGTCAGATTTTATTACAGGTAGAAATAAAAATTTTATATCCCTGAACAGGATGGTTTCCTGGCTTTCAAAAATGTGTTATAAACCTGTCATGAGGATGTTTAAACAGTTTTAGATAGATGCATGAATTTTATTTTAGCTTTTGTGTATTACATTCTACCATCCAGGAAGAAAGATACTTCTGCTGGACTGTATTTGTTTTTATCTCTTCAAATACAGAATTGGAATTGCTGAGAGGTTTGGAGTGTTATAAATATATTCTTTATAGCTACAAATTAAGATGGGAGCATGCTGACTGGACATCCAAAAGTGTGCAAATACAGGTTATCATATAAGCATTGCAGCTCTGTTTTTATAATAGGAAAGGTGCTCACTGTCAGGTCAGGAAAGTTAACTGTCTCAGAAGAACCTGGAAGAAATGCCAGCATTGTTTGAGTTTGGGGTCTGTATTTTGGCCGAAGGATATTGGTAGCTTGTGTTGATTTAAGCTCAGTGAAAGTTGGTAATTCACTGAAATGCAGAGGACGGCTTGTGGCGGAGGCTTTATGAAGCAGAAACTACTTGAAAGACATCCTGGCCTTGCGGTTGTGGCTCCCGGTTGCACTGACTTTCAGCTACTCATTAGGTTTGAGAGTCATGCAGTGGGCAATGTACGATGGATCTGACCATGTGCAGTGGGAATGCACAATTTGTTGAACTTGGTTTCTTTAGTCTTTGTCTTGCTAGAAGCTGGGGTTGGTCCTTGGGAGCACTTTGAGCACTTCATTTTGGAGGGACCCCCTTCCCTCACATTGCTGCTGGCAAGAACCCAGATGGGCTGCCAGAGAGTAGGAAAATGGCTAAAGACAGTAAGGGAAGAGTGAATGCAAACAGTTGTAAATATCTACCTGTCTCAGGTAGAGCAGGCAAACTTAATTCAGGCAAAGCAAAGCCTGGAACAAGCTGAATGCTGGCTCATGTATAGAGTTCCCTCCAGGCTACAGATTTTGTGTTTGCTTTATATTGCTGTTGATGTTTGGTATTCTGTGTGGGGTGTGGCTTTTTTAACTTCAATTTATCCTGTTTTCAAGGTGTTGTTATGTGTCTTCATGTTCTAGATCTACATTGTTTTGAATAGGGAGGGGAAGTTTTGTTGTTTTAAAGATGTGTAGTAGCCTGACGGTGGTGCTTATAGCATGACTGATGTGCTTCCTGACTTGAGACTGGAGCAGGCTCCCTGGATATTTCCATTAAAATGACAGATGAACTACAGTAGTTATTGAAAGGTGCTTGTTTCAGAGTGTGTTGGAGTTGTGAATGGGTTATGTCACTGACAGTGTTAGAGAGGGTTGTGGAGTCAGAACTGTAGCACCAGAAAGTTGGTCTGGGCTCCTCCTTTGGGAGTGTAAGAACTACATGCTTTTTAATACAAGCTTACCGTATGGAAGGCCGTTTTGTGGTGGCAAGGGTCTTGTCATAGAATTAAGAGTATGTGTCTAAACGTAAAATAATTTGAGACGAGCATTGAACTACCGTTTTGTAAATTTGAGAAAAAAGAACATTTAAAAATAAAAGATAAAAAATGTCGATAAAGCTTGGTTTTTGATTAGTCCTGTATGGAAATGCTGGCATATTGCATTTGGTATCTGTAGGAAGGAGTTCATTCAGCAGTGTTGCAACGAAGGTCACAAAAGCAACACAAGATTTAGGCTGCAACTGAGGAATAAGATTAAAAAAAAAAAAATTACAAGGAAGTCCTTTTTGTTCCTCCTAGGAGAGCTTTATATATCGATAATGTAAAAACTTGCAATTTGTAGTTTTACTAGTGAAGACTGAGTAGCTTGAAATTAGTTTTACAGTGCATTAGCAGACTTTTACAAGAGACTTTAATGAACGTGCATTTTTTACTGTAGGTGGGCAGAGAAATTGGATCAGCTGACAGATACTGCTACAAAAGACCCAGAGGGGTTTTTGGGCCATCCTGTAAATGCATTCAAGTTGATGAAACGGCTTAACACAGAGTGGGGTGAGCTGGAGAGCCTGGTTCTGAAGGACATGTCAGATGGTAAGTGTGCCTGTAGTAAGAACAAGCATCACATTATAATTGCGTTTACTTGACTATGTCTTTCACATGTCACGGTTTGAACCAGATTTACAAGTCTGCTTTTAAGATGCCTTCATAAAAAATAATCCTAGAAGACCTGCTATTTTGCTGTCAGTACGCTCTAATTTCAATTTCACAAAAATTTAGGAAAATTGCAATGCTTAAGCTGAATAATCTCCTTGGATGCTTTGAATTTTGCAGGTGATCAGGGCTTGCTGCATTGTACTCTCCCACTTCTTACAAACTAGTATTTTAGGCAATTTGATCTCTAAGTGTGATGACTGTTGAACAGAAAAAAAGGAACAAAACTCTTGAGTGCTAGGCATGTGGGGCTGTCTTTAAGTATGGTCAAGTACTATGCTGTTGATACGCCCGGAGTTGTTAAGGTGTGATGGTTCAAAACCTGAATGTTGACAGAGACTGAGCATTTGTGGTACTGATCTGAATTAGTCTAGTAAACACTTTGCTTCCCCTTTTCTTTAGCAAAAGGAGAAGCTTTTCAGTAGGGAATGGAACATAAAATAGCTGACTAAAGAATACTTAGCAGTAAGGAAGCTGGGATGATTATATTTGACCAGTGAGAATCTGTCTCAACAGCCAATTAATACCAGGTGTAGATTTGTAGTAAGAAATGATAAAAAAGTGGAGCTTTCAGAAAAGACCCAGGGTTAGTGTCTCTGATAAGGATTCAGCATATTCAGCTGGGAGGGACTGAGTATGTGAAATGGAAAGGCTCTGCACCTGCCAGCCAGAAGTCTGGACCGGTACATCTTCAGTCTTTCTGAAGGGTGGGGCAGGAGAAAGAATTGGGCTTGCGTGGACTTACTTGCTTTAAGAAAATTGTTGAGGAAAAAGGAAAATACTGGGGGAAGCATAGTGTAGTAAAAGAAGTGATGCACGGGAGTGGGAGGACATGATGTTTCTTTAAAGTAGGAACACCTTTCCATAACCAAATAGTGTTATTAGGTCTGAATAGTTAAAAAGGACTACTAGAATGTGGCAAAAATAACAAATCTGGCCAGTTTGTTATTTTTTGGATGGCTTTGCAGCTGAGTGTCGTGTACTATGCTTTATCTGGTTTTGGTCTTGCTACTTAGTTTTCTGTTGGTGGATATTAGATGAACTTAACTAAGGACAGTGCCAATAGGATGTTTGTGTTAACACTGTAAATCTTGTTGTGCTTCTGGATCTTGGGACAAAAGAGTTTGAGTAGAAAATTTACTTTTCTGAAAATGCCACTGGCTGTTAGTTTGTTTAAACAGACATCTTCCTGGTAGACTTTGATGCCATCCCTTTTGGTGGCTGCATGTACCAAGTTGCTGGTGCTGCCCTGCTGTTTTTCTGGAGTACTGTTTCCCCCATCAGCAGCCCACCAGCCTCTTGACTGTGCAGAAGCAGAAGGGGATACATGGCATCAGTTCTCTCACTGGAGAGGGGATAATGCACTATAGCTCTACAGGAGGGCCCTTCAAGTAACAGCAATAGCAGTGGTTGTGCGCGTGCTCACCAGAGAGGAGTGGAAACCTTTCATAATGGGAGATGATGACATGTGACTTTTAATGATGGGGCAACAGTTCCTAGAGAGAATATTTTTTTTTTACTTTATAGAACCTTCTTGTCTTCTGTTCCATAAACGTCACCGTGGTGCTTCTTTAAAAAAGCCCATAAGCCCCCAAGTTTTTCTTTTGAATTGTTCCTTTGCTTTCTTTTCATGCACACAAAAAAAATCAAAATGCTAGTTTTTCAACATGCACCTTGAGTTCAGTGCAGACTTGTGTGAAGATGGATCTTGAGAACCCTTTTTAACTCTGTGTTTCTCAAGTTTCTATGTAAATATTGTAGTGCCCGTGTCCATGGAAAGTGGTTAGGGTCATAGTGGCTGCTTAGTTGCCTAAAGTCTTGTCAAAAGCTGTTTGCAGTTAGACATCAGAATTTTTGGTTTTCCTCTTTTTGTTGACCAGCCTTAATCTTTACACTGCTATTCTTAGCACTGTTTGTTTTTTTTTTTTTCCTCTTCTAAATTATTTGTGAATTCCAGGTTACTAAATGAAAAGCCTTTTGGAAGGCAAATTGAGTGGAATGCTTGAAAAAATTACCAATATGTTATCTGTAATGTTCTCCATGTAGGAGTGGTCTTTTTGTTGTGTGTAACTTTTTTTTTTTTTTTTAACCTGCTAGGACAAAAATAGTTTCTGCATAAAACTGGAGCGGTACTCCTGTCCTTTAGAAGCAAACTTGCGGTGTTTGTTGATGCTCTGCAGAGCTAATAGCTCTTCCTGACCTATTAATGCCCTTTCCTGAAATGTTAGCTTTCCCCAGGGTAGGTAGGGAGTCATGACGTGTATGGAGTTTATTGAATTCCTGAGAGAAAGGAAGCCAAGTGTTTCCCTGTCTTTCCCAGGCTTTATCTCCAACATGACTATCCAGCGGCAGTTTTTTCCAAATGATGAAGATCAGACTGGTGCAGCAAAAGCCCTCTTGAGGCTTCAAGACACATATAATTTGGACACAGACACCCTCTCAAGAGGAAATCTTCCAGGTAAGAGCCACCAATGTTATTTTCAGAAGACACTGAACTTTTACTAAATGCTGTTATTACAAATCATTTGACGCTCTTCCATCTTGTTTAAGTGTGTAGTGTGAAGATAACAATAGGAAGACCTTTGAGCTAGCTAAGAATTGATGAAAAGTGATGTGACGTGGGTTGTTGACCATAAGTTGACGTAGATGTCAGTTTTAATTCTGCCACACCTGAAGACAGAGGAACTTGTCGCTTCAGGGTGTGCTGGTGACGAGGAACCCAGGAAGAGCTGACTCGTTCTAGCATACTGTTGGGTTTGGTGCTGTGGTGGTTCTCTCCGAAACTATTGCCACTTGTCTTGCCTGCCTGGTGAGCTTTCTTCTGCCAGCACACTGCCCAAGGGCACGTGGATAAAATGCACTGCACAGAACGCAGGTTTCTTTCTCCATTGAGACTCTCATTTGTCCCGTCTATCTCCTTGCTCTACTCAAATGCTCGTTTTCTGCTTGTGCTAGAATTTGAAAATTTCTTTTTCGTTGAAATCTGCCTCTTTCTTCTACTTATGGTAAGCTAATTTAGTGTTAATATTTTTTAATAAAAAATAAACAGCAATAAAATCTTGCCTGAGTGAGGATTCTCGTTGTGTTGAAGTAGTTGTGCACTGGCAGATACCTAGTTTTATTTCACAATGTAGTGCATTTTAACAAAATAGTTCCATCATTTATTACCCTTTTCATGGCTAAGATGGACCTTTCAGATTGGGTGTGACTGAAGTTTCTTTGAGCTTAAACCTCATGGAGAGTATAAACTGAAAAACAGAAGACAGAGCGCATATGCAGACTTGAGCTTACGTGGCATTACCTGAGGTGATGTTTAATAGGTTTATATGCAAGAGAAGGCACACTTCTTTCTTGTTAGATCTTTCTCTGCTGAGTTTTCCTTGTTTCTTCTGTTTGAAAATAGGAATGTGCCAGCTGGCAAAAAATCAACTCTGTACAATCCATCTGTGTTTTTGCAAGCACTCATTGTGGTCAGATGCCTAATAAAATTAAGGGTAATTGGCTTTATATGTTATGATGTATAACCTTGCTTCTGGGTTTAGTTCAAGACTGTCTCAAAGACCTACAGATTCATTCTAATACAATAAACAGTTTGTTACTGTTTTCTTAAAACAGCACAAAAATGCAAGATGAAGTGCTTTGGGTGGGCTGTAGTTTATTGCTTCTTTTGAGTAAGATGTCCAAACTGTGTGTAGTGAAGCGTAATTGCTGAACCTGAAAGTTCTAGAGTTCTGGAGTGTCAAAGAGAGTAGGAAAGTCTGGTCTCTTCACAGCTCCAGTGAGGAACATCCAGTGTGGTCACTTGTTTGTGCTCCTTGTCTTCCTTCCCAGGGAATTTCTGTTTGGCCAGGTCGCCAAGTTTTGATCAGAATCTCAACTACCATCATATCACTTAATAATTCTCTTTCCTGCATCAGAGGCTGTGCTGTTTCTTTATCTTAACTCTCAACCCTATTTGACGATTGCTGTCTTAAGCACCCTTTTTAGAGTTGCCTTTTCACATGTGGATGTTACGCTGCTTCAAAACGCACCAGCCTATGGCCCTACAACCTGTTACTCATTCCAGAGGATCTCTCTGTCCCAGAACACTCCACCACTAATTCCTTAATCTTAGTGTTATTTTAGAGTTAGCAGCATCAGGCTCAGAACACTGAAATCACTGGTCATCACAGGATGGACCAGGAGGTGTTTAATTAGTGTGTAGAAACAAAGTTGTTCTGTGGGATACTGCGTTTCATGGGCTGTCTTCAGCTATTAACTCTCTTAAGGCACTTCTTCAACAGAAGAATTTCCTGGTTTGAATGCAGCTGTGGGAGCTGCCGTTAGAAATTCAGGATGTATTAAGATGTAATTAGGAACATAATTTTAGCTGTAAAACTGGCAGGTCCTGTTTCCTTTTTACAAGATTAAATTTGGTTTTTCATTGAGCCTTAATTTACAGTGGCAAAAATAGGCATCTGTAATTTGCTTACTAGTACTTTAATCCTTCAGAGGTCTCTTCAAATGTTTCTAAAAATTACTGACTTCAAAAAATCTTGAGCAGCTGGGAATTTACTGACTGATGTTTTCTTTTTCCTCCCCACTAAGTTGTTGCTAACAAGATGTGCTTTAGTAACATTTTGAAAGCAATAATGCAATGTCTTTGAAAACAGATTCTGAAACTTCATATTTGGCTCACTCTTGCTCGAAGTGTTTGGGGTTTTGAAGAAAAAGTTTGTTTTACTTTATTTTATTTTCCACTAATGGTAAAGACATTTAGCTAGTTGCTGGTATTCTGGCAATGGAAAACTGCATCTAACCGCGTGTGTTCTGCCAAGGATTTACAGGCTTTACATACTTAAACTGCGTCTTCAACAAATATCTACCACAGAAGGGGGAGAAGTTGAAGAACAGAAATAAACTGTGCTGCAAAGAATAGGAAAGAACTGAATGTTACTCTGAAGACTGGTCTAGAATTCTGTGTAAATTCTGTTTGGTTTGTTTCGTTTCAAATACAGGTGTGAAGCACAAATCCTTTTTAACAGCTGAAGATTGCTTTGAGCTGGGAAAGATTGCGTATACTGAAGCTGATTACTACCACACTGAGCTCTGGATGGAACAAGCTCTGAAACAGCTGGATGAGGGAGAAGTGTCTTCTGCAGATAAAGTCTACATTCTGGACTATCTGAGTTATGCCGTGTATCAGCAGGGGGATCTGGGCAAAGCCATGATGCTCACCAAACGCCTTCTGGAACTGGGTATGTGAAAGAGAGCCCCACAGCTCACCACGACCGAGCTCAGTGTTTGAGCAGGTGCTAGCTATGGATTTGTACAGAGGAGTGCAGACTTGCCTGTATTCTGACTTGTATAAGGTTTTTTTTTAAATAGATTATACTGATATTTCTATTAACTTCTTGTAGTTCTCAGTAAAAAAAGACTTGTATTACCATAAATCATGTTTTGCTACCAGTTTAAATGGGCAATTATAGCTATGCTACCGTGTCAGAAAGCGTCGTGGTTAAGGATTGCTCTTTTTCATTGAAGTATTTTCTGCTGCCTGTCACTGATGGCTTCTAACCACTTACCCATCTCTACTGACTGAAATTTGGTTCTCTTACTGTATCTTACTTTCCTGTGTTGAGATTACTTCCCCTTAGGTACAGGAAAGACCAAAGAAATGAAATTGAAACTAAATTGGTGATAGCAAAATATCTGCAGATTATTTAAATGCAAATTAAGTATACTTGAGATGAAAAAATGGGAAAAATAAGCAATGCAGCATGCAGTACAACAAGCTAAGATTCTCTCTTATGGAATATGAAGTGTATTTATGAGTCTGTAAATATTTCAGTGGTGGACTGTGTGAAGGATGCTGTGGGAAGTTCAGAACTAAATGTAATATAGCAAAGGTTAGTCAAAACCATTTATCTGCGAACTGAAGCTAATTCAGTCAGTTTAGTGATTGCTAAAGGCTTTATCACCAGAGATCTTAATTCCCGTCAGGGAAGTTTCTAGGTTTCAAGCCAGTCATGCTGTCCCAGCTCTCTCCCTGTCCCATTCTCTTGTCTCTCCCTCTCTGGTGAGATTGGCTGTAATGGCCAAACCCTTTTATTTTTTTATTATAGTGCTTGGACCCATGTGCCTACTGAGGATCTAGGCCTCACAGTAAGCAGTTTCTTAACTGTGAATGAGTTGAGCTTGGCTCTGGAAGCTCATTGTGTGTTTTTCTGCAGATGGGTTAAGGATATGTGCACGCTGCAGGCTAGCATCACTTCCAGCTTAGCGTGGAGTTTCAGCTATCCTGTGAATGCTCTCAAACCAGAATAGATGTTTCTGATTTCTATTTGAGAAGCAGTAGCGTGCATCTGGTTTTATTTTTGTAAATAGCCTCTTCTGGATGCTTCTTCACAAGTTGGGAACTTGCCAGTGATACTTGTCTGTTTCTTTGTCAATAGATCCTGAACATCAAAGAGCAAATGGGAACATGAAATATTTTGAATATATCATGGCTAAAGACAAAGAAGCAAATAAGTCCAGTACGGATTCAGAAGACCAGACGGAGAAGGAAACTGAGGTTAAGAAAAAGGATTACCTGCCCGAGAGAAGGAAGTACGAAATGCTGTGCCGTGGGGAGGGTCTCAAAATGGTAAAGTGGAGTAGACTGTTTTCAAATGTATGAAACCAAATGTAGCAAAACAATGTCAAGCATTTGTATGTGGCGTGAAAGCAAGGAAGTTGTTACAGCCGTTGGCTGAGTGTGTCGAACTGAGGATTAGTGTGTGTTGGATCTCTTCCCTGTTTCATTCTGTCCAGTAGACAAAAAGTAATACTGCCACAGGCGCTGCTGACTGACTTGGATGCACTACACAATTGTAGTTAATAAGGATGTTGGAGTCTAGATTTACATACGGAATTGAATGAGGTGGTTTTTTTACTGACTGTGTAAAGTACTGCTTGTTGCACTATTACAGAGTAACATTAATGTGCTGAAAATACTAATTTCTCAAACTTTAAAGCATCTCTTGCATTTGTAACATAAGGTTAAGGTAGGGAAAGTGAATTGTTCCTGGCTCTTGTTCTGAGGACATCTTCTGTTTCTTAGAAATACTGATGTCATATGGAGGTTCTCTGATTATCTCTTGCTCCACCTTGCTTTCAGACTCCTCGGAGACAAAAACGACTCTTCTGCCGCTACTACGATGGAAACAGGAACCCTAGATACATTCTGGGCCCTGTCAAACAGGAAGATGAGTGGGACAAACCTCGAATTGTTCGTTTCCTTGACATCATCTCTGATGAAGAGATCGAAACTGTGAAAGAACTAGCAAAGCCAAGGGTAAACGCCTTACACTTCTTTGCATTTTGGAATCTCAAATTCTGCATGTAGTTTTCTGTGTGTGTGTGTGTGCGATTCTATCTCCTCTTGAATGCAGATGTGTGTGCAGTGTGCTCACACGTTGCTTTTCTCACACTGTAGCTCTTGGTGACGCAGTCTCTCTTGAAGGCGACTGTGGGGAAGCTAGAAATTCTGGGTAATTAAGAGAGCCAGGTAACAGCAGTGCAGGATTGTCGGACTCTTCTGGCAGACACAATTTCAGTGCGTGCTGTTTCAGATAAGGAAGAGAATGTTCTACAGCAGAAAACAACATACTGCAGCTAGGTTGCCTGGAACTATACAGGCCCGGTTTTTGTTTGCTGTTCTGGTTTTGGTTTTTAAGTCTCTGTTTTCCAAAATTGTGAGATGGAGAAGACTGCCGTCTAGGGCAAGGCAGCCATTTCCCTGGTGCTGGAATGTCACGTTGTTGTATAGACAAGAATGAATGGTTGTATCCTCCATTCAGTATAAAGCTGACCTCTGTCTCCCAGGCTTTGACGTTGCCTGCAGATGAAAAGAGTGTCAAGAGAGCAATGCTTCATCAGTGGTACTCAGCTTCTTATTCACAATGTCAGCTCATCAAATCTATTTCAGAAAGGGGATCCCGAGGTTCTTGTTTGTGAATGCAGAATAATCTGGGGCAGCTCAGCTATCAGAGTAAACAGGAGTGTCTAAGACAAATGACAAACTGATGGAGTTGCCTTCTTTATCCAGTTCGTGTGACGCTGCATCTCAAGATGTGTGTTGAAGATCTAATTAGTTAAATTGATTTGTTTTTCCATCAGTTACCAGTCACTTCTAAAATAAGATTAAAACTGGTAGAAATAACACTTTTCTTTCTTTATTTTTAGCCTAAATGGCTTTTTGTCCGGAGAGAGCTAAGCAAATGGACATTAAGGCGATAAGTGCATTAAGTATAGGACAGACTGTTAGCTTGATCTTCTGACAAGTAAACCAGCTGTGGGTTATACACGGGCACAGCGAGGATGAGGCTGTCCTTGGCCACTGCACTGAGCACTAGGTAGCCTGAAGGTTATTTTAAAGCTGCCTAAAGACTGGTGCGTTGTATTTCTGAGGTAATGTTCTCAACTGTAAGCAAAAAGTACAAGCAATTTTCTTCTGTTATCAGTAAAACATCTCTTCCTGCTTTCCTGTCAGGCAGCCTTGCTGCAGGTCTAAAAATTGGAGCCCCGGTTGTTTGCCTGTAAATGATTAAGCCCCTTTGCTGCTGCAAAAGCTCTGGCATTACGTCTGTGAAATATGACTGAATTGCTTCTTTATGGAGCAGAAATAAGCCTCGGTGCTGAAAATAAAAACCTGTGAACGTGGTGATTTTACCTTCTGAACTTCCTGAGATAATTGTTTTCCTGTCAACTGTTTGGCTCATGGTAAAGACTTGGAGATTCATCATTAATGTAGAAGCATCTGTATGCGGTTAGCGTTCACCTATTTCCTATGGTCGAGGCCTCCCCGGGCTCGGTAACAAGTGTAGCAAGAGGATTGTATTTTTTGAGCCTGGAAGGTCATGTCTGTCTTCCCGATGTTTGGGATGACACCATTGCTGCCTCTCGGAAGGCAGCACTGTTTGGTCTGTGCCCAGCCTTCTGCTGTGCTGGTGGCGTGAGCTGGCAGGGCGAAGCTGCCTTATGCAGCTTTGGGAGTCTTCAATGGAATTGTAGTTTTTGCCTTGATTCTTACATACGTCTGCACGGGACGACAGGAGAGGCAGAATATTAAGAGTTCCCAGTACTTTTTCTTGTTAGTAGGCATGGAGAGGCCTCGATTTACTTAGTTTATTTTAACAGCAGAAAAATATTACTTCTAATTGTTTGGGACTTGGTATGCCGTTTCGTGCCTCTTCCAAAATTTGTGCTCTGCAACTCAACTTCTCCAGTTATGAATGATGGAGAATGTCTGATAGTATGTGAACAAAGTCAAAGGGTGCACAGAAGGCTCTGAACCAGAGCATTAACATAGATGGGATGGTGTCAAGTAAATGGAGCGCAGTAGGGGTAGAGGAAGGCATTGAACCAAGAGTTCTCACTCTGTGTAGTTGAAGAATACCATGTAAACGTGTGCATGGACTAAGCAATTAGTTTGTGTTAGCAGTCAGCATCAAAGGAGTTCAGTGCTGCCTTTGCTATAGAAAGAATCAAAGAGGTAGAGTTTTACCTCTTTCGCCTATACAACAAGATCACGACGTTGCCTGGATTCAATTTAACTGTAAAACTCATCTTACATGCGCAGGACAGAGTGCTAACAGAGGACCAATTGTACACATGCCATAATACTCTACCACTTCCAGCAGCTGTTGCACTATGAAGGAAATGAAAGCTTCTAATTTACTTTATTCGGACAAGTGTTCTCCTTGCTACAGAAATGGAGACATTACTTCCTGGAAACCTTGATATTCTCAAATGCTCTGTTTAAAAAAACCCCAGCCGAACACAAAACCCCTAAAAAACCCTATCTTTTAGTAAAATTGGAGAGTCCCCCTTCTTCCCCATCCCTGCTTTACGAATTTCCACCCCCTCCATAAAAGAAAAACCACCTCAAAAGGTGACTGGGTGGCTTGTGAGGTGGTGGCTTGTGTGACATTTCCCCTTAGGCTTCTGAATGGTCGGATTGCTGTGATGCAGTATGTGCTTTGTAATGCAACTATTCTGATGGTTCGCTTCACAGCTGAGGCGAGCCACCATTTCAAACCCCATAACAGGAGCCTTGGAGACGGCACATTACAGAATTAGCAAAAGGTAAGAGAGCTCTATGCCAGATGTTTTGGGCCTGTAATGAGTGTGTAGATTCTGCTCATTATGGGGAAAAAAGAGGTGGTCTAAAAAGACAACTTTGGTTTTGTAGTCCACCGCTTTATTACATGCAGATCTGTAACAGGCTGTTACTGCTGAGTTTCTCAGTCTTTTCCTTCAGCTAGAAGTTCTGGGGGTGTATTTTGATTCCTTCTTTTTTTCTTTTTTTTGGTCATCTTCTCAGTGTGTGTTCTCAAATGATGATCTGTACAAGAAGCAGGTCTGTGCAGTCAGTGTAAAAAATACACGATGCTACAAAACCTTCAGTAGAATCTATATTTTTTTTTTTTATGTTCCCTTCCTTTTTCTCTTGCTCTTCTTGCCAACCAAAAATTTTCTTCCCTATCCTTGTAAAATCTAGCAGACCACTTGAAGTGCCTTTACAAGTGTAAGAGAAGCTTCAAGTCCTTGCTGCGTGTGACAGCTGGAGCGGCAGGCAAAACACGCGTTCGTTAGTCACACAGGGTTTCACTGTCCAAGATAATCCCGTACTCCTGTCTGGGCTCTTTTACCTCACACTGATACAAATCTGACAGAACACAAGCTCATTTTCACTGGGCTCCCGGTTCTTTCCAGCTTGTCTATTAAATACTAGAAGTCTTGAATTTAGCCAATGCTTTACAAAATTGGCTGGCTCTAAAAGAAACCACCTGTCCTCTGCTTGCACCTCCACCCCCCTCTGGGTTTTAATAGTGATGATTAAAGATTGACTGTGCATTTCATCAACATTAAGCCAAAATTCTGAAGGGAGTTAAACTTCTGGGTGAAGAGGAATTGTCTGTGAAACTCAGCATCATAAATTACTTGCAGAAAGTCTCTAGTCTGAAACAGAAAAAAAAGAAAAAAAAAAAAAAAAAAAAAAAGGAGGAAAAAAGTGAAAGGACAATCTAACCAAATTTTTCCAACCAATTTGTTTGGATTTGGACATGGCAGCTACAGCTTCTGTTGCCCTTCTAATATTGCTAATTTAAGAGCATTGCATACCATCCAGACCAATCGGAACCCTTTCAAACACCTGTGGCTTGGCAAAAAAAGCAGCCTACGAGGTGGGTAAGCCCTTGTCCTTTCTCTTTTTGTAGCTGAGCCGTGCTACTGTTCATGACCCTGAGACTGGGAAACTGACCACAGCACATTACAGAGTCTCTAAGAGGTAAGGGGAACGTCTGCCAGAGGGATTCCCAGGCCGAGGAAGTCCATCCTGGGGCTGTACTGCTTCATCTCTAAATGTGGGGCAAATGAGAATTTTGCATAACTTTTTCTATTCTTAGTCTCTCTTTAGAAGAAAGAATGGCCTAAAGCAAACTGAGCTGTCGTATAACAAAGCAAGCGGTCTGCTGAAATAGAAAATAGCTCTAAAAGTTCCTGGTAGCCAAGATGGAAGTGCCCTCTTTGCTTAGCATGGCTTGTCTAGAGCAACTAACCTACTAAAATGTTAGCGCTGGGGGGGGGGGGGGGGGGGCTGATGCCATTAACGAGCCGTGGAAAAGGCTGCCTGTGTAGCTCACCTCTACGGCTAAATTTTGGGATTTGCTGCTTAGAGCTAGGCACTGATGAGCTGCTGTAATTCATGAGAATAGTGCAAATTAAAGCTCGCTGATAATTCTAAAGAATTTCCCTGTTTAAATGATTGAGAGTAGTTGCTGCTTCGATCGAAAACGAATGTTCTTTCAGCTTCTTAGAAGAGAAAAACTGGAATTAGAATGGCTACTATCTTAAGGGTTGTTATGTAGCTATGATTTTCTTTAAAAAGATAAAAATGCTTCAGAATTGCTGGATCACGAGAAGTTGATTGATTCAGGAATGATAACTCTCATGGAAACTAGAAAACCGGTGTAGCTGAAGTCTGATCCTTAAAGCTGCACTTGTTCTCAGGTAGTGGCAAGTTGAAAACTTTTATACATTGAAAACTGCCATGTACCTTCAGCAGCATATGTAGGTCTACTTACTCATCAGAGTGCATGCAGGTAGTGAGAGACCTTTGGAAATCGTCTGGTGAGATTTTTATTACGTTTGCTCCTTAAAACTACTTCCAGAGGCCCCCTCCAGAATGGCTTCAGGAACGTAGGTCTCCCTATTTGATGTGTGTTGCATTTAAATTTTGTTTTTAATTTTAAAGTCTGTCCGTGTCTGATCTGTCTTGGTTATCTGTGACTGTGTATTTTAAAGAAAGCATTTATTCACTCTTGGGGTTTGTCCTCTGTGACACAGGCCACTCTGGGGCATTTACCGAAGGAACCTGTTAATCCATTTGAACATACCCTCATGGTTTCTGCCAAATTTGGTGTGTTAATAACAGGTATTGAAGAAGGTGACCAGATCACTAATTGAAATTGAGATGCATAATTGGCCCCTGCTTAAATAGATGATCCTTAGTAAAAGAACTTCTTATTTAGAGTTTTGATTTTTCATTAGTGGGATGTGTTAGGCCTTGAGACTACTGCAGATGCCACAGTCAGAAAAAAAATCGTACTAGACAACACCCCTAATTAAAAGCTGATGCCCTCATGAACGTTTGCGGCTGATGGTGCAGCCAGATCCTCCTGTTCGCCATCACCTTGTTATTGGCTTTTTGACATGGCAAAGTAACTATTTTTCCTAGGGCTTTGATCGGAAATGAACCGTGTGCCATACCTTGCCTTGGGGCTCAGTGGTAGGGCGTGAGGGCAGCTGCTGTCTGTGAAGTGCTGCCGCCTTGGCGAGCTGTGCTGCAAGCCCGAAGGGAGCCTCGGGGCCAGTACCTGGGGAATGAGAACCTTCAACATTTAAGGTTTACTGCTCAGAAAGGTAGCGCTCTGGGACATCCTTCCAAAATACCAAAGGAACTCACAGAATTAAATCAGGTTTTACTGAGCTAGGATTTTAAATTCCATATCTCACTGGAAGCTGGGATTAGAATTGCCAAGAAACATACAAGTAAATGGGGCACAGCATGTTGCGAAGTTAGTGAAGACAATTTTTTGAGGGGGGGGGAACGACTTCTCGTGTTTCCCCTTGGCTTTGCATTCCTCCATGTGCAGATTGTTTAGGATACATATACTTCAAAAGAGAACTTGACACCTAAATCTATAGTGGGAGGTAAAAGCCCAAACCAGAAACCCCAAACCAGACTGCTTTAGAAGGATCACGTTAATGCTGGATCACTGAACTTCTCTTGCAGAACCACTGGAAGAAACATCTTTCTGTTAGAGCTGGTTTGGATTCCAGATGAATCATTGCTCCTGAAAACCAAAAAATGCTTGCTTTATTTTTTTAATAGATGACTGCTTTCCCCCTTCAAACATTCTTTCCTAGCAAATACACTTCTAAATTACAGCATTCCTCTCTTTGAGAGGACTACTGTTCGCTGTGCAGTACGTGGCAGGCTGTATAAAAGGGGCTTCTTGCCAGCAGTTCAAGGAGCACCGTCAAGCCATGCTGTGTGCAGTACCAGAATAAACTCAGCCACTCTGACACTGCTTTTAAAGAAGCTGCTTTTTGCCTTTTTTTTTTTTTTTTTTTTTTTTTTTGTTTCCCCCCCCCCCCCCCCCCCCTCCTCCCCGCAGCCAGTCGGAGCCCGTAGCATATGATGTTAAAGTTTCCACTTCAGAAATACCAGCCTGTGCTTTTATTCGCTTCCTGTTGCGTCTCCACTACTACTTTTTACATACTACCTACGTTTTAGAAAGTTTTTAAACATGAATGGGACTGTTACAAAAGCAATGTGGGAATACTCTGGTGCAGTGCTGGTGTGGCTGAGGCTAAGGCCGTACTGGTGCTGGACTGACTAGTGCAGTTGGAAGAGATGAGCTGCTGGCCATATAAGCCCTTGGATGTCATGTAGCTCTGGACAGTTGTCTGGGTTTTTTTCCTGATAAACTGCTTAGTCTAAAATCATGTCTGCATATAATTATCATGCTATTAAAAAGTCTCTAATGAGATACCTGATAGGGAGTTCTAAGAGGGGGGAGGAGTAAATACAATTACCGCTAGCTGTTTGTAATGAATGTAAAAGTTGTTAAAAGCTAGATCTCGGTGTGTGAGGAAGAAAAAAAGCAATCCCTCAGCATGATTTCAGCATGCTAATGGGATTCTTTCAATTTCTATAACATACTAGATTTAGTTCATGGGTGTCTTTTTGCAAAGCCAGGTGGGACACTAAACTTCTGTGCCTTTGTAGTCAGGGAATTTTGGGTTTTGGTGTGGTAGTTATTAAGGAAGTATCAAATCCTCCTGTAAGTAAAGTCACCCACGTCTTAAACTGCCATGCTTATGGCTTCCCAGAAATACGGCTTGTCCCTTTTTCTTAGAAAGTCTTCTGTCCATAGTGGACTTGGAGGTGTCAGCTGGTCAAAAATACGGCAGAATGCTGTTCATGCAAATTGCCTTGTCAGATAAGCAACTTAATTTCATAAATGTACAATGAAGAATAGAGCTGTGAGCATTTACTGAATCATGCTGAACTTTGCACTATGCATATATTAAAAGAAAAAAAAAAAAAGAAGCTTGGTGAGCCCAATTTAAGGCTGTTAATTCTGCATCACGTATGCCACTGGTGAGGGAGGGTTTTTTTGACAGACAAGAGCAGGGAAAAAGATTCCTTTTTGTGAAGGAATACCTGCTGTAAATGGTCTTGGACTTCGGCACACGCTGGCTTTGGTGTCAGGAGAGGAGGAAGGCTGAGGCTAGTGACAGGAGGAGGATGTAGGACAGATTCTGGGAGGGCCCCGAGGGAGGGCCAGCAAGACAAGGTGGCCCTTGTGCCCAGAGACCTGCTGAGGGTGGGACAGCGGGTGCCCACCTCAGCAGGCCCTCCTGAGCCCTCTGCCCTCAGGGAAGCACATTTCGGGATGCTGACAGGGTTAAATCACACCGTAACTCTTCACATGAAACTATTCAGCACTCCAGCCCCCCCCCCCGCCCCCCTTCCAAGTTTTGCTCAGCAACCAGCAGACAGGCTGGCACTTGGTGGAGTATGGTTTCAGTTCCCTGTTTCCTCCACCTCTCATAGCCTTTCTTTGTATCCTTGGGCAATTAATTTTCTTTCTAAAATACGTGTCGTATTTTCCCTTCATGAAAGGATGTAGTATTCTCCCTGGTGAAAGCATTCATTGCAATTCTAAATAACCAATATAGTAAGAATGCTTGTTTTTTCCTTTTTTTTTTATTTTTTTTTTATTTTTTTTTTTTTTATTTTTTATTAAAGCCTTTATGTGTAGCCTGGACAGCGGTAGCTAGAGTCTACACTTTGAAGCTGGTGGCTGTGTTGGAGCTTTTCCTGTTTATTAAGTGTGGGGTTAGGATTGCTTGTGAGTGTTCCCTGTTCAACATGGCTGTGTGGCTGCTTTTTTTTTTTTTTATGGGCAGTGCTTCATATAAGTAATCTTTGCATTCTCCTACCACCTTAAATCGAAGAAGGCTGCATTGTAACACTTCCTTATACTAACAGTGTTCAGAAATGGATGATTCTGTGTATGTGTTTGTGCAAGTCTGCCTTAGAAATCTTCCTTATCTATACTTTGTCATTTAAAAAAAAATGCTCGTAGAGATTCTGTAACCTGTGTCAGTGCCTTGTGTCATGTGTCATGCTACTGTTCCTCCCATGCAAAGTGTTTTTAAATTTATTTTGAAATACAAATATTAAAGAACCGTAATTTAGTATAGATGTGAAAGTTCATTTGAGTAGAAATGCTATGATGTACTTGCCAGCTAGGCTCTGAGCACGGGTATTCTGTCCAACAGTCTTGTAAAAGCACCAGGAACCACTGCTGAGCCCAAAAGGCTGAGTCAGATGTTAGAAAAAAGGTGGAACAAGTGTTTCCATTTTCCTGCAAAAAGGGGGGGGAAAAAAAAAAAAAAAAAACGGGGCCCAAATCCTCAAGATTATCCATATTAGTGCCTGGTAGGGGACTGCCAAGTTAAATAGGAAAGAGGACTGGGGAAGGGAGTGAGCATGCCAACAGAGGGAAAAGAGGAGCAGGTAAAATGAAGGTGCCTTGGCTAGAATAGGGTGAGTAAAGCAGCAAGAAAAACAATGAGTGAGCAATGAGTGGATTTCATAAAATAAAATTAAAAAAAAAAAAAAAAAAGGAAAAAAAGACAGTGGGCAGATGAAATTGTTCCTTTTTCAAAAAGAACAAAATGTTTATCTCGTAAGGAGATGAAAAATGCCTGTGTCTGTGTTTCCATGTAAGCGACTGGATGTGTTCCGGGCCGGTAAAGGCCCAGCGGGGACGCGCAGAGCTGCCGGTGCCCTTCCCTGCCCGACAGGGCTGCTGGGGGCGGGTGGCTGCTCTGGGGTGACACGGAGCCTCCAGTCCTGCAGCTCCCCCAGAGTGAGCGACCTCCTGGAGCTGCAAATGCCGCAGCGGGTCCGGGTGGAGGCAGTGATGCTCCTCTAGAACCGCGTCTCTACCTGTTCGTTCCTTCCTCTGACTAGGCTGCCAGTTTAAATGCAGTGTTTCTAGCTGAAAAGTTTTAATTTGTAGCAGGGGGCAGGCATTCTGAAGATGTGTTTGGAACTGCGAGTCTGACCTTTCGCATTTATATTAGAAAAAAAAAAAAAAGTTGTTGTTTTGGGGTTTTTTTTCCTTAAAAATCATTGTGTACCTGAAACATGCTAAATACCAAATTTGGAATAAGCTGTTCTGATAGAAACTGTTGCACAGGGAAAATGGTAAAGAGTTTTATGCATTATTTAGTATTTCCATCATGACTTTTAGTACCGTCGCACAGGTGAGTAACGTGAAAGGACAGATCACAGAGCACTTGCCTGTAGGCGCAGGACGTGTGGAAGAGCTGAGTTACAGTCACGCAGACTCTGCATACACCAAAGTAACTCACCTGTTCCCTTCCCAAGCGTTCCTTCAAAGTGCATCAAACACAGCATTTAAATTAGCTGTTTGGAACGGGTAAGAGCAAAAGAGTTTTGTGCCTGTTTTAGAAAAGAGCTCGAAGCAGATTTCGCTGCTTGGAACATTTTCTTCAGTCATTTCGTAGTCCAGCACAGGAATTAAGGCCCTGAATTGTTGAGCTTCCTTAAACCAGTGCTGTGAGGGTTCTTTCTAGAAAGCATGTGGATTAAATTCAGGTCTTTGTGATGCCCTGGAAGTACTTCTGATGGCTCTAATGCTTTCTTGAAAAGTACGAAAAAATAGCCTAAAATTTGAAGTAATTTCTAAATGTTGCATTTGTACTGCTAGCTTACCGCCTAGTATTATTACCATATTTTATTAATCTCTTATTTTTTTTTTTTCCCCACCTACTTAGTGCTTGGTTGTCTGGATATGAAAGCCCTGTGGTATCTCGCATTAACACAAGGATCCAGGACCTAACAGGCCTCGATGTCTCCACAGCAGAGGAGCTGCAGGTAAACTGTCAGGGCAAGCAGGGGGTGGTGGGCACTGTCTGCTGGCGTTCCGTTGTGGCTGCCTTTGTGTGCAGCACTGTGCTCACTCAGGTGGTGGTGGTGAGGTGGCCGTGAAAGCTTGTTTAACCCAGGGGCAGGTAATTTGATGGCTGGTTTTGATTCCAGGTCAGGGAAGGGGTGAGTGGGTTTTTTACCGAGAGGAAGAAACAAAGTTGTCTTTACATACTAGTGCTTACTGCAGGAGGAGATGGCTTTCTTTTGCTGGAGGGAAACAGTAATGACTGCAACTCCTGCTGTTTGGTGAAGTGGATGTGTAATTCCTTTTTATTTGTGCTAATAAAACTGAGATTCAGTGCTGCAGGGTCAGACTTTGCTGCTGTGGGGTTAGTGAAAAGTGCAGCTTGACTGATACTTAAGGGAAGGGGGGGAGAGAATGGCTGTTTAGATTTGCCATCCCAGCCTTGGTCCTGGAAGGCCAACAGTGTGGCCGGCGTCTCTGTAACTGTGGGAGGGGCTGACTGTATGAGTAACTTGTGTGAATTTTATTTCAGAAGTACTTGCTTTTTATTCATTTACTTGAGGCTTTTAAATGAACAGCTGCTGTACTGATTCTGAGAAAACAGTAATACCTAGAAAGCAGGACTGCTAGAAAGGGGGTCCCAAAAGCTGTTGTGTCACCGTGCTACTCCATCAAGACTCCTGATAGTAAAATGCCCAAGCAGCTGGTTGCAAATTGAGGTTATCAATACATAGAAGAGATTGGGAAAAAAAAAATTAGTCAGCAAAAGAGACAGTAGATCTTCTTTATTGACATAGAGATCAAAAAGTGATTTAAACTTGAAGCATGTAAAAGCACCCTGACCTATTTTGAAGAGAATATAGCCCGCAAAGTTTCTGTAGAAGAAAAATATTTTTCTACCCTGGGCAAGTACCAGGTTCCTTACCCGGAGTATTCTGCATCTGACGGTGCCAGTCTTGGTGCTGCTGCTCTTGTAGCCAAACCTCTCGGGGCTCTGCGGAGCCTGTGGCTGCGCAGGTCTTCAGGAATCTCAGAAGTTTCATGGTCAGGTTCTGTCGCCATCAGGTCAGACGGCAGCAGGACTCGGAAGCGGGCGACCGTCTTCACCACGCGGCAGGGGACGGACAGAGGAGCTTTCAAGGAAAGCTGACCCTGGGGAGGGGAAGGCTCAGCTCTGACTTTGCTGGGAGCGGGTGTCCGCTTGAGAACTGCAAAGGCAGACTGAAGGGCCGAGACCCTAAAGCTCAGTGGGGTTCTGGCTCTACACTGATGAGGGGTGAAGTCAGAGCTACCTGTGAATAAACCCAGTAGGACTTGGCTGCATACAGTACGGGTTAGCTGACGGAGACTTGTAGTTTCCTGTGGCCTGACTGTTAAACTTCATCTGTTGAAAGGCTTGTAGATGATGGTCCAATTCTTCTCTGGGTAAAATACTGCTTTACTAGATTTTGTGCTTCTCCTTTCACTGTAGGTAGCCAACTACGGAGTAGGAGGCCAGTATGAGCCTCATTTTGATTTTGGAAGGGTAAGTCCTGTTTTCTGTCTCCACCTCTTTCTTCTTCACGAGCGCTGTGTTTCTGTTTTTCAGGTGGCAAATTATGGAGTGGGAGGACAGTATGAACCCCACTTTGACTTTGCACGGGCAAGTAAAGAGATGGAGGAGGGATAGTCACCTGGTGAAGCCTGGGCCTCTTGGCTGTGGCACAATTTTTATTCTTCGATGTGTATTAAATTTTGTAGCTCTTCAAGTTTTCTAATCCATGTTAGCGCAGAAAGCCCTCTAAACCACCAGCTGAACTGATAAACATTTCCGGCATTACAGAGCAACAAGGTTTTTCTTCAAAAAAACGTAATTAAAAAAGAATTATTCTAAGGAGATGACCTATAGTTCTTAACGGAACAATGGGCCTTATTCTAAATCTGAGGAAACATTTAGCGATATTCTAGCTGGCCGAGGTCCTGGCCCTGTAAAGCCATTTTGTTTAAAATCACCGAAGGCCGGACGGCTAAACTGTACAAAGACCGGGTGCGTGGCCTGGGCTCCGGGCGCGTGCAGCAGGTGACGTGGCATCAGGTGGGGTGTCCCAGGCCCCCCGGGGCTGCCGGAGCCGGACGAGGCTGCGGAGGGGGGAGCTCCATGCCCTCTTCTGTGAGCTCACCCTGCAGGCCTGCGGCGCGGGGAGGGAACTTCCTCCCCCAGAGCCGAGGCGCAGGCGTCTTGCACGCCGTTGAAGAAATTTTGAAAATATCAGTTAAGTGCTCTGGTACTGTGGTTTACATGCCGATTGCTAGCAGAGCCCTGAAACTGGAAAAAGCCTATTGTGGTCTTGCTTATCTCACCATCCTTTTTTTTTTTTAAATATGATTTCAATTCCCACCCTATTTCTACCCCAGCTTAAATTGCGGACTGCTAGAAATAATGCCACTGAATTCAGTTGGTTATTTATTGGGCGTACGTATGTGTGATTTAACACCCTCAGATTAACCTTACGCTGTGAATCCAAGCCACCAACTCTTAATCAGAATCTCTGCTCTGTAAGCACGTGCTCAGGCGCGTGGCGAGCGATCGACAGGTTTTGTTTGGAAATAAATGCACGGGTTGACTTCCGGGCCGCTGGAATTTTAGCGCACGCAGGCAAGCGGTCACAGGGGGCGAGGCTGTGAGGAGTGGCAAAAGTTGGTGTCGTGAACCATCAAAATGAGGTTTCCTTGTAAGTCGGCAAGGGATGGGGAACCTCTTAGTTGCCCGGGTGGCTCCCTGGGCCAGTCTGTGAGCGCGTTACAAGCTCCGGCGAGGCGCCCGCGGCCTCCTGCCTCCCACCCAGCTGAAGGGAAGAGCCAGCAACTGCCAGAGCCACAAGTTCAGGCAGGGACCTAAATTCTTCCTGCCGCAAGCTCGGGGAAGAGCAGCCACAGGCGCTCTGCTTGGTGAGCCCTCCCGCTGCCTTGCCCGCGGGCCGGGGGGGCCCCAAAGCTGAGCCAGCCCTGCTGCACTCTGATCCTCCCTCAGTGACCCGGGGCCGGGAGAGCTGCCCCCGGCGGTGCTGGGCTTGGCCGAGGACGAGAGGGGAGAAGGGAGTGTGATTAAATAATTCAGTTTGTGGCTGTGAAGAGGATTTATACGCTCCTTTTCAGGCAGTACTGTTGGTCTTAGCCATTACCAATTTGGGCTTATGCCCTCCCCGTCCTACAGAATTTAAAAATGCCTCGTTTATTTAAATTAATAGCTACACTCACATTGCATTCTCCCCTCCTTCCAAACAGAGGGATTGAATTAATTTTTCTGCATGAGTTTGTCTGCTGCTGGCTCTGCAGCTGTATGTCATTCCCTCCTCTCAACAATCAAAATGAAACGCTTATTAAATCCGCTTGCTTTTTATTCACAGAAAGATGAGCCAGATGCTTTTAAGGAATTGGGAACAGGCAACAGAATTGCTACTTGGTTGTTTTATGTAAGTGATATATTTCTGCCATGTGCTAGTGCCAAAAATATCTATCACTGCATATTCTATACCGTTGAATGATTTCATTAGGTTTTTTCACTGGAGTGACTTGCAGATGAAGGCAGCCACTAACTTAGCAGCGATACATACAGGCTATCTTCTCACTCATAAGTAATGGTTCTTCTGTGTGTTCTTAAGGAGATTTTTTTTTTTTTTTTTTTCCCCTCAGAGTTGAGCATCGGTTTAAATTATTTGACTGTCTGTTCATTTTTATATCTGCATTGGTATTTATAGCGTGCTCGTTGCCCAACCCTCGGAGCGTGCAGCACTGCGGGCCGAGGCCGGCTGTTGCACTTTGAACAGAGTGGGTGGCTTTCGGCCTTTTTTTTTTTTAAGGCAGTCAGTCGTGCAGCCTTAGCTCACCGATTGGGAGGCAGAAATGAAGTCATTCGGTAACCTAATTCTGGTTTACTAAAACGGGACACCGGAGCATGTATCTATCAGCCTGCGGCTTACCTGTGCCTTTCGCCACCGTTTCAGATGAGCGATGTGTCAGCAGGGGGAGCTACCGTCTTTCCTGAAGTAGGAGCCAGTGTTTGGCCTAAAAAGGTAAGCAGGCTTTCTTACCCAGTGCGACCGCTCCCCTCCCCACCTACTCAGAAATATAACAGAGGTGGAAACGTTTAAAAAGCAGCTCTCAAATGACGTTCTGTAGAGGAGATGAGCGCGCTGTTCGTGGGAGCACAGCGGTACTTAGGGTTCAGTGAAGCGACTGTGGTGGTGCAAGGGGGGGGATTCCAGGGGCCCCGGATGTTCTGTGGGTTAATGCATAGTTCTGGTTTGGATTTAACTGCTCCTAATGCATAGACCTTGCAAAAAATTGCAGTATTTCAAAAACGCGTTTTGAAAAATACTCAAATCTGTAAGTAGGTGTCGTCTCGAGGTAGATGGTAGGGAACTCTCCCTGAAATTGTATGCTCCTATTACATTTTTTTTTCCCCTCAGAAAGGTCACAAATAAGGTCTTTTTTTGTTGGCCTGCTGCTCATTTGTTGTAAATTACCTTGCTCTCTAAAACTGGTCAGAGTTGAAAGCAAAACTGGCATAGGGCTTAAAAAAAAGATAACAGCGAAGTGTATATAGACACAGACTGTGTCGCAGGAGACAAGAATATGGAAAAGAGCCTTTGATTTAAAAGGAACACTTGAAATAATACAAATACCCAGACCTTTGCCTTGGCATTGGTGTGCACGTGTGTATCGCACGGAGCAAACTGCTGAGGATTGCCACTGCACTCTGCAGGGAACAGCCGTGTTCTGGTACAACCTCTTCCCAAGCGGAGAAGGAGATTACAGCACGCGGCACGCGGCCTGCCCGGTACTAGTTGGAAACAAATGGGGTGAGTAGCCATCCCCCTTGTTCTGGCTGCCTGGAGGGCTGGCGCCGGGGCCCCGGGCGCTCTCGGCCATTGTCTCCCTCTGGGCTTCGTGGTGGAACAGAAAACAGCCAAAAATTAGCTCCTCTGTAAAGAAAGGATAACTCTACCTAGGTCATCCCGCTCTATGATATATTAGATATAATAGCATATTTTATTACGTATATAAACCACGTAATACTATATCTACTTCAAGAGTTTTTTGTAGTTTTGCAACTACTGGAAGGCTTTTTTCCCCCCCCTCTTGGATTTATTAGACCAACTTCACATTCACGTGTACGTATGAAAACACTTTAGAAAATCAAGATAATCCTGTGCTGAACTGAAAGTTGGCCAACAGCACGTACTTAGCTTAAATCGAGGCACGAGCTAACCAGGTGCAGTGATCAAACACCTTTATGTCTTTGCAGTATCCAATAAATGGCTCCACGAGCGGGGACAAGAGTTCCGAAGGCCGTGCACTTTATCAGAGTTGGAATGATGCAGAATCATCCTTTGTCTCTTCTGTATTCAGTCTGTGTAAAATGCACACATCTACAGTTTACAATTGACTAACACTCCACTACACGTTCAGTCTTCAACTACACCGGTGTTTCATCTGTGGACAAAACAAACGTGCTTTTTAGTTCCCCTGAAATATCCCCTTAAGGTTTTATCAACAGAATATATTAAGGTTTATTGAGTGTTACGGGAAAAAAAAAAAAAAAAAAAAAAAGGACAAAATACAGATCAGGGCCACAACTAACAGTGGTGTTGTGTGTGGTGTTCCCTTCACCATCGCCCCTCTGAGCAGCACGGAAATTTTTGGCAGCACGGAAAAAGCCAGGGATTGTTCTCTTAGAGTCCTCCTCGCAGCTGTCGGTCCGCTGAGGGTGGGATGATTTGAGGGGAGGGCTCCCTACCAAGGAAGGCTGAATTAAACCCGTTCCTATTCCTCAATTGCCAGACATTTGACTCCTTGCTTTTCGGGTGTGCCTGACCACTACTGGCCAGAACTGTGGGCGTGGTTGGCGTTTCTCGGGGGGGAACAGGTTATCGTCATGTTTTAGCCTGGTTTTATCCCCTTCCACAAAAGCCCTGATTTTTCAACTGCCTGCCTCCCCAGCCCGAGGGGGGAATTAGGCTCAGCCTTGACGAGGTGAGACAGCAGGTGCCTGCGCAGAGGTGAGGTGCTGCAGCAGTTGTTGGGTCCAACACACGCCTGCATCAGAGCAGCCCGACAACACTGACAGCCCCTCTTCCCTCCGTCTCCCTTCTTTAATGTTTGTCCACGTAACCAAATGCTGCTCTTATTCTGTTGTAGTAGTCCACTTTTACATCTGTTCCTTGGGCAGCGGGGATGGGAACGTTACCATCAGCATTAATCAAAATAATTGTGCCTTAGGACACTGGAATTTCAAATTGGTTGCGAGACTTCAGGTGATGAGGTCAGACATCGACCTCGCAGAACGCTCTGCACCCTCGTTCTCAAGGTTTGGTGAGGAAATAGATGGCCTATTTATAACCCTAAATCTTTTTTTTTTAGATGCTTTTTTATTTTGCAGCCCGGGCCTGCTGACGGCAGGCCGCAGCGGGGGGGGGACACACGCACATGCCTTTAGCCACAGGGCGCCTGTCTGCTCGGGCAGGTTTGGTGTTGCTCCCCTCGTGCTGCCGCCCCTCTCCCGAGCTGGCGCTGGCCCTCTGAGCGAGGGGAAGGGGCCTCTCCTCTGGTGCTGCCCACTCCCCTCCCTCTGCCTGCCCCCCGAGCCGGGGTGGGAGCCCTTCCCCTTCGTGCCCCCCCCCCGGCTCCAGACAGGGTGCCCCAAAGCCCGGAGCCCGCCCGCCCTGCAAGAACTCGCTCTTAGTGCCTGGGAGGGACCTTCGGTTGTGACGAGCCGTCCTCAGGCTGCCATGAAGTTGTAAACCTCTGAGGGAGACGAGCCTCTGGCTGCTGTAGCTGTTCACCTTTTGTTCTGCTCCTCAAGAGCCCTGCGGGAGGAAGAGCGGCCCCCGCGCAGGGAGGGTCGCCCGCCTCAGCCCTTTCTCTTCATCACCAGGATTTTTAGCAAATTGTCTAAAAGTTCCACTAGCAAGAGGATAAGAATCAAAATGAGCTGCACCAGACTCTACCTAAACAGTACCTGATTTTCTGGATGATGATGGTTTTACTGATTTAGGGGCCAAGCCTGAAGTCTTTACCAAGGAAGAAATTCCATTTGTAGTTAATTGGACTTTCTGCCTCTACAAAACCTTGAAAATTGAGCCAAAAGGTAGATTAAACCAACTGTTAACGTGCTAGAAATACCTCTGGAATGCTGAGAATGCAGTTTAAGGTACTGTAGTTTGAGAAACCGCATACTTTCTGAAGACACTTTAAAATCTTGGCTGGAAGGTGAATCGTTAAATTTCTACTGAGCCTGTTAGCAATGGGACCTACGTAACTGTTTATCCTCAGCCCTGCACCTTCTTGCTTTTTGCCCGTGCTTTTAGCAGGTGTGAAGCAAAGTCCACCCAGCACTTAAGAAAACAAATAAAAAGAAAAATCAGAAGTAGTTCCACCTACTGCTGTAGGTGTACTGCTCGTTTATTCCGACTAGCTGGTACACTCAAGCAGCACCTGATACAGATTCACCAAAGAAAGGGGTTATCAGAACGTATTTTTAATCACTGGATTGTAATCATTAAAAAAAAACCCATCGTGTTTCTGCTTACCTGAGTTTTCTCCCTTTCACACAGTGTCATTCAGCTCTATTTCTATCCACGGTTTTACCTTTCCCATCCTTTTTTACTCTCTTAAGCTCAAAAAAAAAAAAAAAGGTAAGGGTGGCTGCAGGGAAGTCCTGCCACTTTTCCTGCGAGTAAAAGAATAGAAGGAACAACGCGGTGGTAGGAGTCTTCCCTTTGGGGCACGGATTTTCTCTCAGTAGCTCCGAGGCACCTATAAATGCTTTTAGAAAAGCCAGTCCCACATGGTCAACAAGCACAAAAAGAAATTTATTTATTGCCACCATGAACGTGTTGAGACAACAGCATCTGGTTTTGCTATTGCAGAAAAGCTGCTTTTTCCTTCTAGTGAGCCGAGGGCTGACTCGACCTGTTAAAATAATTAAAAGCTAAAAATCATAGAATTTATGTAAGGTAAAAGTGAAATACTGAATACAAAGTGTTGGTGACTGCTTTAGGTCCTGCTGTAGTGGAAGAAAACACTGCGGTCTCTTACAGAAAGGAAGGGTTGAAGCAGTGAGAAATCACAGGTTTGTATAATAAGCAGGGGGGTGGGTTTTTTTCCCATCTGTTCAGCCGGCACCAAAAGATGAATGACAAGCTTGAGAGGAGGGTGGAATGCCTGGGGAAATCTGCTGAACAGTTACCTCCCTCACGCTGACTCCATCGAGTACTTGCAGTGTTAAACTGCATTTTAAGAACAGTCTCCAAGAGGCAGTGCTCGGGGAGTAAGAAGTGCGTGAATTTTTGAAGGAGTGAACTACTCGATGACTTGCAGTTTTTTGGGGAAGAAAAATAGTTTTGTGTCTTTCGGCAGTGGAAAATTTCACTTGGTTTCTCAATTAAAAAAAAAAAAAAAAAAAATCCCTCAAAACTGAAACTCATCTGCTAAGGCACATCAGACCGAAACGTTCCAGGTTATTAGAAGAGAAAGGGTAAGCTGAGTTTTTTAAACGGCAGACAATCCGCACTTCCTCTTTCTCCACCGCAGTAGTGTTTGTGCCCCCGACACTGGACGTGTAAGGAATTACCCGGGGGGGGCGGCCGCTTTCTGCCTTACCCCCCAATTTCTCCAAGGGCTTCCGGATCAAGGGTGTGGCTCCTCTGTGAACCTAGTTTTGTATTAAAGATGACTGAAAACTGTTCGGCTCACAGTGACTGACAATTGAGAAACTGCCTTACTGTTACTTTTTTTTTTTTTTGTAATAAAATTTTTAAATGTACAAAAAATGGGCTTAAAATAAAAGCCACTGCCATTAGCAGTGAAAAATCCTCCACATCAAACTCTCCTCGTCTGTGGCTGCTGTAAATCTGGTCGCACTGACCGCCGTGCGTGTCTCCTGCAAAGCGAGCTCAGTCCTTTCACTTCGTAATCCGGGCAGGCAGGTGCAGGAGATGCTCGCTCGCACCCCAAACTGCCGCTAACCGCGTTCTCGGACCCGGACCTTGGCTGGGAGCCCTGGGCCGCGGGAGGGGAGGGCAGGGAGCTGAACTGCTCTGCCCCCCCCTCAGCTCCCCCCTGCGCCGATTCCGGCAGTAACTGCTGCGGGGGTTTAATAATAGAGACATGGGAACCCTGCAAGCCTGGCTTGGAACTCAAAAAAAAAACCCAGGCGCAGCGAAGGGTCAGCTGCTGAGAGACCCTTTTCCAGGGATGACAAATATTTCCACTTCCTGAGGCCAAGAGGTCAACCCGCCAGTGATTCTGCGTTGTTGTAGAGGAGGGACAGGGGACAGAAACGCCGGCAGCGTGGGTGGGGGACAGAGCACTTACACGTAGGAAGGGGCAGGTTGGAATCCTCCATAAACAAGGTTTCTACAGTTTAGACACTGCAGCTGCTCCTGTGCTTCACTCTTCCGAGGCAGCGGAGCTCCCACTTAAGTTGTGGTCAGCGGGAACCTGCAAAAAAGCATAGAGAGGGCTGGTTGGAGGCCTCGATCCTTTTTCCCCGTGGGGTGGAGCCTTGGGCTGCCGCTGGAGCGCTTGCCTTGCGGTCAGGGCACTGCCCCCCTCCCTCCCCGCTGCGGTCCACAGACGCAGCTGATGGGCTCACAGATTTGTCAGCCCCTGCGTTGGAACTAAGCGGCCCAGGAGGGCCCTCGTGGGGAAAGATGCAGGTCCCAGCCCGCCTCTGAGAGGAGAGAGGGGCTGCCCTGCCTCCTGCGTGGGGCCTGAGGCGCCTGCCCGGGATCTGGGGGGGCCTGAGGGGCCTTTCCCCCCCCCTCCTCCATGGGGGAAGGGAAGGATCGTGGTTCAGCCCTGCGCCATCGCTGCCCCGTGCTTACGCACCGTGGTGGGATGAGAGGAAGGGAAGGGAAAGGGTCTGGCAGTGTCGGCGCCCACGGCTGGGGGATCAGCCCGGGGGACCTCTGGGGGGGCTGGGCCAGAGCAAGAACTTGAACGCAGCCCCCCCTGAGGGAGACAGATTTTCTGTGACCACCCACCCGTCCTCCTCCAGCTGCTGGACTCTGACCCGACTCGGTGAGGGACCCGGGCGTTTCACCATCAAGCTCCGTTTCTCACCCTGGTAATCGGTGACTCCTTGGGGTTGGTTCAAAAAAACCAGGTTTTGAACCAACCCCCAATTACCCGCTAACCTCAGCCGCAAGCTGCCTCTTCCCCCTGCCTGGGCCGTGCTTAAACATCAACCAGCAACTCGCTGAGCCGGCCAGAACTGATGGAAAAAGCGCTCGGTCCCTCATCCCTCCGTCCTTCCCGCTGTCCCCGGCAGAACACCGGGGGAAGGGGCCTGGCAGAGCGCTTGCCCACGCAGCTCTGCCCGGGGCAGCGAGCTCTGGGAAAGAAAAGCAGCAAAAGAGCCGGGCCAGCCCCTGCCCTTCCCTCCTCGGAGCTGAGCCCAGGAGGGAAGGGGTCAGCGCCTGCTTCGGCATGGCTGGAAACGCGAAGCCAAGAGGGTTTTCCAGCTCCGTCCGCAGCGGGGGGGGGGGTTCACTGTCACTAATGTGGGGGGACACAGGCACACGCATCCCGTTTGCCGGGAGCAGGCTGCCAACAGCCCGACGGTGCCATCGGGAGCGGGTGACTCATCGCAGCCCCGGGGCTGCTCTATATTTAAGCATTACAGAGTCAGAAATGAATGCACCGAGCCGGGAGGTTGCTTATCCTGGGGTCAAGACGAGGTTCAGAAACCAGTCGTCAGAGTTCACCCTCGTTGGCGAACAACATCTGGGTCTCTCAAATCTTTAGAGAGAGAAAAAAATTGTCATAAGCGGGGCGTTTGCACCCACAGTGGGTCAGACAACCTGCAGGTACCTGCTGTGCACACCCGCCTCAGGACGTCCCCACTTCTGCGGTTGTTGAGCCCGAGGGGCAATTCCCCGAGATAACCGCCCTGCGCCGGGAGGTGTTGTGCAGCGTTTGTTAGCTTTACTCCATCCTACATTTTTTCCTGGTTTTCAGATCTTGACATTTGGGTGCAACCGGGCTATTCGCAGCGGGACTGAAAATGTCTCGGGGGACTGGTGTGGGGAGGGGTGGAAGCAGGCAGGAGGAAGGAGGGAGAGTGGCTCATCCCCAGGGCAGGGCAAAGGCGCTGCCACGTTTCGGGAATGCAGTTAGACTGCTTTTTTTTTATTCACAAACTTTTGCACTGGGACAAGTGACAATCAGGAAAAGTTTCCGACTCCTCTATTTTCCCCCGGCTCTGCACTTTGCCAGCCACTCCCCCCAGCTCTGTTCACCTTTCCTAACAAATTCCGATCGATTTTGCAAACGGCCCCAGCTCCGTGCTCCGGCCAGAGCCACCCCCCCCCCCTTCCAGGCCGCGCGTCCTGCGGGGACAGCCCAGGCCCCAGCCGCTGGGGTTTGCATCCTCTGCAGTCCCGCCGGCACTTTGCCCCCTCTCTGCTCCTCTTCAGCAGCACGTGGATCAGGCACTGAAGGGATGCGGGAGAAAGCCGCGTTCTGGAACTGCCTCCAGAGCGACCCTGAAAGGCTCCGCAGAAAAGCGCAGCACCCAGCTCAGCCACCCAGGGGCTCCACGCAACGTTGCCAAGCTATTTCTGAACGGCTGTTCTGCTCTTTTTCACATTAGCCCCCGCCAGGCGGTTTCGAAGGGCGGGGAGCACGAGGACTGCAAACCTGTGTGTCAGGCAGGGCAGTGATTCACCCAGCACAGGCACAAACGCCTCCGCTCCCCGCAAGACACAGCATGGGACTGTTACACCAGTTTTTTTTTTCCCTTCCCCGGGGTGGGGGGTGCTCCCTGACAACAAATTCCAGGGACATGGGCCTGTTTCCACCCACAACTGAGCAGGCCAGTCCCCAGCACGGTTTGAAGAGCAGGACAGGCCTGAACTCTCCCGTCCTGCCCTGGGAAGTCCTCGCCCCACGAGCGTCCCCGCTGCTTCGTGCCAGTGACGGGCACCCTGCCCAGGAAAGGCTCACCAGAGGCAAGGACTTCATGGCTCCCAGGCTCCAAGGAACAAACCGTCTAAATAGCAACCCGGCACCCCTAGCTCAACCCAAAACATCACCCTAATTTCTCACCAGGCATTCCAGTGCCCCCCCCCTTCCTCGTCTGCAGCTTGGACACTGCCAACTTTTCTTCCTGAAGTCTCCTGCAAAACAAAAAATTTGCACGTATTGCCGTGTGTTTGCAGGACCCGCTGCCTGGCTCTGGAGCTTACCCATTTAATCCAGCACCGCTGGCGTTACGCAACAGCTGTAACAACCAGCCACCTAACGCCAGCCTTCAGGAGTCCCACAGCAAGGGCAAATACTCACCTACCCCGTTGATCCTGTAACTGGAGGCAACATGCCACGGGATTGCCCCAAACGCAGCGTTTCTAAGCCCAAATTACTCGTAACTGCTGGATGGACCCCCACCGGGCCCAGCAGCAGCCTCTGGCCACGGCAGAGGGGGGACACGGTGTGCTCAGCCACCCTTTTCTGCCTGGTGGCTCGTGCTCGGGCAGGGCGGCCTGTCCTGGGTGCGCAGGGACGGAAAGCTCTTCCACACAAGGACGTCGGCCCCGCGGTCCCACGGGTTTCGCGAGGAGCAGTCCCTCCCAGCGGCTAGGCCGGGTGGGCGCCTCGTCCCACGCCGTTACGCGCCTAGCAGGCCCCAGAAAAAGGCGAGGTGGGGCTCCTCGGTCTGCTGCAGGTTTATTACTTCCGTTGCCTGAGCAGCAAGGAGATACTGGATGAAGAGATACTCTTCATCTCCCCGCAGGCTGGGGAGAGAGCGGGGCAGCGCCTCGGTGGGGCAGCGCCTCGGTGGGGCAGGCGGAGGGGTCTCCCTCCACGGCCTGGGCGGGCCAGACCCCGCTCAGCACCGCAGGGTTTTCGCAGCTCCCTTTTCGGGGAGGCCGAAGCCCTGGCGCCGCAGGGGCCGAGCCCGTTTCCAGCAGGCTTGTGCAAACTCAAACCTCGGTGTTTGTCCGCGCGACGTACCCGCTCCGGATCCGCACGGTGCACTTTGCACTCCGACCGTGGTGACCTCACGCTGGTTCCCTCGGCGGCGTTTAAAGTCCAGGGGAGGGGGGGTGCTCGCCTGCCTGCTACACGCAACAGCTCGCTCCCGCTCCTCCTTCCCTGCCCGCACATCTGCCTGGGCGAGGGCGCCGGTGGGGGGGGGGCCCGGGGCCGGAGCGCAGCAGCATGCGGCTGCTTTTCGAGGCAGCGGTTCTGTGCCTGACGCTGGGCTTGGGGCAATGCACCGAGGAAAGAACCCAAGAAAACACCGTCCACCAAGCTCCCCAAGCAGAGGCATCCTACTCAGAGTGGGGCATCGGGGCCATCCGGGACAGCTTCGAAACGGTTAACAGCTACTTCGACTCCTTCTTGGAGCTGCTTGGGGGGAAAAACGGCGTTTGTCAGTACAGGTGCCGGTACGGTAAGTGAACCTCAGTCCTGCTGGCTCCTCCGCCCTTTCCCCTCTTCCCCCTTGCGCATGGAAACGCAGCGCTCTCCTTCCCCCAAACCCCAACCAGCTCCTATCCACGACCTGCCCCCCTGCTATGATCGGCCCAGAAAAGTCACCGCGGAGAGTCACGGCTGCTCTGCTCGTGCCGGCGCAGGGACACTGAACCCTCAGCTTTCCCTCTCGTCAAGAACAAGCCTGATCTTGAAGCCGCTGTGCTGCGCGCGAGGGGGGCGAGAGGAGAGGACACGGGTTTTACAGGAAGGGCACGCAGGTAACCAGGCTGCCTGTGGTAACCTGGACCCCCGGGGAGGAGGAGCAGGACGGGCAGCGAGGCTCGGGAGGGGAGGACGAGCAGCCTGTGCAGACCTGACTCAGAAAGGGGTGTCAGGATTGCCAGCAGCCCTAATCTCCGCAACCTTCGGAGCGTCGTTATGCAGCAGCCGGGAGTTGGCTAATAATGGGGGCTGGAGGAGGGGAGGTAACAGGAAGGCAAAGCCGACCTGCTGTCACCACGGAGGAACCTTTAGTACTCAAGGCGCAACGAGGCAGCTGCCGCTTGCCTTGGACTTTAGAGTGACTTACCAAAAAGGAAGAGTTTGGTTGGCCCCCGGGGGCAGGACGAAGGGGGGGGGTGACACCTCAGGGAGAGCGGGGCAGGAGGAGTGCAGGCGGGGCAGGGGACTGGGCACGCGCTGAAACCACCTGTTTGGGAACAGCAAGGAGGTTTCCTACAGACCGTGTCCTCCCCCCAGCCTCTGACAACTGTCCCCACAGCAAATAACTGGCCTCTGTCACCTCAGCCTGCCCGCTCACAACCGCCCGTCAGCCCTTTGCCCTCCAGCTTCCTCCCACGCTTCGGAGAGATGCTTTGGAGCAACCGTCTCCGTGCTTTGGAGAGATCCCAGTTTCAGTCTGGATGCTGGTTGCCCCATCACGCCGCCCGTCCCCAGGCCCACCATGTGGCAGCCCCACGCTGTGCGTGACAAACTCCCCCTTTAGGTCCACCCCACGCTCCCAACTCAGAGCAGAAAGGGGCTTAGAGCGACTGGAAACCCCGGTAGTGGGGATAAGGTGGCTGGGCCTGCAGCGTGCCTGAGGCAGGGGTTGGGAAGGCTGATATTCAGAGCTCCTTTCGTGGTGTCTCTGGACTCACCAAGTCTTGGAGAAGTCGTCGCTCTTGGACGCATCCCGAGGTTAGGGCTCTCCCTGCCCTTGTCCCCGCGCTCCGGGTAGGGGGTCAGAGCATCGCCACAGAGCAGCACAACTGCCTGCCTGCTCCCTGAGAGCACCCCGTGCCCTTCTGGAGAAATGTTTTACCTAGAAAGGAAAACAAACAAGCACATCGTTAGCCCCGTTCCCGGTCCCCTGCTGAACAACTCATTAATCACTGGCTGAAGGAGGAAACTATTGAAACGCTGCCCACGCGCCTCCAAGGGTCCTGCTGGACTCTTTCAGGACGATTTGTCCGCGCTGGTCTCTAGCACAGTTTCAAACTGCAAGCAGAGGGGATGCAGGGACGACCCCAAACCACTGAGGCCCAGTCTGTGCCCGGAAGAACAAACACAAACCATCTTTATCATCTTCCTGCTGAATCAGGACCTAATTACTTTTCCCCCAGGCACGAAGCAAAAATTATGCCTTCTACTTTCCTCCCTTTCAGCCAAGAGAGACTGATAATAGCTTATTTTGCCACAGTGAAGGTCAGGACTCACCTGTGATTGCCACATCCATCTTCAGCTAAGCACGCAGCACTTGGCTGTTCTGGCTGTAAGACTATTCTCTTGATTTTTCCGCAGCTAGTGAGGTCTGGAAACAAACAACTTGATGGATTACTCCCTTAAATCAGGACATTAGGGTTACACTAGCATTTACCGCAAATACCTCCGCCGCCCTTTCTCTGGCCGTCTCAGGGTGGGGAGCAGCCTGAAGTGGGAGTAAATCCCTTGATAACTTCCTTCAGCCATCTGGCCAGGCAGGACCTTCAATGTTTTGCCCGGCATTTAGTCCCGAGGGGCTTAACACGAGGAGGCACATCTAGGCTGTGGGGAAAAGAGCCTTCAAAGTCAGGCTCTCCAACACTGCTTGCCCGGGGCAGAGGAAAAAACAACGGACCGCTCAGGCGAGCGAGGAGCCCCAAAACCCTATTCACCCAGAAATACATTCACTCCCCCCTGCCAGCGTACCAGCACCGAGGTGTCTGAGGCCTCCCGCGTCGCCAGCAGCTGCTCCAGCCAGCTGGCTGCTTTCCAGGCTCTTGGCACAGCTGCAACAGCCCGGGGAGGGGTGGGTATTCAAACTCATCGGGGAAACTCGCTTCCCTTTAGAAACTCAGCTTCAGCCCTCCTCCGAGGCCACGCCAACGTGGGCTTCTACTCATCGGCGTCGCTCTCCGGCACGGTCCCGCTGGGCTGGCTGCCTTCTGGCACACTCTCCCCAGCGATGCCCCGCAGCAAGCCGGCAGCCCACGCTGGCCCCTGGTGACACACGGCTAGCCAAAGAGCCAGCGTGACCCACCGGGTCCCTTCCCCCTCGCAGACACACCCAGAAGGACGGGCAAGCAGTAGATGATAACCAGAGCGCCGAGTCGATGCTCACTTAGAGCCAGGAACACCTATTATTTCTATTCTGCCTTCATTTTCCTGTCAGCTAGAAAACACGACGTGGGGGAGGTTAATCGTGGCGTCTTGGACTTCTATCTAGCTGAGAAATTGTTTGCACAGGAGCGCTTCACAAATGAGGATTTGTCTTTCAGAGAGGAGGGGGCCAGGTTTACTACAGGGGCTCAGCTTGAAGGCAGTTTGACATTTTGCTGATCACCACAATTCTCACGTTAGGTTTCTTTTTTTTTTTTTTCCTCAGGACAACTTTCTAAGCCATTTTCAGCTTTAAGGGCAGGTTTTCTCTGGCAACACAGTTACCTCCATGTCCCCAAACAGTCTCGCTCTTACTCTGACTTGCCACCTCACCCCGTTAATTGACAATGTGCTGCAGGAACGTAACTTATTCTCAATATTATAAGCAAGTCATTAAAATTTGACCCCATCCTGGGAAATCCACCTTGGATTTTGAGCTTTGCTCTGCCTTCTACCCCAGTTCAGGAACATTTGAATCCTGAGTTCCAACTCTCATCCCCTTCCAAAAGAGCAACTAGGCTGTGAATTTCGCCAAGACCTGGGTGCGGCACTCATTATGTTGCTTGGGAGCCCTGGACTATAGATTCAGGCCATATAGAGACATCATTCCTTCTCTCTATAGCATAACCACCCAAACACATAATGTGCAATGTGTCGTGAACTCAGAAGTTACCTCACGTCACTGTACCTCAGCGGACTTGAATAATGTTTTGGTGCAAAGATAATCCTATAACAACGGTGTGCTGCAACCAACGCTGATTTGTGCTCTTTGTCTACTGTTAACTCAGCTCTACGTGCTCAAAATAACAATGCTTTCTGCAGTAGAAAATTACATCTGGAGCACGAAGCAGATCCGACCTATTCAAAAGGGGCCAAAAAGGTAGAAACACAGTAGTAACCGCTGTACGGAGAAATACCTTCCCACGCAGATGCCATCACCTGGTGGTGGTGTCAACCAGAGAGCTTTATCTTGGCTCGCAGACAGCTAAATCCTTGCTGTGTACTGCATTTCGGTAGGGTTGGAGAAACTTGGCTATTGGTGTCTCACAGCTGGACAGGATGTCAGTTTGTTGTTTATTTGTTGCAAATCTGTTGTCCAAACAAAACCGCTCTGGCAATTTTTAATTCAGAAAGTGCTGGGAACGTTCCTGTGTAAGACTTTTTGAGGCATTTGGCTGGGAGGTCTTCTTGAGAACACAGCAGATTTATGGCTGTATTAACCACCGGTATTTTAGGTAACTTGACACAAAAAAAAGGGGAAAGCATCTTAAATGATTATAGGTGCTGACAAGAGAAAAAAAAAAAAAAAAGACAGTGGAGATGGGAGTTTAAAAGAATCCAACCCTGCTTGAAGGGCTAAATTAGATCTATTTTATGTCTATAGAAATTCTCTGGCAGTACTCAGGGAAGGAGGAAGTTAACCCTAGAGGTGATTGACTTACAGGAGGCTCAGCTCACACCGGTTTTCGCTGGAGTATTCCCACAGCTTACAAAGTTTTCCCAGAGCAGGGTTCAAATGTCTCAGCACCTCACTCTGCATTTGAGATCTCCCCTTTATAAACCCAGCACTGAACACACATCGAGAGAGGGCACAGGGAAACCCACCTCCACGAGGGCCGGTTTCCCCAGCTTCTCCAGGGGAGAATCCTCTCCCACCTTGAAACAAGCTCCTTGCCCGGCGAGGTCAAGGCACACAAGCAGCCTGGCGACTCCTCCTCCCCAGACAGGAGTTGTTAGGTTAGATGGAGATGGGGGCTGAGGTAGGGAAGAGACAGGGCGGGGGAACAGGCAGATCTCCTAACGATGTGGAGAGTTTCCACCCCACCCCTCGCAGCCAGAGCGCTCTGTCAGCCATACACAAAGCCCCAGGACGGGCTGGCAGGCAGACAGGAGGGCTTGCATACCTTCAAAGGAAACCAAATTCAATTGCTGCCGAAGCTTATTAGCTGACTGTCTGCTGGGCTCTTTCTGCGTGGGGTAAGTAATTATTCACGGAGGAAATTCTCGCTCCTCTGTGCGTATTAAGAAGCGTTCCAAGGGAAGGCAGAGGTAAAGGGATAGCGGCAACACGTGGCAGTGCATCACTGCATGCAGAAAACGGACCGAGACAACCACCTACGCGGAGCAAGAACAGACATGATGCAAGGTCTAGCACGATTTTGCAGAGATCCGCAGCCCACCGACGCTCAGAGTAAACTGAAGATGGAGAGAAATCCCCTAGTAGTTTAGCTGCTAGTTTCTTGGAGGAGTTGGAACGACATCTGGGTGGTCCCAGCTGTGCAGAGCTCTCGGGAAGCACGTGAAAGAAGCTCCTAGGAGATTTGGGAGGTCTGAGGCGCTAGCTGTAGCATGGAGGGCTACTCAGCTGCAAAACCCCGTGCTGCAAAGAGGGACCTGCCCATTTTTTTTTAGGAGCTGGGGAGAGTCACAGACCTAGGGACTGAAGTCAGATCAGTTTAAACCTTTGAGAAGTGCTGGGGACCCAGCTCACACACACCCCACTGCTCCGGTGGCCATGCCAGAGGAGGTATGAGCTCAGTCAGGCTCTAGAGCCTTGACAAGTGTTTCGGCCAGGTCTAGCACCTATCCTTCACTCCCTGCATCTCCTGGGGGGGGAATGACATGTTTGGGGATGCAGACCAAAGGGGGAGCTGCCTGCCGCTCCTTGCTTTTTTGGTGCTACTCTTGGGAAGATTGGCTTTCCTAACATTTTTCCTTTCTTTCTCAGGGAAGGCTCCAATGCCGCGACCTCACTACAAACCCCAAGAACCCAATGGCTGTAGCTCCTATTTTCTGGGGCTCAAGGTACCCGAAAGTGTATGTACTACCACACCCACCATTCCCAAATGACGTGGTTCTCAAATCACAGTCACCAGCTAGTAATATTGGGGAGGGAAGAGGCTTAGCTGTCCTGTGCACAAGCTGTGTGATGGCTTCTCTTTAGAGCTGAAGCCAGAGCTCTGGAAAGGGGAGGGAATATCACTTATGGGGTACGGTATTAGGGGACAAGCCATCTGCCTGGCACTGCCAAGCAAGGCGAACACATCAGTCTGAGCACTGCCTAGCTTACTGCCAGTCAGGGAGGCATTAAAGATCTCAACTGCCGGTGGCAGCAAAACAGGAATCACGTAGCCGGGAGTTCCATTTACCAAGGACTGGCCTGTTGCTCTGGCTGTCTCAGCAAGAGAAAGTTTCCTGAGCAGGTCAGCACTAGAGGAAGAAAGAGGGGGTGCCTGGCCAAGCGGAGCGCCGCTGTGCAGAAATGGATTTTTATCAAGGCCCTGGACAATCCCATGCCCTTGCGACAGGACAGGGAACGTGTTCAACACTGGGCAGATCAGTGACACAGCATAATGTGCAAACAGCAATACCTGAGGGTGTTCTCCACACCTGGCCTGTCGTCCCCTCCCGTGCTTTTTGCCTCTGCCAAGCACTGAAATAAACCTGCAGGCTTTAGTTCTGCACCTACTTGTTACCTGAAAGGCAGTTAATGAAATCACATTGGAATCACCAGGAAAAGCACTCCCAGGAGGCTCTGAGAGCAGGAATTACTTTTTAGCCCACACATTACTGCTGCCCATGAAGTCTGCAGCAATGAGGAAGATTCCTGCTCTGAAAAACCCTCTCTTCACAGCCCATTTTTCATGTTAGATTAGTTTCTTAAACTACATTTAATTGCAAACCTTGTGAGCATTTCTGTGGTATCTCCTCCTTAGGCAGGCAGTTGCGGGGGCTGAGAGCACTGAAGAAACAATTCATCTCCTAAATATTACATGAGGAAGGCCAAAAAGAGGAAGGATTTATAACAAGCTAACAAGTTCAGTCTCTCCGGGAGACAGGCCTTCTGCCCCATCACCCCCATGGTTATTAGCTAAGTTTGCTGTTTACCTCCAAGCAAGCGGAACTCCCCTGACAAGCTCTATTTGTCCTTGGCCTCACAAGTGCATCTCTGAGAAATAAGGCAATAACAACACTTCTAGCAGATTTATTAGGCCGAGAAGCAAGACTTGTCGGGTTGTGGGAAAAGGAGGAAAGAGAAAAGGGGCCTTTGCCATTGCTGGCAAGGACAGGAAGCTCTCCAACGAGCTCTGACAAACAAGAACTAGCAAATGGTGATGGAGGGGCTGTTTCCCACCTCTCTACCAGACGTGAATCCCTCGCGACAGAGAGAAGGGAACGTGGTCTACCCTGTCACTCCTGTCGCCACTTTCTTTAGATGGTGAGGGAGAAGAAAGCGTTCCCTCCTGCTGTCCCCGCGCTCAGGGGGGAGCTTCTGGAGGAGCAGCCAGATGGGCTCTGCAACACCTCACCCAGCTGCAGCTCTCTGAGCCCAGACGCAGCCAAGGGACGCTTCTTTTCTCTCTCTCCCCAGCTAGATTTGGGCATCCCTGCCATGACCAAGTGCTGCAACCAGCTGGACGTCTGTTACGACACCTGCGGGGCCAACAAATACCGCTGCGACGCCAAGTTCCGCTGGTGCCTCCACTCCATCTGCTCTGACCTCAAGCGCAGCCTCGGGTTCGTCTCCAAGGTGGAAGGTAAGCTTCCCAGCTCGCATCCCCTGCGAAGGGAACAAGCCACGGCAGGGAGGGGAGGGTGCGGGCAGGGAGACCTTTCCTTGCCAAAAGCAGCACAAATCTGCAGTAGGGAGCAGCACATCTGTCCTGTGCTTGTCAGAGATGAGCGAGAACACTGAGACCTGCCCCCCTCCACACACACTTCTGTCCAAGGCTGGAGGCCAAAAATTATTTACATTTGGAAAACATTACAAAACACGTGTGGAAAGAAAAAAAAAAAAAAAGCAAACTACAAAAAAACCCCTACTATCAATTCCTTCAAACCTTGCAAGCCCTCCCTAAGAGCTCAAACACCTGCACGGGAGACCAGAAAACCTTCCAGAGCCAGTAAGCCACATGCTGAAACCTCTATGTGGCCAAGGGCCAGCAAGCTGAGAGAGCCAAGGACAGGGGCTCTCCGGGATCTGGTTCACAGATAAGAGATGACGATGGCACCAGGGACACACCACAGCATGGGTGGTGGCTGAGCCATTGCAGGGAGATCTGCCTTGCTCAGAAGCCCCCGTGCTAACAAACTTCTAGTGATGCGTCAGCAGCTCAAGACTCACCCTGGTTTTGCCCGATTTTAAAAGCCTCAGTCTGTAAGTGTGAGAAGAGCTTGTTGGTAAAGGCTGCATTTGGTAACCTCTGCAAAGGCTACGCTTGGGATAGCCCAAGCCTGCCTCTTGATCCTCCGTGCTGACATCAAGCACCTGTGTGAGGAAGTGGGGGGACATCTACCCCACTGCTACCAGAGGTCAGCCACAGCTGGAAAGCCTCCCCCCGCCCCGGGTGCTCCCCCTAAGGCCATTTCAGAGCATCCCCATCCCCTGTAAGGCAGGGATCCATCTCTTGCAGAGGGGTCACGGGGCAGTGATGCAGGAGAGAGAAGACTTTCCAACAGTAGGGGATACTGAAACAGTTAAAGATATTTACAGGAGTTCTGGTCTGCAAAACTGGCAGAGCCCCCGAGAACAGCCCGTTCCCAAAGCTGAGTAAAACTGGTGGTGCTGCCGAGTTTCTCACCGCTAATCGCAGCCAGCCCCTCCGCGCTCATCCCCGCTGCCAGTGCCCTGCTGTAAGGTTTAGTTAAATATGCGCTTGTTTTCCAAGGGTGCAGCCTGGTTAGGACACGTGGGCAAGCCTGCATGCCACCCACACTAGTGTAGACGGCCTTCCACCTTGCCACAGATAAGTGTTTGGAAAGAGTGGCCAGGCCAGTAAGAGAAAACAAAGATGTGGACTGAGATATAAGCACTACAGGCCAAGTGCAGCCAATCTTTCATGGTCATCCTTATCTACAGGTCCTCACGCAGCCAACCTCTTCCTATCTCGTCAGATTTTCCCCTGCCGATTTTTCAGATCCCTCCTTTTTTTCCTTTCTGCCTGCAGCAGCGAAGCAAACAGGCAGATCCTGGGGAGTTAGGGTGGAGCAGAGCCCACACTCCCTGGCTGAGCCAAGCAGGACTAGATTCCTCCAGCATCTCTGTCCCGGTTGCTGCAGGAGGCACAGGTAGCTGCTAAGATGGAAGAACCCCTGAGCCATCCTCTCCTCCTCTTGCCTTGTGGTCTCTCCCTGCCGCTCCCTGTCCTCAGGGCTGCTCCGAGCAGCTCCTGTCACACAGCCCTCCTCCTCCTCCTCCTCCACCCCAGCTCCGATCCGGGGGATGCTTTCCACTGAGTCACCAGGAGTTCAGAGAAAGCAGGCAGGGGAGGAGGAGCAGCAGCAGCAGCACTCCCTCCGTGTGGGCACAAGCATCCCAGCTGCAGCGGTGCCTTGGTCTTCCCACTGACTCACCGCAGCCTCTCCAGCGCCTGCCAACCGAGCTGACTCCTGCAGCTGCCCCAGCAGAGCGAGGGGAGGCCGAGGCAGCAGGAGACAGTCCAAAAGGCAGGGCTTTCCCAGCTCTATTACGCATAGAGCAATCAACATTAGTGACAGTGAGTAAACCCTAAAAGACCTGATGGTGACCTATTTATTTAGCGACGAGCAGGTTGGGGCTTAACTTTCTGGAAAAACGAGGGGCTAGTAGTAGTCAGGCAGACCAGATCTACAGCTCCACCACAGCAGGATTTTTCACGCTGGCTGGCATAACTCCCAAAAAGCAGAAAAGGCTGGTTGTTAGTGGCTACGGGCAAAACTGAGGGGAGGGGGAGCCAGGAAAGACAGTACTGTGGAGGCCGCCTGGGAAATCTGCTTGGTAAACAGTGCTATTTGCAGTGTCCCAAACAATCCATCAACCAGAAAAGCCCGAGAGAGGCAAGAAGGGAGGAGGGCTATGGGGGAGAAAAGCTAGTGCCAGATTGGTGCCGCCCTCGGGAGAAAAGAGCCTGCAAGTCCAGCAGAAGGGAACCTCTGGATTTATAAAAACGCAATACCCAGAGAGAAGACGACAGCCCACGCTTCCCGCGACAAATCCCACGCAACTCGGCGCAGGGCTCAGGCCAGGGTGCTTCCACCCAGCCCTCAGATGTCCCGTTACTCACCTGCCCGATCTCTTCCTTCTCTGCAGCTTGCGAATCTGTCGCAGACACGGTGTTCAACGCCGTCTGGACCCTGGGCTGCCGGCCCTTCATGAACAGCCAAAGGAGTGCCTGCATTTGCAGCGAGGAAGAACGAGATGAACTGTGAGGAAGAGCAGACGCCCGGCACCCGTGAGCCTGCTGCCAAGTCTCCTCTCTCTGACACCGCACTTCTTCACGGCGATTTCCACCAGCCCCCTGGCCTCGGACGGGACGGGGGGGACCTGGGCCAAGCAATACTCAACAGCTACAGCTTTTGGGGAGGGGGCTGCGGAAGGGGAGACAGCCGGTGAACGCGGGGCAGCGGTGCCCACTGTCCACCACAGATGCAGTTCAACAGCCCTACCCCCTTTCCAAGTTCCATCAGCCTGAATGATCCGACGCCAATTTTCTCTACAGACTGATCGGGAGAGGCAAGCAAGATGCAGCACTGGTTATAAACAGGGGGCTTTACTTGTTTGTTTGCCTTAGACACATGTCTATCAGCTCCCCTCCGCCCCTTAACTCTCTAACTTGCAGTGTGAGGCATTAGGTTTCTTCAACACCCGAAAATCCCAGTCCACGGACACACTGTCTACGTTTTTCCACCGCTGGTGACAGACTGAAGAGGAGGGGTAATTTGCTTTCAGTACGTTGCTCACACCCACCCCTTACACTTTCCACCCTATTGTTACACACCCTGACAACCCTGCTTATTTAAATACTTGGTGGATCCTAAAAAGATTTAAAACGTCCCGGGATCTGGTAAGCACGAGAAGGACATTTAAATGTTTGTGCTACAGGCACAATTCACATTTGGGCAGAAGGGGACCAAAGCCCATCATGTCTGACGTGTGAAATCACAGCATGCTCCCACACTCTCCGGAGAGGAAGCTGCTTTTCTTTTGCAGTGTCATCTAGATCTATTTAATTATTTTCCTCCTCTATCGTCTAACAGATCTCTTCCCTTAGGATCACTTTTTACACAAAACTGCTGGGTGGCCACCTCCATCTTTTGCACGAGGGAAAACAGGAGGCTCACAGTTGCCTCAGATGAGATATTCCAAATCCTGGAGGCTTACCTGTCAGGTGGCAGGGTTTACGTGCTACCTCTGCAGGGCAGGGACACTTCCAGCCGCGGAGCGATCAGCAGCCTCAGACGGCATTCTTTCTAAAACGCTGTTAATACTTCCATCTGTTATTGGGAGCTTTTATTGCATGCAAAATTAAAATTTAGAGAGGTAAATGGGATCTCATCTACACATAACATTTGCAGACAGCTTTCATCTGTGCTTCTTGTTGAAAAGAAGTTGCTACTGGGTGCTCGTGCCATGCCACATAAATACTTCAGCATCTTCTGCAAACGTATTTACGGTTATGTTCTTCCATCTGCCACAGAAAAGTTAAGGCTACAGAAGGGTGATTTAACAAGAATGGAAAGAGTCTGTTTTAGTTACCTCTACTTTGTGTTTAAATGCATGCACGGAGCTATAAATTATTTAGGACCTGTATTGTTCTTCTTGCCAGTCATCTTTGCTTTACAGTGAACAGAAATGAGACATTCATCTGGCCCCAGATTGACTGAAACAACTAGAGCCCACTGGTATTAAGACCAGGAAAATAGAAATGACCGCATGAGGTGTACTGGGATGTTTTCCATTAAGAAAGACTTAAATTTACACTGATTAGATGCAATCACATCCTTTCCTAGCTGTGCTAATGCCACTGGAGAGCAAGCACCGCATTGCCAAGTTTCATCTCAGAGTGTGTCTATCAGAGCATGAGGCTGGATGGACAATCTGATTATCCAGCTAAGAAACACATGTTTTTGGCAAGGGGTGGGAAGGAAACATTCCTCATTCCAGACTCTTTCCAAACTTTGCATTATCGTTGGTGATATGGTGCCTGTTGCCAGTTTTAAATGTGAGTGTATTCTCATGATTAAATTACACAATTTAAAAAACAAAACGAAACAAAACTATCTTGTCTATGCTCGATAGCTGACTGGCTGGCAAATGTCTTAAAGTATTTTATAGTTCAAGTGACACCAGATTAAAGCCAGGTCACGCAACTGAAAACAGATGATGATACACACTGGAGACACTGAAGAGTTCTGAACAAAATCTCTCAATCCACACACTGACACTTTGGAGACACCGCTAATAAAAATCATAATTTCTTCATGCTTTCAAACCGCCATTCAACCCCAAACGCTACAGACTGCTGCATGCAGGGCAGCTACTGAGTACATGCATTTTTCACTGCGAAGTTAAGCTGTGGTAAATCTGAAAAACCCCATGAGCAAGCTCTACAAGGAAACTTTTGAACCTTCACGCGGTGGCAGCGACTCAAAGCACACCACCAGATAATCCTGCGTAGGAGAAAACCGGCACACAAACTGCAGTAAAACTTCTGCATCCTAAGTAAAAATCGCTTCCCCTCCACGCCGCTCGTGCCGCCCAGGGGATGTACAGCCGCTGAAGCAGCTGACCACGGGTCTTCCCCAGGTTAACGCGCAAACCTTGGGTCATCTTCACTTCCACCCTGCTCTGAACAGGAAGATGACACCGTGCTCACCCGACGGCTTCCTCTTGACTTCCCATATTGGCAGGATTATTTGCGGCTCTTGCTGACGTCCAACAGATTCGGCCAGCGCGCCTCCTCCTTCTAACGGTTCCCCTAACAGCAACCTCCGAGTTTCTGCTGGGGACGTAAAAGCTGGGCCTAGGATGGCAGGTAACAGGCTCTTGCTCCTGGACATCCGTTGTTCAGACATCCACTTTACATCCTAAGAGGGAAAGAGCACCCTCCGCGCGCCGACCCCGAGCTGTGGTCGGGCACGCCGCCTTCTCGCACGCCTCCTCACGCAGCGTGCCTGGCTTCCACGCTGTGGCGCGGCTCATTAAATTAAACAGCCCGATCCCTCGGCTCTCGGAGGAGTTTGGCCTCTGATTTCACGTCCAGGGTGTAAACGCTGACAAAGACAAGCAAGAGGTAAACTGGGGAGAGCAAAAAGGCCTTGGAAAGGGTTTTTTTTTTTTTTTAGGTGCCTAGGAGCCATCCCCTCCACATCAGAGGTGGAATGGCCACAGGGCAGTGGCAGATAGCAGACCTACTATCCTGCTTGCAGGGCAAACTAAACACCTTCCCTGCTCCCTTCACGTGCCCCCACAGGCCAGTGTTGCCTCCTCGTGACTCTTCCAGACGATTTAACTAAAAAGCTGCGGTGCAGAAAGGCTGCTTTGTACAAATCTGTCAGGAAGAACCGAACGATGCGCACAGTAACTGAAATAAGCCAGGAAATGAACTTCTCCCTCCACCACTCCCCCATGTCCCTTTCACACGAACAAAACCCCACCAGTTGCCTCTCCAGAAGGCACCAGCTAATTAATTTAATTTCCCAGCTCTTGTTTTACCAAAACAAGTATATTTAGCAGGGGCTGTCTGAACAAAGAAGTGACAGTGGGAAATTGCCCATGTGGTCCTAATGCAGACATGAATCAGCAGAAACAGGTGACACACAGCAATGCAAGAAGGAGGCTTTTTCATTTCTTTTTCTTTCACATATGGTTAGATAACACGTGAAAAGCATCATTCCACTTATACCTACTTACCACAGAAACATTTTCATTTATTCTAACATACATACATATTCCCAAATTGGAAAAGCAGCCATGAAGCCATTTAGAAAAATCTTGAAACTCCCAGCCCATCAAAAACTCATTCCTCACTGGAATCTCACACACCAGAAGAAATAAATCTGTGAAATGCAATACTGCTGAGGTGATTTGTGACTCCCTTCTAAACGGCCCCTTCAAATGAACTCCCCATCCATTTGAGAGCAGCAACAAATTTTGGCCTTGGCAGCGATTTAGCTACTTCCAACTGAAGTAGAAAACGGGTGATGCAGGTGGGGGGGGGGGGCACTTCCAGCGCACCTCCAATTGCGCAGGACAGAGCTGCACGCTGTGAAGCTTCTTGCAGAAAACCTCCCGAACACACTGCGGTGCCACCACCAGCAGTGGAGACGGATCCTTCCTCTCTCACCCTCCGGCCCTGCCTCTCCTACTTCGTCCTTCACCGCTCGCTGTGCCTCCTTCCTTTCACTCCACATTTCTACTCCGGCACCGGGCAGCGCTCCTGCGCCTTAACGAAGCCCAGAGGAGCCCGAGCTGATCGTCTGTTATATTTTCTTCGGAAGGAGCTTGACAGCCCAAAGGGATTCCTGACAGCCACGATGCCGCCGCCGTCACCAGTAATTGTGTCCCTCTCCAGCTCTCACCCACCAGGAGACTGCGAACGCACGCAGTCGCTCCAACGCCACTGCTGCGCCTCCTGTCACCAGGCTGGCTGGGGACAGCCCTGTCCCCCACAACTGCCCGCGGTACAAATGATTGCTATAAACACTTGCCGTGCATTCCTGTGATCCCTTTGTCACAGCCGCAGCCTCTCCGCGCCAGGGTAATGCATCACAACTTTCAAACAAGGACTTGGTAGCGGCACGCTTGGTAGGGGCGGGTGTTTATAGATGTTTAATGGTCTTTTTCTTACAATCGAGGCGCTACAGCACTTGCGAAAGGCACCGCATTTTTGGTGGGGGGAGAAAAATAATGCTACACTAAATACAAGAGGAAACACTGTTAAACTGCATGCAATTATCAAAAGACACTAAAAAAAAAGGTCAAGTTTTATTAAATAGCTCTTACTATTTAAAAATAACATTTAAATGTGCCTGTGATAGATCTGAGCTTTAGCTGCCTGTGATGACAACTGTTTTATAGCTCCGAGGAGCTTACACGCTGCGAGATACAATGTTTTTATACATGTTTTTAATAACTGTCATCCAAAATCTCATCACATCCGAAAGCTTCAGCATCTTCCACAGAACTGCACAGCAAACGCATTCAGCTATGATACTATTTGTACTGCCTGATGAAAGAAAGGCTCAAATAACGTTTGTTTAGTCAAGGGCAAAGAGTCCTGTGGAGCCTGCAGGCAGATGTCGGGAAAGACTAAGTTGGGTAACGCTTCAAGGCCTGCAAAGCAATAGGATCCCCTTCAGCTGAAGGGTCGCTGGGAAGAAACGCAGGTAAAACCTAACTGTTCTGCAGCCCGGGTTGCACGCAGAGGGCTGCCTCGTGTGCCCAACATCCCTCACAAAAACTCATCAGGCGGTTAGGGAAACGAGTCCTGAGGTGTGAGTGGGGCTTGACCAAATACCTCTTGTTTCTCAAACGGCCATGAAAGAAGGTGTTGCTAAGGAAGGGCGGTCTGAGGCGGAGATGCTGTTCCGGCGGGCGGGTGTTAGTCCTCCAAGTCGATTCTGATGGGGCCGCCTGTCAGGATGTGGTTTGCCACGGGAACAGATTCCTCCTCCTCTTGGCCCGTCTCGGCCGACCGGCGCACCCGTCTCCGGCAGCCCTGGGCGCAGCGCGAGCTCTCGTCCAGCGCCCCGCACACCAGGATGCGGCAGTGCAGGAACACCTCCTGGGGGGGGGGGGGGGGGGAGAGAAGCAGGCCAAGTCAACGCGCAGCCCTGGGAACCAGACTGGCAGCTCTCAGAGAGCCCGAGCGACGCCCGTTCCCCAAGGTACAGCCACTTCTGTCCCCGTCAGCCACCATCGTCACCCACAGCCAAACCGGCTGCCCCGCCTGTTTTCTCACGTGCCCTGGAAAGGGCACTCGTTCCAGAGTGCCTGGATGAGATGTCAGAGCGTGGCATCTGTCTGTTAGCCAAGGGCCTGACGGGGAATATGAAGGCGTGAAATGATCCTCCAGAGGAAGGGATGAAAATGCCAGGAGTAAGCCTGGAAGAGCTCGCACGGACTGGTAGGAGCTGCACGGTAGGAAGCAGGCCAAGAACGCCCGGAGCCTCACAAGGAGATGGACTGGTAGAAATGTGCAAGAGAATTTGACACGAGCAGAGAAAACATAAAGCCAGGAGACCGCGGGGCAACGGAGGCAAACACAGGTTGATGAGGGGCTAAGTGCTAGCTGCGAGGAGAAGGAGAACACGCAGGGCAGGGAGACAGCTGCCTTTTCTTTCCGCACAGGATTGCTACTCCCTGCCCTCTAAATGGCAAGGAGAGGGTAAGCGAGATCCCTGCAAGCAGCAATTAGGGAAGCAAATGTTTGTGAATATTCAGTCAGTGGTGAGGTTTGAAGCAAAATCCATTGCACAGGCTGGGAGGATGCAGATCGGAGGCAGCAGTGGCAATCAGACAGCCAAGAGAAATTTCTGAATTTTGAAAGATCTCATCTGTTTTAACCCTACTGAAGCTCTCCGGGAGCTGGAGCAGCAGGTTTGTGGCTTTTGGAGCAAGCAGCATGGGCTGAGCACAACAGAGACTGAAAGACCTGATTTCTTCTAGCACCGACAAGGAAAGCTATTTGCATTAGGAAAATAGCATTATCCTTCAACCGTCCTCCCACTACAAAGCTTCTGCCCCAGAGTGCCACCAGCCTGGACGGCTGGGTTTCACATTGAATTATACTGTATGGTGACCTTGTATCTGGAAACCTGGCATCTGTACTCAGCAGAGCTAGAGAAGATAGAGGGTTGAAGAGATTCAAAACTACAGACTGACTTGTTTTAAGGACAGGACACGGAGTAACGTGCCAAACTCCCTGGGTTTCTGTATGGTGACTGGGAACGTTCTTCTCACCCAGCATACAAGGGCCCACTAAGACCACCCTGGAAACAATGATTTTAGCCTGCTGTGGCACTGATATTCTACAACTGTCCTTCATATTTTATTTATTTTTAGTTGTTTTATAGTTCTCTCCTGAAGTATCTGTGTGTCAGGCTCCTGAAAGACACAACTGCTGGAACAGGCACAGCAGCATCTGCTTTGGGCCACCCGTGCCTCCCCTTCGCACTCTAGTACAGCCAACTCAGTGCTGAGACTCCTCAGTCGGATCAGACCCGATGCAACACTCAAGAGGTGTGTTTTGAGCTTACCTTGTTGTCTTTGCCCACAAACTTGAACACGGGAACCTGGAAATGCTTGGCAAGGTGGTCCTTCGACGTGTACTGCTTCACTGAATCATCAGAAACGCAGCTGAGGAAAGCAGACGGATAGGCTTTAATGGGTTTCCCAGAAATGGAAAAAGAAGGAGGAAAAAAAACATCCCAGCTATTTAACCAGAGAAAGGAAAGGAGGGCTTGGCTGTCTCAAGCTAAGCTACTATTCATGTTACTTCCTCTTTGGCCACAGGAGAAAATTTGGGGAATGATGGGGAAAAACAACAGCGATGATAATAGCATCTCCAGACAAAGAACAGCTCAGTGGCAGAGACCTGGCAGGACATGATCCAGTCCCCTCGGCAGACGGACTGCCAGAGAGCTGCAGGCAAGTTTGTCCTCATTTCACCTTCCTGTGCAACAGTCTGCAGTGATCAACAGAACCGTTACATGGTATCTAATGTAATATGCACTTTCTGTATACACACACACATATATATATCACATAAATCACGCTTAAAATGAAGAAGCCCGTACCCACATTACTAAAATACCACAGATGATGAAACCCACAAAAATCCAGATTTACTTTGCTTTGCATCATTTACATTTTACTTTCCGCCGGACAGCTTCAATTCACTACATTAAAAGTCATTATTTAAATTTCTCCATCACTAGCACTATACGATCATGCGAGAGGTCACAGAACTGCAAGAAAATAAGCTACTTTTTTTATAAAAAAGTTACATTCCAGATGCAGAGTATTTAAAAACTATTACAGCCTATTTCGAGTTTGACAGAGAAACAGCAAGACAAAAAATCATGGTGACTTGATAATTACTGCTGCCTGTTGGAAAACCTTAGGCATTTTGAAAGGCCCAAATGCTGCTGTTACATTGCGTTACAACACAGCTTTCCCTTTCTAGAAAGTTAATTCCAGAAATGTGGATTTTTCAAGATATTAAAAAAAAAAAAAAAGTGGTGGTCAAAAAGACAAGAGGTAATGGTGTGACAGCTCAAAGTCCTACTCTTGCAGCAACCTTTACCTTCCATCTTTACACCAGAAATATACAGGGCACTGTCAGAAATGCTGACGTTTGACATGTTCAATTATCAAACAGCAGCAAACCCACCATCTATACGTGTATCTGCTTTCACTAGAATGTGCATTTGGAAATCTCCATGCGGCTGACTCAGCTCTGTGGGTGGCAGCCCACTGCAATCCCTCCCAGAATCACCCTTCTGCTATGTCCACTAGAGCAGTCCACGTTCCTGGGAGCACTGAGCACCGGTCTGGTCCGAGCAGTATTTTCACCACCCTGCATTTCTGTAGCTTTTCTCAGCTGGTGGAGGTCCCCTTCTGAAGGGATATCCCTGTCTGCAGCGCTTGTCTCCTTAACCTGCCTGGGAGGCAGACATAAAAAGCCATCCAAGGGGAGTTAATAAATTAACATTGTGCATTTAGAAAAACTGACATGGATTCTTCCCCCTTGAGGCCAAACACTAGATGTTATGAAGTCGGTTAGGATAAAATTGGTTTTGAAAGTAGCATTCCTGAAGGCATCTGATTACAAAGAATGGCAGTTAAAGACTTTTCATAAGTGACTGGCCAAGCTTTGGGGCCATAAAGTCGACTCCTAGGCACGTCCTCATCTGTGAGCATATAAACTATGATGATTCCTGGACACTGGCTCAAACTGACTCCTAAATCCCAGTTTCTCCAAAGGTTCTCTGCACTGGTGGCAGGAAAACTACTGGCTTAGGGTTAGGGAGAGGGAAAATGGAAGAAAACCAAGGAGGAACCAGGGATAGGTGGAGCCCCTGCCAATCCCCTAAGCATGTCTTACGCAGGGTTCTGATAAATTCATCGTGGCATGAGAACCGGGTCAAGCCCTTTTGCATTGTGCGTGGGGCCACACCACGTTCCACCCTCCCAGGAAACCCCCAGACCCTGCTCCCTACCATGGAGAGGTGAGAAGGGGCCGGGAGCAGAGGTAAGGAAGGAAAATGGGTGAACCTGGTCAAGATACGGGGAAAATAACTCTTTCCTGTGCATAATGTGCTTAGGTTAAGGGAGCAGAGAGCAGCTGTGCCGTGGATCTGTGATCTGACCCTCTTCTTGGGGGGCTGCAAGGTGGAAAGGAGGGCTTGGAGAGTAAAATAAACACCTCAGCCTACAAAAGAAGGGCAGCCCGAGGTAACAAGATGAGCCTTGCCATGGAACTACCTTAACCACATCATGCTCAGATAAATCACAGCTCCTGACCACATCAGATTACAACGGGTTGGCCTCAATGACATGACCTTGTTCTGGATGCCACAGAGAGCTGCAGTGTTTATCACCTGTGCAATCGGTCAATGCCTTTTATTTATTTTTGTTTCGAGAAAGAGGAAGAACAAGATCAGAAGCAGGAGAGCTGCTTTGGGGCTGGCTGGCTGGGCTAGCAGCAGTCCAGGGTATTACAGAGACAGCACAGAGGGATCTGGAAAAATCCTGATTTCCAGCACAGTCACATCAGCATAAGGAGAGGGTTGAGGATTCCCGCAGAGGAAGGCTCCCACCTCCTGCCCACTGGAGAAGGCAGGGAATTAACAGGGAAGAAAGCAGGAGAGGGAATTTTCCCATCCCTCAGTCTAAGGTATATCCTCTCAAATTCAAACAGTGTTTCCGTATGGAAGCTGCAGTTAACTCCTACAGGTCTGTCCCTACGTAACCAAACATTTAAAAATCCCATCTTTATTGCCTCGGCCTTTTGGGGCTGGGTTGATGGTAGGAAACTGGGTTATTACAGAGCTGTTTGAAGCATGGACAAATCAGCAGTGTATTCAGCTAATTTTACTTTTGAATTGCTGCGAGCACCCGGAGAGACAAAGAACTCCAGTTAGCTCGACAGCACATCATTAGCCTTTGGTCCAAGTGAGCAGTTCAATTTAAATGCAGCGCAGTGCAGGGGGGCTGGCCTGTGTGGGGACACCGGGGCCTGCAGTGCCGGCGGGAGACCGAGGCAGGATGGATGAGGCTCCAGCCAGCACACCCCAGCCCACTTCTCCCTTCGCTGAAGTTTTAATGCCCTCTGCAGGATAACAGTACCAAAGGGGCTGCTGGTGCCATAAATCCTCCGACTAGTGCTGTGGTGAATTTGAGAGATTACATTTTCTGCTTTCTCCCTTCTCTGTTTGGCTCAGGTTTTGGCTGCTGTTTTGAATCCCATCATTTTCACTCATGGTGAGAAATGAATGGATGTTTGGAGCCTTGACTCTGTGAAGGGTGCACAGGAACAGCCAAGCCAGGGAGTCCATAAACCAATCCTTCTGTTAAAAAATTGCTCATAAACCCCAGAAATGTCAGGCACAGAAGGACTACAGCCTAGGATGGAGGGAGAGCAAGCTAATGATGAAACCTTTGTCAGAAGGAAATGAAAAGAGTATTTTTGTGTGCTGCACTCTGCAGGGCCCTTTTGCTGCATGACAATCACACAGGACTTGTCATCACTAACTGTAACAGTGGATGATTTAGCTTGGCAGCTGAGGAAATAATTGTTGTCCTCATTAGATGGTTTGTCAGACAGAATACAGGACTTATACAAGCACAGTCCCTTGACTGTTGGGCTATGACAGTTGGGTATGTCTCAGATATTACTTTGGCTGGACTTGCCTCCCTAGAGGGTAGCAGACTGGTTTCCAACTGTGAGACTTCCACAGTGTTGTCTGGTTAAGCTACCAGGCTCTGATGGATGCAAGCCCTCCACAGAAGTGTTGTACTGCCACGTTAGCACCCAAGCCAGTGTCTGGAAACAGGGGTCATCTTAGAAGCCACAGCAGAGCTCCCCACCAAACCCAAATGCCTCAGAAAATTACAGCCAAACTGAGGGACCCTAAGCTTACTGCACTGACAAGGCATCAGAGAGAGAGCAAAGCAAGGGGAGCTCCTGGAGCTCCAACCAGGACCAGCCACGAAGTCTTCTGGCTCATACCATAATAGGGCCATTATGGGAGAATTAAGAAACTAGCTCCAGTTGCTGCGGTGGCTGCGTGGCAGTGGCACATAGCTGCCGGAGGGTTCTGCTGATTGGTTTGGCACTCTGCAGGCTGGCAGAGAGAGGCTATCAGGAAGGCTATCTTTTGCACAGGAGCCAACTGAATTGTCCACAAGGCCAGTTACAGGGAAGTATGTCCTGTAAAGGCTGCACTTGGAGTAACCTCTATCACTGCCTCCCATTCTTTCTCCCAACCATTTTTGATGGGACAAGTGGTTTCAGCCTGATGGCCGAAAGGCCTGGCTGCTGGTGATTGCTAGGAACACAGTGGAGAGGCCGCTGTGGAGAAGTGATAGCGCTTCCTGTGTGACACAGGCCACACAGCTTAGCCCCTCTGCCAATTCCTGTCTAACAGCCAGCAAGAGAGGGAAGAGTGAACTCACCCATCTTGAATCAGGTAGTACTTCAGGATCTCGTCGATTTTTGAGGTGGGAGTGGCAAAGCAGCTCTCTACCAGTGTCTCTAGTCCACTGACGTGTACCAAGGGTTCAATCCCAAAGTAGAGAGAGTCCCGAAGCTTGAGGGTAGGAAGAGCACCCCTGTAGGGTTCATCAAAGTCTTTGTCTTTGAAGATCTCAAGAGTGAAGGGAAAGATGCCCCGGTTGCGGCTCATGATTTCCAATGGAGAGTTCTTGAGGTTGGGCACATAACCCTCAGAGATGGTGTAGCGGCGTGGGAACTCACAGGTCACCGGGATCAGCAGCTTGCTGGTGCGGACAATGATGTCCCCATTGCTTCCAGGAGTCTGCTTTGGCAAGCCAGTCACCAGGTTGGTGGCGATGATTTTATCGTTTATTACCTGCAGCGAAGAAAGGAGTTGAAGGGAAAGGGGACATCATTGAGAGAGACCTCCTCCAAGTTCAGACTAGCAGCTGAGCTTATCTCGTTCAGGAAACTCAGACATACACTAGCCACTGAAAGTACAGCTTGTGAATTTATATGCTGCAACCAGAATCACGTTCGTCCTTACTTACAAACTAAGAGCCTCTATCAGTTCGCTGCCAACTTCAATGCACTGTACTCCTGCATGAATCAGAGGAATTTGCTTCCAATTGCTACCCACCTGCTAAGGTGAGCTCTCTGCTTCCCAACAAGTTTGAAACATTATTGAGGGATCAGATTCTGTCTCAACAGGAGGGTGAAGAGCGATAACACTTGCACTTTCCGCACCAGGACGATGGTGGAGCTCTCTGTGAAGCACTAGGTGAGCAAAAAGCACTACCCATGCTGACAGACGCACACCACAGGAGAGGAGATGGAACAAGCTCTCCTACTTTGGGATGCCACCCCAGATCCAGTCCAAGGCCAGCTGCATGGCAACACAGGAAACTGCTCTGGTGGTGCAGATAAATCAACTTTATTCCCCAAGCCAGCCATAGCCAAGTCCCCAAACTCGAGAGGTTCCAAGAGACAGGACAGCAAGGGGTATACATACATCTACAACAGTGCCGCAGGACTTCAAGGAGAAATGGATGTTGACATGAGTGCCGTTGGATACTCCTTTGCACGAAGTGTTGATGAGGGAAAGGTCCAGGCCTCCAACCAGGTCCTTTGGGATGCTCACCTCAATAGAGCTGGACTTGCACAGCACTGGAACTACAAGAAACATCCCCAGAATAACAGTCTGCACCACAAATCTACCAGGGAGCTGGGGAAGGGCTGTACCAGTTATTATTGCGGGGAAAAAAAATAAAAGGGGGTGGAATCATATGCTGTATTTATCGCTACTATCTCACCATAGTAATCTAACTACCTATCTTATGCTCCTACCTACACAGCACAAACCTCCTGAGCCACCACCGCCCCAGTTTCTCCTGGTGCAGCAATGCCACAAGAGAAGACAAAGATGACTGCTACACTTGCAGCAGAAACTTAGCTCTGCAGTATATCCAGCTATACTTAATATGCAGCACAGGTTTGATTGATATCTCTTGCACCGCTATGTCCTGGCAAGAGCCTTTCCCAGACATGGCCATCAAATTCGCAACACCCCAGGCAAAGCCATTTTTTAAGACCCTTAATCAGATCTCACATCAAACCCAAAACATGTCAAAACAAGGCAGAGTAATTCCATATAAGATGCTGAGCTAACATGGAAGCACCTCAAAATGCCATAATAATATTTTTGTAAGCAATAAACCCAGCTCTGACAAACAAACCCAATTAGCTCCCTCATTCCACCTCCTTCCAACCTTTGAATTTTAATACAGATCTCCATGCAAACTTTTTTTAATTAAAATTCCATTACGCAAGAGGTGGGAGAAAAAGTAGAGATGGGGCAAAATGAAAAATGAAACAAGAGGGAATACTCTTCAGTAAAAAAGTAATTGTTATATATATTCCTTGGGTGCATACGTATCTATTCAGACAGATACAGGACAAGTGTATTGGTGCATATATTCTGGTCTCTTCTCAGCCAGAAAAACAAATCCCTTGCAGATTTCCATTTATCGTATTTCAAAATCACATGACATAACTTTTTGCAAATATACTAGCTGCCCAAGCTTTTTCCTAAAATTAATTACAGTCCCCATCCTTGGCATTCATATGATTTGCCTTCCCTTAATTTCAGTCATTAATTATATAATTCAGGATTCTGGATCTTGGATACAAGGCACACTGCTAAAATTTGCCTTTTACCAGCCTTAAAAAAATTCTTCTGTCCCAGCTAAGGTGTTTGTAACAGATACTGTGTACCTGCAGGGAGTATTTTTTTAATAAAAGTTGATCTCTTCAAGGTGATGTGCTAAAATGTATGCACCGTGCCCAAAGCAATATGCTTTCATAATGACATTGCTGGGTTAGAACAGAAAATTAAAGAACTAAGAACTGCCTTAACTTTTCCTCCATCCACAGGAGAAGGCAAGTGGGAATAACCGAGCGCGTCAAATGGCAAAGCGGCTTTGAGAACACAGCACAATGCAGGCAGAGATGAGCATCCTTCAGAGAACTGATGGGCTCAATTTGGATTTAAAGCTTCACTGTTCTAGCGACTCCTTGATGAATAAGAAACTGTAACGCTTTTATAAAGGTGAAATTCAGGGCAAGACAGTTTGGACCCCAAATGCAATTCTCCAAAGTTCAGGACCAATTTGGCTCAGGCTGTCTCTGTTTCTAAATGTCGTTGATTGGCACAAAGGGGAAGAAAGAGGAGGCACCAGTTTAACCTTTGCTCTGGCGTTGCAGGTGTTGTCTGTGTGCGCTCCACCACCTGGGCACGGAAACAAGTGAATGAAACCTGTGAGCAGGTGCACTTGGGATTTGAGTCAACTCATCACTATGTGGGAAAACACTCTGGGAAACTCCTTATACTAACCATCTCAGAGTAACGGGTAATGTAATTCAAACCACCCTAGACATTTGTGCACAGAAGAGTAATCAACACCGAGAACGGTGTTTCAGTTCTACCAATTTAAGAGTGGTGCTGCAAGCAGAGAGACGGCGTGCATCAGTGTGATTCAGCTCTGAGCAGGCCTGACTCCCCCAAGACAGACTGCTGGCAACAGCATCACAGGGGGAGCTGAAAAGGAGCTGCCAAGGTAGCCGTGACTCTATGCAGACATGTTATTGCACGGCAAGCGAGGAGGTCCTGACTGCCAGGACTGAGATGCCCAGCAAAAACGAGTTATCCCAAGTGCCAAGGAATCCACTTTTATTCACAACGTCTTGCACCCGTTCAGAGCTGCACTCTCCTGACTTGCTGTCTGCTGCATCCCTGCCCCAGGCTCACCCCAGCCTGCGAGGCTCCTGAGAGCCTCTCCCGGTCTTTTCCAGTCAAACATTTCAGTTCTTCACCCTCGCACACTGCAGAGCAGATGTGAGTAGTGGGAAAGCCTCCTTTGAGCTCTGCTTCGCACCAATGCCTGCAAGTACCCTGACCCTGGTAGGAAGCTTCCGTGGCGAGTCCAACACTCGTTTTGCTCTCTGCTGTTGTTGGCCCCATGTTCCTTGTGGCTCCTTGCCTGGCCTTCCAGACCACAGCTACTTGGAGCAGAGGTCATCTTTTTGCACACCCTGCTCAGCAGAACAGGCTCGCTGGTGCTGGGGAGCCCTGAACCACTGCTACAAACACAAATAAACTACACCACTGTACCCTGCTCAGCTGCACGCGAGGTTTGGGCACGGGAGAGGGGAGAAAAGCAGTTCACTGCCACACTTTAGAAAGTGGTGGGGTGCTAGGATGGTCTGCAAAATTCCAAGTATTTAGTTGGCTGGTATCTTTGTGGGAAAATTGTAGCCAAGACTGTGATTTCTGCAGAAGATTATTAATGGTTGTTCTGAACGTAGAGACAGCACAGAGGAGGGTTGATAGGCTGCAGATCCAATTGCCTCAGGCAACTGTGCCTGCCCTGCACTGTTAATTGTACCACTATAAACCTGATTACATGCCATAAAAAATTTTGTGGTACAGTTCCAGATGTATTCTGTCGTATCTGCTCAAAACTGCAGACCACTGTGAGGGGGCATAAATTCATTAAATGTAAAAGAAGAAGCAATTTTGCTTTATGAGATGCTGTATCCTGAGCCCCAGCCTGACACCCGGCAGTGCTGCTGCTCTCATTAGGAGTCCTAGCAGAAGGAGAAATGCTGACTGGGAAACGAACGGCCTTCTAACCCTGCTGGGGTTGCCTCAGGATTGAAGAACATTGATTTTTTCTGGCCTGTATGCATCAATTAGAAAGTATAATCACAGGTCTTGGAAATCTCCATCTCCTCCTCCCCACCTGGCTCTGGTGGAGCAGTAAGCCTTACTGAATCCCAAGTGTGCAGTGCTCATCCCTGAAAACAGTGCCCTGCGTTTCTAAAAAGCTCAAAAAGCAGAAATTGCATCAAGTGGAACCATTCCAACTTCCTCTCTGAGGCATACCTTCCCTGTTGGCCACCGTGCCGTCTGGATCTGTTCCTCTGATGTCTGGGCACTCTGTAACACATCAGGCTACAGGAGATTCTGAGGACACCTGGTAGCACCAGCTCATTGGTATTATCTAAAGCCCAAGTGAATTAGCCCATGACAGGCTCCCTTTGATTACATTTTAGATCCTGCCCTGGCTATGGCTGGTGTCCAGCCCATTAGCAAACTCCCACGGAAATGTCTGAAAGCAACCACACAGGTTCTTCATGGGCCCACCAAGGCAGAACACAAGCAGAGAGCTATGAGGTCTGTCTCTATCTGGGCAGTAGCGTACCTTCTCCAGCTTTATGCTGAACCTGACAGGTCTGAGAAGCAGCCAGGCAATTCAGATGGGGCCCACCAGACAGCATTACCTCTGTCTGCCTTTCACACGCCCACGTAGCTCTCCCCAACACGCAGTGCTGACAAAATGTCCCTTCAGCAGCAAATCATAGGAAACACCTCTGTAAGACACACAGCCTGCTCAATGCTTTCAGCACCTCAGGGGCTCAGCTAGCTGTGGGATGGTGAGACCCAGAAGAATCCTGGGTGCATAGTCCTGTGTTGTAAGAAGTCACTGCATGAGGAGATACAGACCCTCCCCGCTTAACTCTCAGTGCCCTCAGGAATTTCTCCCTGATCCTCTGCTCCCTGCACTCATTGCTGCAGAGCTAAATCGTCCCCTGGGAGCCTGGATGTATTGGCAAAGGAAACCTCCCTCAGCTCCTGCAACCCAAAACAGGCAACGTGTTTATTCCACGTGCATACTATGGGTACAAGTGAGTCAGCAAGAAGGACTCCCTGCATCCAGGAATGGAGTGAAGTTCAGATGGAAGGTCTTCCAAGGATAACGTTGCCCTTGCCTCTACGCAGCAGAAACAACAGTCAGTTTTCAGATGTTATCTTGGGCGCTTTTCCAAGGGACAGCAGAAACGCCTAGTACCAGAACTAGCGCCCTGCTTCAAACATAGGAGCGCTTACGGGAATGGCTACTGAGATAACTTGGGCAGAGAAAGGCCTCTCCCTAACTCCAGTCTTGGAAGGGACTGAACCACTTCAGCTGAAAATTTAAAAGCCAAGTTTGACGCATGGAAAATTTCAATTCTAAGAGCATAAACTCGTCAAAGGCATAGACTGTGGAAGGAGAGCACTATAATGGGCGTTGTTAATTGTAAGCTAATTGTAAGTGAACGCTGCCAAAACCACCTGTGATGCAAGAGGCACCCAGCTGGGGCCTCTGTCTCTGTTCTCCTGCCTGGTAAAAAGAGCAATGTCCTCAGGCTCTCAGTTTTGGATGATCTGTCATTAATGACAAAGCTCCACTAACCAATCTGGAAAGGACAGACTAAGAGAACATGACAAAAACAAGAAGAAAAGTCCCTTCAGACATACTTCTGGTGTCCCCGGGACAGAGCCAGTTGGGGAGATTTAGTTGACCTACCTTGGCAAGTGTGGTTGTCTTCTGACAGAACAAGTCCCCTCGGACATTCACACTGGTAGGTGTCTTCCACTTCAATGCAGGTATGGCTACAGCCTCCGTTGTTATTGTGACAGCCTTCAATTTCTGCAAAAGAAAGGAAAATCAGCATACCCTGCTCCTCAGGCAGCTGTGTGGCAACTACACAGGCCCCAGCATATGCTCCCGGCTGACTAACAAACAGTATGGCCAACACAGAGTTCAAAGGCAAGAGCACAGTGAGAGCTTGCTTCCAAGAAAATGCAGTGCAAACCTATTTTCAATTGTACGGTTTCTTCTGTTTATTATTTCACCATGAAGTTAACGAGGAATTCTGTGAAAAAGCTTACCGAATTAAATCTCATGCTTTATCTGGCATACAGAAGAAGACTGAATAGGCAACCGTCAGCTTGGCCCTTTCCAGCTTCTGAGATGTCCTCTTAAATTAAATGTTTATGTTGTTTCATACTTCAAAAATGTGGGAGGAAAATCCTCTTAAAACTTCTACCATGTGGAACCAATATGTACTCCCTTATCATCAGAATCAGCCCTGAGATTTGCAGGAGAGGTGTCTTGGGGAGGACAGGCTCACAGGTAGCCAGCTCCTGTTCCCACCAGGGAACATCAGAGGGAAGAACAAGCGCTCTGCCTGTGGCTTGCCCAGCTGTGATGGAGGCGGGCGTACCGGATCCCTGCATCCCCTTTGTAGGCTGAGGATGAAACTCTGCTCATAGGAGGTTGTTTAGCAGGAATTTTGCTTGTTAGTGAGTTTTAGGCTTAGAGGTCGGACACCCTGAGCTGCGTTATGACAGGGATAGAATGACACAGGTTCATGGCTTAAGGTCAATTCCCCTCCTAATTTTCCCCCATTCTGAAGAGCAGAGAAGAGAGGACAGCACAGCTAATTGGGGGATTTGTCATGTCTTGTCTTACATCTTTTCTGTCGAGGTGAGGCAGATCTCTGAGGATCTGAGTTTTCGTGTAAAACATATTCCTAGCCACTACCGCTGCAGAAAAGAGCCAGAAAGGTCAGCCAAACACATTCTGAAGATTTGAAAAATCTAAGGCAAGCAAGGCCATTTCCAGTTGTTGTTGGCTTTCCATTATAAAGAAAATAACAGAGTATCATGATTTTTTTAAAAAAAATAGCCTTCACTGCTTGATTTTTTTTTAACCCTTTGGGATAAATACTGCTAGATGTTCTCAGTAAAACAACAGTACATACAATATAAACAAATCATAGACATGAAATATCTCTCCCTAAGCCTGCCATCAGAAATGACTGTGTGGTTTTCACTGAAATGTAAAGAAAAGAACAGAAAACCCATACTCAATTCCACACATTGCATGGAAAACAACTGCCTGAACACTCCACATGAGACAAAGCAACGGGTAAAGCATTATAAAGGAAATTTTGAGGGACTCTTAACCCTGATCAGCCTCACCAGCTCATGTAATCAAGCTAAATCTCTTGCATTTGTTCTTTTTTAGCAACAGCTGTAAGGTGGCTCACAAATAAATCACATGCTCTCATGGCTCAGAAAGCTGAGGGCACATCTTTAGAAATAAAACTCACTAACAAGATTGTAAAAATCCCCAGCAGCGGCGTTAAACTTGTGAAAAGAACCATCCTTCTTACAGAAGGGGAAATTAAATGATATATCAAAGGCCCTGCAATCCAACTTTGGGAACAGCAGAAGCAAACAAGTTTCCAAGCAGGGACTACTCCAGCCCTGTCAGAAGAGTGCAGTGCTCAGAAATAAAAACTGACATGTAGCACAGCTGGTTTACATGACACCCCACCAGCTCAGTGCTGGACATGGAAGGGACAAAGCCCACAGACCACTTGTGGCTCCACACAACTTAACAAGTACTTAAGGAGCACTCTGCACAGCAGTTTTCCCAAGCGAGCTGTCATTGTCTGGACGGCTGATGTCTTATTAACAGAGCTCAGAGAGATTTTCACAGAAGTGAGATGAAATGTGCTTTGGTATCAGAGGGGAAAAAAGAGGGACAAAATCCACAGCTTGGAGCCATCTGTCCACCATAAAGACGGGTGGAGGCCAGCCTGAAAACACAATGGCAATCTCCCTCTCTCCCTGCACCACGGATGTCTGCCCCACAGCAGCTAATGTAAGGTTGCATGCAAGCTGCAGACATATTCAGTTCTGGCAACCAGGTAGCTCAAAGGTGAGGCACATTCTGTAGCTATTACTCTTGTCTGAGGCCCCACGGTATCTGCGAATGTACAACACGGCAGCTTTGCCTGTGAGGGGGCATGGTGCTCTTCACAGTTGACCACAGAAAACATCAGGCACAAGCCAATTTTTGCTGGGTTTTCCTGTTTCTGCTCAAAGATGTTCGTACGCTGTCAGTGGTAATAGGTCAAACCTACAATTTGGTCTTTAAGCCCCTGCTAAGCTACCAGTCTAAACTCATCAAAGGTTTTCAACCTGGCTGTGCCACCACTGGGACGTAACTGAAGCACCTGCACACAGCACAGCCCACAGCTAACCCACTTACAAAAATCAAACAGTCAAAATGCAGCCCTTATCTCAAATCTAGCTTCTCTTTACGGACTGGAACCCCTCTCCTCAATCTCTATCCTGGGAGGCTAAGTGATCCTCATGCTCTAGTCTAACATTACCCCGTACTTAATGCTAGCTGACAAAAACCAGCAATGCTAAACCTGTCCCCACACAACTATCACACAAATCTCCAGCAATAACTAGTTCTGGCTGGACAACCAACCTTCCAGATCCACTGCTGCCACCCCCACCCCATGGAGATAAATACAAGCAAATCCTAACAGAAATGAAGAAGGCAGGGAGAACAAGGAGACTCCTCTCTGCTTGATTAGAAGGATATTTCAGTAACAACCCTACCGGCAAGCACAGAAGGGATATGAGTGACATTTAATCCCAGCAGCAAGGAGCCAAGAGAAAACCAGCGCTGCAAGGGGAGGGGAATGGTTGATATTGTTTCCAGCAGACTGGGATAGCTGAAACCTCACCTTCACAGGTTTTCCCATCACTGCCCAGCGTGCGCCCGATCCCACACTCACAGCGGTAGGAGTTCTTCAGGTTAACACAAAATTCACTGCAGCCTCCATTGTTCTGCTCACATTCATTTTCATCTGAAAAAACAAAACAAAACAAATAAAAAACCCCCAAAAAACACCCATTGTTATAACATGCCCCCTGGTAAACACAGAGCTCACAACAAGGAGCTGCTACACGGGAGAGCTGGTCGGACAGTGGACTGGCTTTCCTGGCCTCAGGATCAGGGCAACAGAGTAATCCCACTAAATGCTGAAGACCACTGATCTACTGACAGCAGCAGGCTGTTTTGCCACACCATGTCCACCTCAGGAACAAAGCAGACCCGGAGGGAAAGACGGCATGCACACTGCAGCCATTTCGGAGTGAAGATGGACCCAGTCCCATTGGGAAACTTCCAAACTGGTTCCACACGCTGGGGAGTTCATGTCTTCATTTAGCTTCTCATCCTAAACTATTCTCCATTCCACTCACAAAGGCATTAAAATGGAGTTAACATGACTTCACTGCATGGTGAAACTAGGTGAATACCAGAATCAGTCAAAAATAAATCCTACTTATTTTTGTATCACACCTGCTGCTGCTATGCATGGCCAACTATCCTACAGCAGTTTCAAATGATTCACCCCTTATTTCAAACTGAAGACACATGAATGGAAAACAGCTGTAGGCTGAAATCAAACCAAAATACTTTAATGACCCACGTGAAACTTTTCCAATAAAAGTAATGTCATGAGAAATCTCCTCACTTCATCTTCTTGCCCCAGCCCTGGCTGCTCCCTGCACCGGGCAGCAGCTCAGGTGTTCTTGCAGAACAGAAATGTCAACTCACCATGGTGAGCCCTAACCTGGGTGCTGGTGCCACACAGGCCATCACAACCAGTAGCTGCTCAGCCCCTTTGTACTGAAGGTAAGACAAAGAGCTCAGTTCTGAGCTACTCCCTCCGGGGGGTCGGCTTCTCGCCGCCCCACAATAGCCCTGCTCCTCCGAAATCTCCCCCAGAGCTGTGGCTCCTACCTTTCCAGCTCAGGAGAAGTGCCTGAGCTGGCATCCCACACTTTCTGGAGTGGAGTCTGGGTAAAGGTTGCAAAATAACCTTGTAACAGGCCCGGACTGAGTTTTTATAACCTAAACCAATACACCCATGAATAGTACCTGTGTCACGTTTCTGTGCTGGCTGCATTCAGCTCTAGATTAGAGCCCTCCAGGGCACTGAGGGTATTTATTGAAGAGAAAGCACAGCAGATGCTTTTAAATCTCTTGGTAAAGCTCTGAAAACTCCTCCTAATTTTATCTTTTAAAGGCTAAAGTTCCTTTATGTCTGTCTGCCTTTTTTTTTTTTTTTTTCCTTTTAAAAACGTACTTTCTTCTCTGAGATTCTCATTCTTCAATTTGATTTAATCTCTGTGTACAAAAAGTGAATCAAATGGAGAGGGACAGTCATTGCTATTGCTGAGCCACAAAACTAACGATTTCTCTTAGGCAGACCAGAATGCTGAGGTTCTCAATCAAGGTTCACATGGGGTTTCACCAAAACAGCTTAGAAGTTACCATTTACTAGATGTCAGAAGCTTAAAATGGAGAAAAAAGAAAAATACTATTTTAAGAGATGGGTCAGAGATGAGCTCTCTTAGGTATAAGTGGTCCCACACGTACAGTACCCACAGCTTGCAGCCGGTGGTGGTGTCTCATTCCACAAGTGACACGAATTGAGTATTTTTAGCTGAAGAAATGGCCGGCACCCTGCCTTGGGAGGCAAGAAGCACGTCCAGGAGACACACACGGGCACTTCCTTTTTCACACATGTGGCAGGCTCCGCACTTTCCCTTCTAACAATAAAATTAAAGCTGCTTAAAAACAGAGGGTGCAGAGGGAAAGGGCTACTGGCAAAGGCATAGAGATGCTGCTAGAAAGTCCTAGAGCTTGGCTTGGTCATGGGCTGTACCCAGCAATTCACCTTGCCGGTCCCTCCAAGTTCTACAAAACGCATCAGATCTGTCCCTGCTCTTCTGCACCAGTGGCAACCAGCACCTCTGGGACACAGGCTGGTTAGTTATCTAAAGGCTGGACTGGACTGGGAGAGCGCTGAACTGATTTTAACCATGGCTTCATACAACATGCATCCAGGTATTCCAGAGGTCAAAGGCAATGCAAAGAGTTGGTGGGTCCGTGACAGAAAGTCTAAGACCTAATCTAACCCCAAAGTAAGTCTGCAAATGAAAATGTAACTCAGGATCAGAAGTTCTACTCTGGGATTCAAAGCATATAACGTACTGAAGAGAAGTCAGCCTAGCACAGGGAGGTTTCACAGACAGAGGCGCTCAGCATTACTGCAGCATCTTCAGCCCCCGTCTTAGGGTGACCTGGGAAAGGAAGAATATTCTCCATAGAGGGAAGGCATAGGAAAGGCTGATACAAATTTGTTTGGTTTCTCCAGAAGGCCAGCACAGTTGCTCTCAGAGATGTGATTGTGCAATTACTCAGCACAACAGAAAGTCATTAGAAAGATGAGAACCATACAACAAGAGAGGCTGAAGGTAGGTAAACCGGTGTGATTAATACAGCTGAGCTGATGTGCCATCTGGTTATCGTGAAGAGAAGCAGAAATCCTGCCCAGCCTGGCTGGGGGGGGGATGAAGGCAGCTGCAGCACACACAGACAGGCTCAGGACTCCTGCATGCAGGAAATCCTTCCCTCTGAGCCTGCCACACATTTATTGAGTGCTGGTGCTTGTCAAGGGCACGTCTGTGACTGGAAGTCTTGCACAGCAGCAGCCAATAAATGCTTTCAATTAGCTGAGAGAGCAAAGTCAGCCACTCGGCTGTAGAGATGTGGAGCAGCCTAAGTAAAACCCTTCCGTAGAACCAGTGTGAGCAAGTGTAAATCTGCAGCAGGGCCAGGCTGCTCTCTCCACATAATGTAATGACCGTGGCCCCTACCCTGATGCCCGCAGACATGAGGAGTGTGAAGACAGAAACCACCTCGTCAGCTGTAGTCCATATGGAAGAAACTAATCTGTCACATACCCTCCTGGACCAACTCTGCTTTCAACTTCTCCAGCAAATCAAGCCACAAAGACAAAGATGTGATCCCAATTCCCGCAGACACTAGCACCTCCTCCTTCCTCTTCCTATCCATCGGTGTGGTTCTGAAGCTCCCCAACAGCCACCTCTTCCCAGCCCCTTGCACTGCCCCACAGATCATCTTCTTCCTGAGACTTTGCAGTCCATGTGCTCTCCTCCCAGCACCACCCAGCCATCCTCTCCTCAGAGGTGCGTGGGGATTCCCTCACAAATCCCTGAAGCCCACGTTCCCCACTCTGCTGTCACTTGCAGCCCTCCACTTCCCCTCTGGTCACACTAGTCTCCGCCAGTGCAGCCACCAAGTGCCAGCCCCCTGAACACCACCTTGTCATGCTGCCTAAAACACACGTGGCTGTGCTGTGACTTGCAATCCTTTGGCTCTCTTCAAGCCCCCGCCCTGGACAGTGCCTCACAAGGGCAGTAAATTTGGTGAAGCTTAGCATGTAGCCCCACATCAGCCAGCAAAACTTCCCTTGGAGGACAGAAACATTCAGAGCAGGTGAGAGGAAATCTCTAACGACAGACTGCACAGCCATTCCTGAATACCAATGAGATACTACTGTGATCTTGCAAACAGAGTCTGCTACTGACAGCAAAGCTGCTGTCGCCAGCAGCTGGTCCACACAGAAAGCACATCTAGCCTCTGCACACGTGTAGCTCCAGGGGCACCAGAATTTATTCAGTCATGGGATGTCGTATCTCACCCTGCGGGGAGCAATCGGCAACCATCTACAGAATCAAAGACCTGTTCTAGGCAACAAGGGAGAAAACACCCTCTCAGAATACTTTTCCTTTTTTTGTACTGCTTTGTAAGACAATGGATTGAGATTTGAGCAATGAAACAAAGGTGAAAGAAAGCATCAGAACTGACACAAGTTATTTCCACCCTTACCAAGACATGTCTGTCCATCAGGTCCTAGTGTCGTCCCCAGGGAACACATGCAGTCACTGGTGTCCAGGCAGGAGCCCTGGCAATCCACCACATCACAGATGTCATAAAAATCTAGGGCATGACAAGAATGTTATCAGCACAAACCACTGAGCATGCAATGAAAATACTGTATTTGTACTGTCAGCCTCATGCCGTATCTAGTCCATCAGTTACAGAGCTAGCTGACATTAGGAAAGATGAACCACCGAAGCTGATGAGAAGCAATCTAGTTTAATTACTGTAAGTCAGAGATGCAAATTTTGGCTTTGGTAGCATGCCAAGACAAGCCACAGGACCCACAGAGAGCATTCAATCACTGCAGCCAGGTCAGCTATGGAAGATTCCCGCTAGCTGAACAAAGGCTAGGGAATTCACGGAGGTAAAACTACCTAATCGCTCTCATATAGACAGGCCACCATCTGCACTGCATCACCTGAACTGGGTGAGAAAGCCAGAAACCAGTCCCCACCTCCTGCAGGCATACGGATGCTCACTACCCCTCCCGCATCACGGGGACAAAGGGAGTTGCAGCAAATAGATCTCGGTGGTTACTTACGCCCACAGTAGGCATGGAAACAAACACTGGGCTTGGTTAAGTGATACACGTAGTACCCGCCCGGACACGCCTTGACGTCAATCGTGGTGTTCCAAAGGCAGCAGTTCCCATTGAAGCTGGCACAGGCTTGGCGTGGGACGATGCCGTCCGACTCCCGCGGGTGGCTGCCGTTCAGCCAGATGGGAGCATGGGTGCCACAGTGGTTCTCCGGGATGCAGAAGGTGGGCATAGCATCGCCAGCCATGCCGGTGAAGCGATACCACTCCCCGTCGATCTGATTGTCGCACGTCGGCTGGCCGTGGGAACCGTTTATCTGGTGGTCTGTGTTCCTCCAGGGCTCGTTCAGGCTGATGTAGGCAGAGCAGGGGTCCAGGGCTGAGACACGCAGCAAGACACAAAGGAGAATATCTGGTAGTTGTCACATCAAGTTGTTGACTGCTAGTTGTAAGGAATGCAAAATAATTTATTTTTCTATTTCTGACCTAAAGGAATCATTGCGATAGATAAGGATCCCCAGGGAGAAACAGTGATCCCAGCTAACTAATTGCCTTATGGAAATTTTTGACAGCTCAGCTTCAGAGTCTTGGAAGAAAAAGTAAACTAACAGAGCTCTTAGAACATTATGCAAGTCTGACTTGCTGTTTAGCTGCTGTAGAGTACGATGGGAAAAAAAAAATATATATATGCATATATAGAAACAAATCTGAGGTCCAGGTAGTGATTTTGCTGTAGAAAATACATCCTGGGAGCACTGGATCTAGCCTAGGATATCCACCTCTTTGTTCAACTACCAACTGAGCATCTGCAAGCCCCTCCTGAAGTCACCGGTAACTCTCCCACATGCCTTGGAGAAAAGGGGCAGACCTCAGACAGGTTATGCAGCTTCTCTCAAAATCCATCCGTAGCCCGTGTCAGCCCTTACAGTTGAGTTGCCATAACCACAAGCCAGAGATCACCCGGCAAAGCATCAGTTAAACTGTGAACTGCAAGATATGCAACAGGAGTGCTACGTTTAAGGCGTACAGGAGGAAAATACTCCATTGCAATTATGAGACCCCTATGTAATTGTAAGCAATCACTAAGCAGAATTTATTGGCTACAACAAATTTACCAGGTACAGTTTTAAACAGCTAAATATAAGAACTGCTCTCCCAGGTCACAATGAAGTTGATCTACAGCCCAGCAGGCCGTCTCTAACCTAGGGTGTATGTTTGGAGAGGTGAGGTAGGAGGGAGAGACGCTGCTCCATTTACCTGGAGTTTTGTTCTCCACTGTCTCTCCCAAGAGCTATGTACATTTACGCCAAGGTGAGTTGAAAGAGCTGTAACTCAAACCCATGCAAGTCTGTAAAATTCTGCAGTGGGGCAAGAGAGAGAGGTGGCAGCCCCCCTGTATTCACAGATCCACTTAGATGTGCCCTGGTCTCCTTCAGAGACCCCGTCCCCCACTTCCCTCTCTGCTAAATGCTAACCACCTCTACGATTCACAGTATCTACTGTGGTTTTGTGTCATGTTGCTGCCTCCCTGCATCTGAAGGGGCTTCCCCGTACCTTTTTATTATTATTTTAAAAGCTAGAGAGCACGAAGGTCTGAATCAGGGCCTTCTGGGGAGCAACGTGTTCAATTCTTTACACAGTTCTGTTCCTTGCAAGCCCACAAACACTCCTGATCTCCACACATCAGATGTTTGTGAGTGAAGTGAGTGTTTGGGAGGGCAAGATATAAACACATGGAGCTACTAGTATGTGCACGTCTTGTTCATGCAGTGCTCAAGGAGCGTGTCCTTTTTCCGAGGCCTTTCTGAACCTTCTGCAAACAATTAAAAACGTAAGAATACCATAGGGAGAAAAAAACCAAAGAATTAAAGTATTCCTTACATTTTCAGTCTTCTTCTAATTAACCCTATCTAGCAGCTTACTCACTAAAAGTCCAGAGGTTTCACTTTCACTTACATTTAATACCCCATTAAGCACTACTTACCCATGACTAGCTATTCCCTATTAAGCAAAATGAATGCTAATACTGTCTTGAGTAAGGAAAATCGGTTACCATTTTCTAGAATTAGGCTAATAAAGCCAACCATTCTGATTTAATGTATCTCAGACTGGAATACTCTCTACTTTCGACACCACATTTCTTTTTAAGTCTTAAAACTGCACTCTCTGTTTTGTCTTTGTTTAAACAATAGGGTGATGCAATTTGGGCGGCGGGGGAGGCAGGGAGACATATATTGTTTCTATTAGAATGCTCAGGATGCAGACAAACCTTCTTGGCTCATTATTTTGCTTTGCTTCACTAACTTTGAAGTGGCAACCACAAGTGCTTCAGAAAACATGCTTTAAGTCACCCTTACTTAGCTGCAGCCTCTGTAAATATCTGTCCCACTGACATGCTATCTTGTAGCTCTTCACAAACAGAACATCTCTTTTGACAAACATCCTTATGTCTTCCCCAGCCATAGACATGTTTGTTTGGCCTGAAATCCAGCAGAAAAGGCAGGAGCAGTTGTCATAGTCATGAGCACGCTGCAGAGCTGCAAGCTGGCACAGGGAGTGCAGATCTGGGTTACGAAGGGAACCTCTAGTGCCATAATCCACGAGATAGGCAGAGGAGCAGATTCACTCCCACCACAATCAGCCCAGTTCTCCTGAGCAGCACCGGTGCCTCCCCTTACTCACAGGCAGCAGCAGCAGCACTGTTAAATCCCACCCTCCTAAAGCTTGCTTGACTTCTTGTCACAGGAAAAGATGGGTCCTGCCTTTTCTTTGCATGCAGCTGAACGGAGGTTCCTCTGGGCTTCCCTCAGCGTAACTCACTCGGTTTCCACAAGATGATTAGGTATGGCCTTAGGGTGAGTCACGGGCTAAGATTAAAAGGTTTCTGTGTTGTTAAAAGCCAAACGAGGCGAAGCAAGGAATGCCCTGTCAGCTTCCCAGCTGGGCAACACCAAAAATACACACACTCTCATTAGCTTTCATATAGTATAATTAACTTTATGAAATATCCTTTGTAGACAGACTCAAAACACTCATCTACGGAGATCCCATTGTCTCCTAAACATTCAGAAGATAATTTAAAGATAAAATTTACTGAGATGAACATGCAGCAGCTCAGAGGGAGATGGAAGAAGGCATTTCAGGGGAATGGAGTAGCACACCCTCACATCTGTCATTTCTCTGAGTTTCAGGTAGGAGCGAAGGGGAAGCAAGCAAGTTGAAAAAGCAGACAGTGCTCTTTTGAACACTGCAGACCCTCACAGCCACCCCTGGACTGCCCAGCACTGCTCCAAGCCAACCTCCCTGCAGACACCAAGCAGTCTTTGGCAACACGGTTTACTGAAAACTAATCTGAGTTTTTAAGAAAAAACTCCACACAAACATAGAAGGAACCGATCAACCTCTCACTGCTTCTCCCCAAACAACAAAAGCGTGGGGGTTTTGCACAAGACATATAACTGTCTCCAGCTTCCTCTGTTTTTCATTTTTCTTGGCTCAATTTTTTTCCTCCCCAACACTTCTTGCAAGGCCTGAGCAATTCAGCCTGACAAGCATTAGCTAGGAAGTAAAGCTTTTCAATTTGTAAACTTGATGATATCATTAGTTCTCTAGTTGACATTCTAGCATATATATTGGATGACAAATCAGGCTGTAGCAAGCACTCGTAAGCCCACCATTCTTCAGAGAGATTAATCCTGTGTGTACTGTGTAACCGGAGGTCTCTGCTCTGGCACGACTGAGCAACGAAATTGAGCAGCGCTGCATTATGACACTAAGTTCAGTTAAGATTTGTCAAAGAAGCAGGTGAAAAAGTAGCATAATATCTACTTGGAGTCTGTCCTCCAAAGGGAGAGGAAAATCCCACAGTGCCCTGGCGGCAAAGGTTCTCCCAATACGGGAGGCTTCATGCTCTGGGACAGAAAGCTCTTTCCAGTTGGAAAGAACTTCACCTTCAAAGAAAAAGGATATTTCTCAGATCTTCTAGTCTTTCACCTAAGAATACCGAGGCTCAACATGAACCCTAAAGAGGGCAAACAGAAATAAGCTTGAAGGCAATGCCTCTTTACTCACCCATTGAAGACACTGGCTGCAACTGGATGACAAAGCAGACGCAGAAAAACAAGTACTGGAACATCCCACTCAGCCAAGGAACAGTTATCACCCAAGTAATGGAGGCTTGGAAGCTCTTGCACACGCTATGGCTCTTGCAGCCTTACTCTCAGCGGAGCTTCTGACCCCAAGCTTTCTGAAGAACAAGTGTGATAGCTCTCCTGGAAGTTTATCAGAGGAAGAAGCTGAAGGGATGTGGGGTACAGCTCCAGCCTTGACCTCCACAGAGCAGCTCTGCCCCTTATTGACAACAGAGACGTACTCACTGATCAATCTTGGTTTTTGGACTCAACCCGCTATTGTTTTCTGGCCGGACTGCCCCACAGTGACACCTCCACTATCTTATCTGGAGAAGAATTCTAACCAGGGACACCCGGACATCCCAAAGAGATGGAAAAGAAGAACAGATGGGTGCTTGTTGTTATCTCTGCTCCTTCCACAAGTCATATGACTTCATGGCTCCCCACAGGCAGAAAACACCAGCCTAGAGAGCCTTAACTGCAGGAAATAGTGGCCAAAGGAGAACTGATCCTTCCGAGCAGAGGTTGCAGATGAGTGCTCGGAGCAGAGCTACAATGAGAACATCAGTCAAAGTGAAAGACTGGTGTCCCACAGGGAAATAAGCTGTTCCTATGCTACACAAAGACACTTTCCACTCCTGGTTACACAACCTGACCATTGCAGTGAGATTATCAAATAAGGCAAATAAGGACTTTTTTCTGCAGTAGCCTTATGATCTCTGCCTTTAAAAAACAAAAACAAAACAACAAAGGAAAAACCCAACATTACTGAATTAACTTCCATGCAAAACCGAGAACCTCTGCCTCAGTGGTTCAAGCCAAACTAGGTTGAATAGCAGGTCATACCCACACGCTCTGGCTCTAGGCGAGACGTAGCACACTGAAATCTGTTCTCTACCAAAGCAGACCAAGCACTGCAGCTGGCAGGGAGAGATACCAAGGACACCACAAATAAGAAGAAAGGGATCTTCCCTCTCATCCCACTAGCTGTAGCTCTTACTATAGTGAATAGATTTAAAGCTCTGGGTTTAGTACATACATATACACATCTACAGGTCTCTCCCTGCTTATGAACAATGGTCATACAGTTCTCCACCAGGAAAGCAACCGCAGGCTGAAAGCTCCCCATCAGCAAAGAGGACAGCTAAGCCTACAGTAATTGCACAATCAACTGTAGGCATTTCCCCAGTTCCTTTGCACCCGGCCGCTCTGCAGCAGGCTGGCATAAGGAATAAAGTCAAGCCTGAGGTGCTAGCTTTAAATCCCAGTAGGAAAAAAATGGCTCTGTTATTTTCATATTGACTTTGCATGAAAGAAGCAGCAGGGTATTCTCCTGCTTTGTAGAGATTGTACTTTCTATCAAGTTCTCAATGGCCTCTCTCCATCTGGGTGTTCCCATGGTAGTGAAGTGAAATATGTTGCTCTGCTCCACCCCAAAAATCTTTTTCAGTGGTGAATGATTCAAAGGAGAAAAAAAAAAAAAAGTAACAAAAAAAACCCCCAAAACAAACAACCTTTGTGGCTGTATTGTGCTGACAGCTGTGCAGTACCAGAAAAGTTCTTTCAACAACAGGAAAGGAGAGCAAATTCACTATGCAAAGCTAGCAGGGCAGATAACCCTCAGAAGGCGATTATGTGAATTCCCAGAAGAGAAACTAAAATTGAATCGAGAATAATACATCAAGCCACAGGAAGTTATATTTTGCCATTTACATTAAGAGGTTGATTTGTACTTAAGGTCCCAGGTAAATAAAACTGACAAGCTTGAATTGGATTTTCTATTTGTGTTAGAGGTGTGCATATTTCTCTGAACCATTTCATTACCAGCTGCTTTTATTTTTGTAGGTGGTGTATTAGGCCTGACACGAGTAATGTTTTGACAGTTACATCTAAGTGACTGACAATTAACGTAGAGACATAAACTGCATCATAGCACTTTTGAGCCTCAAAGGTGTCACAAATCAAGTTCTCCAAAAAGGAGATGCCCCAGCATTCCCAGAGATGACGCTACCCCACATCACCATAACATCTAATTCAAGAAAACAGCCTAAAGCTGGAGAAGATTCAGTGTGCTGCCTCTAAACATTTTTGGGATCCACAGGAATGACAAAGACTATCTCGGTCTTCTGGAAAAAGCACCAGCAGAGGCAACTCAGCACTTTTTACAAGTTATTTTGGATGACATGCATAGATCCTGCTCCCCCACAAACAATAGCAGGGTGTATTCGAGTAGGCCACTGCAAATTCATGTCAAAGGAAGCTGGAGCAATTATTACGAAGAGGGGAAGGGTGTAAAAAAACCAAAGAAAAAACCCTCCAGCAAACAGGCCCTCGAGGAGGGAGGATGCAATTCCAATGGAGTACTCTGGATGGTGTAGGGCCTGTGCTCTCTAAGCAGATCTGGTAAATCTGTTGCTCTTGACCTCTATTTCCATACCACAAAGATGAATGAACCCGACTTCCCAAGAAGCAAGAAGAATCAGGATCAAGTCAGTATTTCTTAAAAATAATAATCAGTATGGGTTAACAGCTAAGAAGGAAAACGGTATTAAAATAAAGAATTGGAATTTTATTTTGGGACCCAAGAGACAGGATCTTCTAAACCTGCTCCTGCCTAAGGCTGGGTATGCCTATTCTTAATGCAAGAAAGGATGCTAATTTTGCAGGCGGCAACCACACTTCTTGACCTACCCAGAGTTGCAGGGCTTCCCCATCCTTACACAATGAACTCAAATACTTCAAAGCATCGGCTAGGCTGGAAAGCCTCATTCTGCTTGTACTAATGGACTAATGGATAAAGATGCTCTGGTGTTTTCTGAAGCTGGCCTTGTCTTCGTATGAGCCACCTCTCAAGAAACACCGACGTCTGATAGAAGCGAGGTGTGTGAAGAAGGGATCTCGGTGCAGGAGTAACTCCTGCAGCTTGCCTAGGAGGAGCAGGCGGAAGAGCTAATCAGCACTTCCTGCCGCCAAGACAGAGGAGAAGCCGGCGCAGACGACAGGATCCCTGCCTGTGATTGATTCGAGGATGTCTGTTCACAATAAGCCTTGACAAGCTGCTGAGATGGATTGCACGGATGTCAAGGACTTAGAGATAGACCTTGCTGCTGTAAACAACTTGTCCCAGAACACAGTGCCAATGGGAAGGGCTGTTAAGATCAGAGAAGAAACATGAATTTGGTGAAGTAAGAGCAAAGCCAACACAAGTAAAACACCAAGAACCCATTTAAAATCAGACAAGTACATAACTCCTACCGAAGAGTAGCAGTTATTTCCCTTCCCTTACTAGAGCCCTGTGAAGCAGAACTCGGTGTTTGAGAGTTTTTCCACAGGCCCTACAGAATGCAGTGCATTTTCCATGATCCTCGGTTTCTGGATAGAAGAATTAGGGCACAGACAGCATACACCCATAATTGCAAAACTAGCCAGGGGCAGAGACAGGAGTAGGATCCATCTTGTGCAAGTGCAGAGAGCCACAATGACACAGCGTAACACCATCTTCTCCCATACTTCTGGGCTTAGATACACTGGAAGTTTGATTTCCATGCCAGTATTTCACTTTCCACCTCATTCATGTCCATATACAAATAAAACTGATTTTTTTTTTTTTTTTCAGAGAAGAATTGGAATCTCTTGGGATAGGCAGAAAAATAAAATTAAGATATAAAAATCTCCTTCCTACGTGAAAACAGAGTCATACAATGTGACACTAAGGAAAGCAGTTTGCATTTACAACTCCACACAAAAAACAGAGGAAATCAAAGAAATGGTTCCACTGGCTCAGAAAGACAGGGCAACTTGGCCAGCTTCACTTGACTGACATAGTGCCAAGGTCTGACAGCCAACAGCAGCTTCAGAGCACCATGCAAAGCCTCTTAGAGCCACCAAGTGTAAGAAGTTGCAGCAAGGTGATCATCAACACTGCCTGACAGGTAGGAGTTGTTACAGGGGAAAAGAAAGTGTTTCTTTGCTCTTTGGGAAAAAGGAGCCATGAACACCTCCCCTGGAAAGGCTTGGAAGGCAGAGCCTCAGTGGCAAGTCAAAAAGGCAACCCAATGCATTTCTCCAGACAGCTTGGAACTTTACATGTATTTATTTGAAGTCTCCCTCACAGAAAAAGATGAAAGAGAAGTTAACCAAATGCATAACTGGCAGAAAAAGCAGCACCCGAGCACTGCAATGCACCCTGCTGTTGATCCTTCACAGGGTCTTAAGAATGCAATGTTAAAGATTCAGGCAGCAGTGCCTGCTCTTAAACTGGTGCCAGTGGGACAAGACCCTAGTACCTGCCTGGCTGGTGCTGATATTGATGTTGATATACAACAGCGTAAATAGGAGAGCAAGCAAACATCACCCTTCCCTTCAACCTCAGCATTCAAGGGCAACAAAAGCAGAAGCAGTGAGATCTGAGGTTGAGGTTTGTGGCACATCATCTACCCCCGGCAGAGCCCACGCGTGCACTGGTGGTGCAGAGAGGAGCAGGACAGCAATGTTCCAGGGGTACAGCCTAACAAAACCCACCGGACAGCCCATATTTCAAGGTACAGTTAGAGACTCTTATTTTACTCCTTTTCCCACATCACCTCTAGAACACCACCAAAGTATGTGCAGGAACAATTTTGTCAGAGCATTTTCTTGTTTTCAAAATAGGGACTCTGGTGCTAGATGTCAAAGCCTTCAGTTCCTCTGGATGCCAAGAATGGATGATGACTTACGAAATCGCTCCAAGAAATTTGCCTGGGGAGGGCAGCAGCTCATCTGTACACAGCAGCAGACTAGGGGCTGCTTAGAGGAAGAGGGTTTGTCAGCACTCCTGAACTGAGTTTCAACAGTGATTAAAGGTAGGTCATAACAACCAGCAGCTTCCAGTCCCTCCCCTCCAACTTTAAAAAACACAAGAGAGTTGGCAGTTTGAAAAAATGGCCAAGCATTTTTTTTTTTTTTAATCAGTCAGTGGACATGATAAAAACCTTCTGGCACAAAACATCTTATCTGAACATCCCATAAAGTTAGGACAAAGTACAGTCTGCTGATTCCCAAAGTTAATGAATATGTCACCGTGACAAATCAGACCTCAGCCATTCAAGGGCCCAGAAAGAAAGTAGCAGAAGCTTAAAACTTCAGTTTTCATCTGAAACAGCACTTGAATGCAATATAGAAAATACACTGACATCACTTGGTACCTTTTAGGTTGCTGGGCATTACACACCCATATATATTCTTACCCTGCAACCTGCCACGTCTCCAGATTTTGTCAGCCTCCACGTGGAGTTACTCTGCTGGCCAAACAAAGGCAGATCTTTGTTAGACCAAATATCTCTACCTCACCACCTCAACTGCTCCCAAGATCTCTGTGTTACGCAGCCAGGCATGGCAGCAAGGTCTCCATCTGAGCTTCTTCAGGAAAGCTATTATCTGAATCACCACAGCCTCAGTGATGTAAGGTCAAGAAGAAATAACCTAAACAAAAAGAAATGGAGGAAACTCAGGAGACAGCTGCCACACATAGCATATTCTTTTCTCAGCTAGGGAAAATAATGTTATTCAAGAGCACTGATTCAAAAATTGAGTAGTTATTTATTGTTCCAGAAGTACATTGCTCTTTTATACATATTTCATAAATGATACAGGATTTTACACATGTTCAGTTTTTGTTTTTTGTTGCTGTTTTTTTTTTTTTTTTTTTTTTTTTTTTAAATAAGGACTTTTCTCCATGCTCCCTCCCTCATCCCAAAAACACACGAAGGATTCAGCTACAGGACCATGTTCAATTTTTTCCCTTTAAATCTCACCACACAAACAGGATAAAACAAATAAAAAATAATCACACAATGTAATTAAATTGAAAGACAGAGGAAAAGGGGAAGGGAAAAAAAAAAAAAAAACAAACACCTAGAAACATGCACCCATTCGGTCCAACATGCCATTGAGTGAGAAGAGGCAGCAATCCCAGCTGTGTTTCCACACCTGCAAGGCACCTGGCATCTAGTTAATACTGATGTGTTGTTTTCTTTCCTGTTTTTTTTTTTAAAACATGGTTCTCAAAAAAAAAAAACAAACCACCCACCAAAACCCCAAACCTCTTTCTATGACACAATGAGGAGTAGTAGTGAAACATCAAAAAAGCAGCCAGTCTTTCTGTATGTGAAGCTTAGTGCCCTTCTCCCACCTTCATCCTGTCTCCACAGTATTTATCAGCAGGATGCTAAAACGGACTGACCTGCTTTGAATGAAGAGATGTTTTATCTGCTTAGAAATCAGCTAGCCTTGGCTAGAAGAGAGGGCAAGGGGTTCACTTTCCTTCCTCTTTCTTTTAGCTAAGAATAAGAGATGTCATTAGCCACTCCTAAGAAGTTCTGACCTGTGGATGCAAAGTCCATTTAAAGCTACCTAATTTGGGGGAAGCGCTAGAGAACTGAAATAGTTCTGTGTCTTGCACTGTAAGAGCCCCAGGCTTTCAAAAAGCCTCTGGGCAAGGAAAATGATTTGACCATATATACGAGACCTTTTATCCCATTACACAAGCAATCAAACACCAAGTTTAATTATTCCATGTTCCAAAACTGTTCACTGAAAAGCAAGAATCATGATTCTGCAACAGTTTCATAATCCTTTAAGCCTTCATAACTTCATAGTCCAGGTGACTATCAGATTTGGGGTAGGAAGAGGGGAATCTCCCTCCC